TTTTCTCCAGATTCATTAGATGTGCCACTGAATTTCCTCTGATTTTTATCATGCAGGTGTACAATTTGTCAGTCAGCTTTAACTACTCTGAATAAATCAAGTGATGAACCTGGCTGTTTGTACTGATTTCTAAATTCACCAAGTGTTGGGGATAATTCATCATTTATAGTTAAAAAGACAGAGAACAAATATAAAAGTAAGGGCCTTGTCAAAGCCTTCTGAGAATCCAAGTTGGTTGTTTCTAAACAAATCAGCTGTTGTCTGTTGGTTGCCTCTTTTACTGAACTGCAGCGACATTAGGGGGCAGAAATGCTCTCTCTAGCAGAATTTTGTAGATTTTACCTTTTTTTTAAGAGTTGTCAATCTGTTACGTTCTTATGCTTTTATTTTTTTTTTTCTGGTTGGCAATTTGGAACGTTACTTTGACTTCCCTATAGCTCATTGATAAGGTTCCTCCCAGGAGTACAGTCAAACCAAGATCCTTCATCTGATCAGGTTTCACTTATACTTCATTTTCTCCAGGGTGTTTTGTGCTGCTCCTTGCTACTCTCTTGTGGAGTGCAGGGAGAGAATTCATTGTGTTAAGATCTGGAGAAACTCAGTGTTGATGAAGAGTTCAAATGCATGGAGCGTCCCTAAAGTTCTCAACAATGAATTCTAACACAAAGAACTCATTTAACCTTTGTCCTGTTTTTGAGATTATATTCTTATTATATTTGGAACATTACCAGCTTTGCAGACAGTCTCATATGATAGTCTTTTTCCTTTTGACATTCTTGAAATAGGCTTCATTAATTTTTAGGTCTCTAAGCTAATTGTTCCACTTAATGTTATGGAAAGATCACACAACTTGAGTGTCCTATACAGTCTGGATTATAGTCCAATTCTACTACTTGCTGTTAGTCACATCTTAATTAGCATGATGTTAGTGTTGTCTCATCATGCTGTTAATCAGGTATATTCGGAGATATATTTCTTAAAATATTTTTTGTACCCAGTTAAACAGAATTGCTGCATGTCAGTAAGGTTCCACTCCGTGTCCTCTTGGTTCTGGTTTGATTTTCTGGGGTCCTCTGAGTTTATTTTGGGGTTGTTCCTCTCCTTTGTTTAGGAAGGAAGTGTTTTGTAAGCAAACATCAGTACATCAGCACTCCTTGTGCCTTAGTTCTTGGACAGTGTGCCTCAATCTAGAACATATCCTAGATGGCTCTGGACTCACAGAATCACTGAAGTTGGAAAAGACGCTCAAGATCATCAAGTCCATGTGAACGTTCTGGCTTTTCTCCATCCTTCCTTGAGTGCATGAGTATGTTGACTGTAGCCTCTTCAGACTCTTATCTCAGCTCCCATCTGTCAACTGTAAGAAATTGCGTAGTCTTTACATTATATCTTTCCAGCATTCTAGCTAGCTTTCTTGTTTTGGAAGTATTTCCTAACGGACTTAGCAGTTTAGGTTGGAGCTTATCCAGGAAGCTCCAACACACAACCCAAAGAAAGTGTGCAGAAGATGCTAGATTACAAGTTTAAATACATACTTTAAACCAAAGGCAACTTACTTTGCCTTACTGGGCTGACTACTAAGTGACCCTTTGTTTCTGTCTAAGTGTCCAGTCTTGTGCTGGGCAGTCTTTCAATATAATACACAATCTGGTCATCCTCTCTGACATATTTAGCCTGCATGGATGACAGATGCCAATTAATTTCCCTTTAACAGAATTTGTATTGATTTATTTTACTTCAGCTTATCTATATTGTGGGTTATGAATCTGCTCTGCATGCAAAGAGAACTCAGTGTCTTGGTGTCTAGAATTGCATGTGCTGTTCAACCTTGAAATCACCTCTTCCTGTGTAGTATGCTCAGGTAAACAAGCTGTCTTTTCTTCCTATACAGTTATTCTATTATTAGAATCATAGGATAATTCAGGTTGGAAGGGACCTCAGACATTTCTAGTTCCAGGTTTTGAAAATCTTCAGGGATGAAGATTATACAGGCTCCTTCAGCAGACTGTACCGATGCTCTTCTATGTTACATCCTGTTTACAACACAGATTTCTATGCCGAACTCATGTAGGAGAACCATGAAGCTTGAAGTGGTTGCAAAGCTTCACTGAGAATACCAGCACTCTGTGCTCAAGGGTGTTCTGGGGCTAGGCCAGTTTGTAAGTCACTGTGGTGTTTTTTGGTGTGGTGTCAGTTCTCTCCTTGGGAGAAATTAACTCTTCCACGTTAGTTTTATGAAAACCCATAGGATCACTTTCATTTTTAGCTAAATAATGTAGATTCTTTCTCTTTTTCATGAAAGTTAATAGAAAGCAGATATGAATGTTTTATTCACATCTTGCTTTTCTTAAGCATAAACAACAGTTGAGTAGCGAAGCAAAGATTGTTCACACCTACTAGATGTGGCAGACTTGCAACCTCAGAGTAGCAAATACTGAGGCTATCACATCAGAATAAATGGAGCTGAATGACTTTAACATGTACGTGCATGTACTGGTAAGCTTCCTCTGTGAGCTGAGAATTGGATCAGTACCATAAAGTACTTCCACTGTTTCAGTGCTGCTGAGTCACTGGGAAGTATGCTGGTGAAGTGTTTAAATACGATAGCTAAAGGTGGCGTTTCTGGGTACCCCTGCCTACATTCCCATGCTAGTGGTCTGTTTTCCCTGTGCACATTAAGGTGTGAGTTGTTTGCACCTCGGAGATGTGTGTTCTTCAAGGTTTGTGTGGCGGAAGTTGGCAGTCAGCGTATTCTTGGAGCTTTGGCACTGAAATTATATCCTCATCCTTGTTTCATTAGCAATATTATCCAGCTTTTTTTTTTTTTTTTTTTGAGTCTTTTGTTCTTGCCTAGGAAGCTTGTTCACAAGACAGCAGCATTCCATTCCTGCTAATTTTTTCCTAGATCAAGGCTAGCAGTGCACTGTGACTCTGTGAAGGATCAAGGCATGGTTGTTTGCAGGGCAGGAATCCTGTGTTTCTTGACAACTTACACTTGAACCTTCAGACTAGCACTGAAGATCCATGCCAGGAGAGGACATCTAGGATTATGTTTCTAATATAGTTTTCAAATAACAGCCAGGACATACCTTGCAGAATCATCATCTTTTGTTATTAAAAATGACTTAGCAATCACTTCTACCAGCTCCCTCAGCACCTTCAGGTGGATCCTGTCTGGCCCCAACATCTTGTGACAGTCTTTTTGACAGAAGGGATAAGAGCTGGAGGCTTACCATGCTGATAGAATTTAAAAGTTTGCATAAGCAAATTACTTTTTGTGACCCCTCTCTTTGCTGAAAGCAAAGTAGTAGAAGTCTTGCATAGGCCCTTCCAAACACTGTGCAGTTTTCCAGTGAGTGAATTGAGCAGTTTTGAGCAAGACAGCTTGTATTTCAAAAACTATTTTCCTTTTTGTCTTCAGGTTTGTGCCATGCAGGGACATGCTGTTTCAAGCTCAGATATCTGAAAAGCGCTTCTGTTGGTGTCTCTCTGGGAGTTGCCTTTAAACAATTCAGCTGCTCCCCAGGAAATACAGCATGCTGGAAAAGTTTTATCTGCCTGCCTTGGCAACTTGAGAACCAGCTCTGATTAGATGAAAATTGCTTAAATACTGCTCTGATATTTCTAGTCTAGTGAAACTGTCTAGGCTTTGGCCATACAAACATTATGGTGATGGCTTTCCAGCCTCTGATGATAGCCACCAATCTCACTTGTCAGATTTTGTGCTTTTACATGCTTCAAAACCTCTTTTAAAATTGACTTGAAGTTTAAGAAATGTTCAATTAGATAAAATCTCAGTCACTGTATCTCTATCTTGGAGGACTGTACATCTACCTGTTCTGCGAGCAGGCTAAGGGAAAAAGGTGTACAAACAATAGGCTTTTTGGGAAACCTGCCTATCCAGTCCAGCTCTGCTGGCCCCTTTCTGAAATGTGGCCTTCAGATAGCATGTGTATCTTCACTAAAATTAACCTCTTAGCTTGCTGTGGCAATTAAATCTTTAATTTTTTTTTTACTCTTGCTTATTTTTCTTCCTTAGAACAAAATAAACTCTTGCCAGAGTTTATGGTGGTCATTAATGTAAATGATTGTTAATACAGTCAGAATCCTCTGACTGCAGGTTCTCACATTTCTCCCTGTCCTTTGAGTTCATCCTTGATCATAAATGGCACAGAAATGCTGTCCTGTGTGGAACGTTCTGAGCCCATGAATTACTTACTTGATAATCGGATTATGTACAAGACTCGGGAACTTTTCTTTATGAGAGCCAATGAACATTAGTAAGGTAAGGTGATTCAGGCTCTGTCATGCCAGGAGGATAAGGCAGGCCTTCCAGAAGACTAGGGAAGAATGATGCATGTGAACTCTTCTATACCTGTTTTTATGTTATGCTGTTGAAGCAATATGGGTTTAAGAAGACTAACATTACAAATACAGCATCTGCAGTTGAGTTCTGTTACTCTATGTATGGTCTTGAACAACTTGTCAGCCTTCCCATCCCAAAATTACCCATGTCCGGGTAGAATTGTTAGTAAATATGGTGATGAGCATGGCTATACGGTAGTTTGGAGTGTGGGAGTGTGTGTTTTTTGTGTATGTGTTCATGTATGTGAAATTCTATCTTCACTAATGGGCCACACACTACTGATTCCTTGCTGGTCACTCTGCCTCTTGTAATGTTCAGCCAGTCTTCACTATTGGTTGCTGATAGTAGTTAGTTGTGCAGTTGAAAGGATGGCTGAACTTAGCTATTAGATTCTTTATATTAAAGCAGCTACTATCTTTATCCTACTGTGTATAGTTACTCTGTATTGTGATCAAATGCTGTATTTAACAGATCTGATTCTTACCTTTCTATTGCTAATAAAACTCTTTTAATTCTAGATTTGGATATCAAAACATCAGGAACAGGCTGTGTGAAGGTTCAGAAAATGGAATGTGATAACTGCAGAATAGAAACTGAGAAGGGGACTAGTGTCTTGCAGTCAATAAAGGTATGATGAACTCTTCCCTATGCCATCAGTGTTTCAAAAGGTATTGTGTGATGGAGTGTGGTATAACAAAGTACTGAATGCCAGCTTTATGAGTGAGAAATACCATGGTGAGAAATTCTAAGTATTACTGTGTGTGGGTAGCACTGTGCCTTCATCTATTGCATACCATTACAACGCTAAGTCAATGACTCTAAATAACATGAAGTAAGAAGTCCGGGCACCTTTGATAGCTGAAAGCTGCTGAAACAGTGGAAGCAGTGAACCTCATTTCTGCTCTGATCCTCCCCTGCTGTACTGTCCCTCCAAAATAAAATCGCTGGGAATTCCCTTCTTTGAACAGCAGACCTAATAGTTATGTTTGCTTAGATGGCATTATGAGGTACTTCACTGTATGCCTCATCATTTCTTTTTTTTTTCCTGTGGGATATTATTTTCTTAATTCTGATGTCTCAGTGCTATTGAAACTCCTTAGATTAATGTATAACTTGAAATTGAAATTACATGTCCGAAGTACCCCACTGAATATACTGATAAACACTGTGTGTGACATGGCCATGACCTTGATTTTCTTGATCTTTCAACTTCACATTTGCTGACATGCTTTTGTGGAAGTAATTGAAGAATATCCAACATAAGTGCTGTTTGGAATAAATTTCACTTGAATAATTAAGATTGTATCTTATTTTTATTTTTATTACTTCATTTTCCCCCTAGAGTAATTCCTTTAAATATTTCTGAGATATGAAAAGCCTTTCAATATTTTTCTGTACAATGAGAGGTATTTATGTAGTGTGTAGCTACACTGTGTGAAGTTCAGCTTACATGGTAATTCAGTATACCATAGAGCCAGACTTACTCCATAGTCAGTGAACTACAGTCTGTCTGTATCTTCTAGATTCTAACTGACTATATTAGTCTTTGAAAGTAACTAAAATCTGACAGGCTAACAGTGCTGTATGTTAGAGATATTTTAAAAGTTTAGTTAAAAATGAGGACTGTATATTAACAAAAAAAAACCAAAACAAAACAAAAAAACAAAACAACAACAAAAAAAAAAACGTGAGAAACTGCATAATATAAGAAACAAAGCAATTTTAGCCAGTATTATTGGTAGTAATCACAGGATATCATCATAACTGCTAAGTGTTTTTATAATGTTGAGGAGAAAGTTGTTCTTCCTCAAAATTCTATTACATGTGATGAGCATCTTTTCTCAAATATTTGAAAGATAAGAGACTTGAGGAAAGTTGAATTTTAAAAATGGAAAAATCACAGTCCTATTTTCTAAGACACTTCAAGCAGCAGTGAAGTGATGCTCGCTAATGAACTTTAAAGAACACTGAAGTAGGCAACATGAGGCTTCTGAGCCTGCTCCTGTGTCCTCACTGTAGTCTAGAGGAGCTTGGTGTTGCTGTTTCTTCTCCATCAGCTCTCTGAGCCTGTTTGATTCAGAAAATAAGGAAAACATGAGGGAAAACTACAAGTAGAAAGAATAATCCTTTCCCTGTGTATGTGTTTGCAGTGATGGTGGCGACAGGAAGCTTCTTGGCTCCCTTAGGCCCCAGATGAGAGGAACAACCCTGTCCCAGAAGGCAGAAATCATTTAAAATGCAAAGAGTGAACTGGGGATTTCAGTTGAAGTACTTGTTAAATAAACCTTCAGTAGCTTGCAAGATTCAGGCTTTCTCAATTAGTTACCCTAAGAGTTCTTGTGAGTTGAGGGTGGATTCTGATTGAATTACCTGTTCTGGTTACTGTGGCTGCTTCAGCATTTCCTACTATAGAAGATGTTGCCAGTCTTCTTGGTTTCTTGACTATGAAGTAGCAGGTTAAAGATCTTGAATGATACTAATCATCTTGGTTTTTGCATGTGCAAGCAATTCTGATTACAACATCTTTTTGTGTGCAGTCAGTTTTGTCTAACACTATTTTTAAGAAACATTATAGTTCTAATAAGTTTGCTGTAACTCAATTTTCTGGTGTAGGTTTAAGAATTACGTTCTGCAGTTAAAAAACAGAGTTCTTAATCTCATGGGCTTTTTTCCCAAGATTCTGAAAATGCTTCAGGCTGGATTTTTCAGTGCAGTGCAAGAGCTGATTCTGCCACATGGATAGAGTTATTTCATCAGAATGTATAGGAACAATAAGAATTCATGAATTCCATGTTGGGAACTTTTTTTTTTTTTTTTTTCCATTTTTTCCTTAAATCTTTTTGCTTCCCAGTAAGAACTAGTTAATGCAATTTATTGTGTTTTTTTTCAGGCAGAACATTATTTATTTATCAGAGTATCCTGAATACTTCTGATGTGTTTGATTGTCAATTGATAGAGTGTAAATCAAATATTGTCTATTAGGAATTATGTCCTTTACAACAGAAATTAAAATATTTGAAAATTGAGATGCTGGCACATGAGAAGGACTGTGTTAAATTGTGTATCCAGTACATAGAATAAAAAATGCTGAATATTTTTAAATTGATATTCCAATTCAGTATAGTAGTGAAATGAATCAAAGCAGCATTGCTGTTGAGACAAGTCAGGTAGCTGCAGCAGCTGTGGTTTCTGAATACAATTAGATTACTTAATTGTGATTTTTTTTTTTCTTCCTTCTCCCTCCTTAAAATAGTTGCTTTCCACTCTGAAGACCACTTTTTAATTTCTAGTCTTTCTGAGAGTCTTGTAATTTGTGGTAGCTCTCTTGTTTGAATGTAGTTTGCTTACATTTCCCTTTTTTTGGGAGGGTATTTTGTGGTATTTTTACTTGTCTGATTTTATGCAGCATCAGAAGTATAAAGGTTACTGCATTTTGACTTCTTGGCTTCTTTATGAAAGATCTGAGATAGTAACACAGATATCTGTAAAATATTGAACTTTACCGTGTGTTTGAGCAAGACACAGCAGGATCTGGTTCTATTTGCAGGCCTAAAGTTAGTTAGCACTTGACTACATCATACAGATTTATGGCTGTACAAACTACTCCAAGCATAAGCACTGAGGGTTGCAGCCAGTCCCAACAAACAAACAGAAAAACACAAACGCAACACTGCATTGAGAATAAAGTTGCACTTGGCAGCCTTCTTTCACCTGTGTTTCTGGTTAGAATAAAAGATGTTTTTGGATTTGGATGCTTTGGAAGCAAGCAACGCATCTGGCAGTTAGTTCAGAAGAAACCAGTGAGATAGAAGTTTGCAGTGTAAGTTTGTTTTTGTGATACAAGTTGAAAAAGGAGGTAATTTGTGGTTGTCCTAACCATGTGAATTTAATTATTTTTTTTCAGAGCCATAAAATCAATATACGAACCAATGGTGGCAAAGTGATTGGTCTTGGAACGCTCTATGGAAATACAGACATTCATGCAACAGAGAAAGGTGTAAGTAAGAATTGAGGCTTTCTCACCAATCACTTGTTCAGCTTGTCTGTTGCAAAATGATGACATTTTTAAGGGCATACACTGAAGAATATTTAATGATCATCACTGGCTGATTGTCATTTTCACTGTTAACATATTTGTCTAACTACGCTACCTGATATTATGCTTCGTTTGGATAAGGTTCTATAAAAAGGCTCTGTAGAAAGAGGAGTAATGAACATGCGATCATTCTGTCAGCACTTGAGGCTGGGCTAGCAGATACAACACATCTGTGAGGGCCTACAAAATTAAAGTGGAGTCTTGAGCTTTTTTGGCGGCTGATGTTTAGGCACAAGGATTCTGCAGTAGGCACCTAAGTTTATTGTAGTGTCTCATATCAAGTTGTTATTCATGTGCACATACTTTTCACCTCTGGCATTATATTATTTGTAGAGTAGAAAGTTCTGTACATTTCTTTGCATCAGAGGAAGCAATCACACATAATCCTGCTGTGATGTGCAGTGAGAAGAACCCCGAGAGTAGCAAGTTTCAGAGAAATAACCTTTTTTTTCAGCAGATGGCAGCATGAGACAAGCCTGATACTACACTAATTTGGTTTTCTTACCACTACTAGTAGATTCTTCATTATTTAGGATAATGCAGAGCTAGGATCCCCATGTGATGTTTTCACACCTGATCTGGTTCTTAGGCTCAGCTTGAATTGTAATTGAAGCCATTGTAATATCTGTGCAACTGGTTGCATTAGGATTCATTAAATCTGAAGCATTGCTATGTGAAAACATGGAGCCAGTTCTGGAAGTAGCTTGGTCGCTTGCAGAACTCTTCTCAAAATCAGTGAATACCCTTAAAACCAGCAGAACTGAAAGGAATCAGAAAGAGAAAGCTACCTGAACTCTAGCTTAGGGTAGAATTGAGACCAAGCTGGTAAAATCTCACGGTCCAAAATTGCCTCTGAGGTGCTGTTTGATGCTGTTGCACACCTGGTCAGTTGGATTCTGTGGTCACGTGCTCACTTAGGTAGAGCCAGCTGTGAGCTGTTCTGAACTGCTGATGAAAAGTAGACTGCCAAGATTAAATTACCTGTGTTTCTCTGCAGTGGATGCTAGTCTTCCTGCTATATAGAAAGGAGCCCTAAGGCTGCTCTAGCTGAGCTATTGCTGTTTTTTATGAATGTTATTTCATCCTAGCAAAACCTCTCAGCATAAAGGAGCATGAGTAGGTTCTGACAACAATGTGCTCTGTCATTGCCACTGTTGGACTCATCAGTGCAGATCAATTATTAGTCATGTGGGCCTTCTTACTAAATCAGTGGAGTTAGGTTCCATCCTAAGCCACTGGTGACCACAGGAAATAGAAGAAGGCAGAACTAGTTTAGTCTTCTTAATGTATCTTATGTTTTCTTACAGAGGGTTTCTGTTGAAAGGGTTGGAAAACTGAAATACTTACTTACCAGTGGAAAGTATTTCATGCTATTTGGAGAGTGCTTTGGCCACCATGGACTCATGCTCCTCACAACCTACTAGCGTGGTGGTCGTCTTTCAATTAGGTGCATGCTACCTGGTCATTTGCCCTAAAACTAGTTTGTTACACCATTGGAATCCATGGAGTTCATTTCAAATAGCAGCTTAATTGTCCTGATCAAAATATGTAGGGAAATGAGATCTAAAGCTACATGGAAGTACGTGTAATAGTTTTGCTTTTAATTCCTAAAATCATTTGTCTGCCTTTTTTCCCCCTCAGACACGCTGTCCTGAACAAATAAAAAACTTCATGCATATTAATCTGAAATTCTCATCTGTGATCATATATATTTATATAGTAAGTAATATTATTAGAAGTTACTCTTCTGTTCGCAAAACTGAAGTAACTTGAGTGCAACAAGTAATTTTTAACAAGAATTTGTGACTGTGGAACAACTTAAGTTAGTGTTACTGAATTCATTTAAAAAAAATTGTTGCATACTTAGGATATCAGGATTTCTTTTCTCACTTGGCCACTTCAGTTAATCATCAGCCTAGATTACGTCTCCCATGTGTGATTGTATGAGATGTTTCTTCCATCAGTTGCAGTCATTGTGTAGCTATGGCTCTGTCAGCATTTCCAGGCCCTCCTGGAGCCGGGGAGGGGAAGGATGTGGTGGAAGACATTGAACACATGTGAGAAAATATTCTTAAGGTGGGGAAAAAGAGAAGATATTTGTAAAATATTTGACCAAGAATAGCACAAAAAGGCGAAGCCAAGGAAAACAATATGTGAGGAAGGAGTTGTTAGTCTTATTTTAGCGTAGCAAGGTGCTAGTTTTCGTCTTGAAAATATGTTCAGGTGTGAAAATATTCAACCAGATTTATGAGGATAGGCTGACTTTTTTTTCTTCAAAGGTCAAGAAACAGATGGAACTTGAGCATGTGGTCAGTAACTGTAACTCCCAAGGCTTTACCCTGAAGGGAGGGAGATTTCTCAGAAAACCTGGCGGCTCGATGGACAAAAATAATCAAATCTGTTTGACTGGGGAGTCATTAGCTAATCTGTCTGTAGGGACTTTCCTCTATCACTTATTTAACAGAGTCAAACATCTGTGTTCTGCCAAAAAATCATAGGAGTTGAATAATTTGTGATTGAAAACATTCTCAGTAAAAAGCAGCCCTACCTTTTTTTTTCCATGCTTTCCCTATCTAGAATATTTTGTCTCTTGAACAGTCTGATGGTTTTTTTTTCCCAGACTTAGGTTATTTTAAAGCAAATTTTTATTGCATTGGTAGCTTTTTTCAGTAAAGAGCTATCCAGTTACTTCTTTTTATCATGTACTTAGATTGCTTATCTTATTGCTTTGCATTTTCAAGAAAGATATGTGCAACTGTTCCATCAGTTGATCAATGAGCTTGTTTATAATAAGGTGCCCCATAAGGTTTTTACCTTACTATGTTATGGTTTTAGCTATATTAATATTTAGGCAATAGACGTAGCTTTTTGCTTTTCCAACGTTCCTTTTCCTGCTCAAGACTGTCACTGGGCAGTCAGTTTGCACCCAAACCGTGAGGGTTGCTCTGAAAGTAATACTTCCCATTTTTTTACATTGGCCCACAACATCAGAGGCGGATGTTGGTGGTGCGGCAGTAGAGGTTGAACCTTCCAGCCAATATTCTGTTATGTGTTGTTGCTGTGCAACAGATGGCAGCAGAGGGGCAGTCTGACAAAATGGCGTCTGACATGGAAGTACATGCAAAGCAAAGGTGTGGAATTGTATTCCTCTGTGTGGATAAAATTGCACCCTTTTGGCCACAGAGACCAAACACAGTATTAACACAGTGAGGTGGTGGGTGGTACATTTCAGCAGTGATAGCAGTACCATGAAAGACAAGCTATGTTCCGGATGGCCATGCACAGCTGTCACCCTGTGAAATGAAGAGCGACTCGATCAGCTTATCCACTTGAATAGGATTACAAGCAGGGGACTGTGTACAGAGCTGAATATCTGCTTCTGTGTGCTGGAAACGATGGTGGCAGTGTTGAAATATCATGAAGGTTGTGTTGGGTCTCACAGATGTTCACAAAGGAGCAAGAAGAACACCACCTGCAAGTTTGTCAGGACCTATTGAACCATACAAGGCTGAAGGCAGCAGCTTCATGGATCGCATCATTACTAGTGATGAGATGTGGTTTCTCCACTATGAGATGGAGCCAAAACAGCAACATGTGGAGTAGTGACATGTGAATTCCCCATGGCCCTCAGTGTGTGTTTGGGATAGTAAAGTGTTGATCCTTTTGGATTCCCTGGAACTCAGACAGACCATCAACTCTGACCACTATAGTGTGACACTGACTAAGCTGAAGGCTTGAAATTCTGGAGTCAGCCCTGTCTTCGTTTCAGCTGGTGCAGACTTGTTTTAGTTTGTAGTGCCTGGTACGATGCTATGCTAATAGTGTTAGGGGAAAAAACAATGTTGATAACACACTGGGAGGGGGCAGGGTGGGCCAACAACTGCGTGGTGCTCAGCTGCCTGCCGGATTGAACTGCAACAAGACCGGAGAAGATGACAGCCTTTCTCTTCCAGTAAGAGAATGCCATGCTCCATACCAGTTTGAGGCTGTGAAACACATTGCCAACCTTGACTGTGTTGTCCTGGACTGTAGTCCAATTCAGCATCTTCTGACTTCCATCTGATGAAAGATGACTGCCTGGCAATGTTTTCCTAGCAGCTGTAAAGCAGTGGGTCGCCTCTGCTGGTGCAGATTTTTATGAGGGAGGAACATAGGCACTTGTTCATCTCTGGCAAAGATGCATAGCTAATGGTGGTGACTGTGCTGAAAAATAGTGTTCTTCAGCTGAGAATTTGCTCCCTCAAGCAGTGTTGTTGTGCTCTTTGTTGTAGTTTCCTGGGAAATAGACAGGAGGCATTACTTTTTGAGTGACTTCTTCAATTTTTTTTTTTTTCCAGAAGTCATGGCTAGCTCTTAATTTTGTCCTGTTGATGGCAGGAATGGCTCTGCAAAAAGTGGTTCTGTGCATTGCAAGTTGTTCTTAAATCTCTTCAGAATAGGTTAGATGGTTGATTATGGATGCGATAGCGGCTTTCCTTTTACTTGTTGCTTTGGGTCTGTGCCTCAGCTGTTTTATACTTTGTCATCCTCAGGGCCAATGACTAAGGGAATAGCGGAGTATTTGGTGAGAAGAATGTGATTAATTTTTTTCAATGTCTCTATTGTTAAAGTTTTATTACAAGTGTCAAAATTCAAATTGCTGTCACTTCTGTAGCAACAGGTTGCTGTAGCTTCAAATTATGCCATCTTAATATCATTTTCTGTTTGCTGTTGATACTTAGATTCTGTAGCATTGTTATAAGCAGCAGTATCTACAGGGATTGTAGATGCTGGCTGCCACATATTTATAATTCTAGCACTACACATCTGTAATCAGAATTTCTTACAGATTAACACTGTTTATTACACTATGTGAGATATTCTGTGTATTCTAGTATTATATAATGTAAAATGTCTTACTGCAAGACTCCATTCTGTAACTTTGCTTAAGGGAAAAAGATCCCATAAAGCTTTTTATGTATGGAGTGCTATGATCACAGTATAATTTAGCTATCATGCAGTCCCATGCCAAATCAGTTTCTTTAGCTAATCTCTTGTAACACACTGTTGTGTGGAATCTGTGTAATACTGGTTGCTGTTTGTCAGAATAACTCTTACTCCATCCAGAGCATGCTCTGTATATAACATAACAAGGAAAGGGGCAACAGACTTTTTTTTTGTATTGATTTTTTTTTCCGGAAGATGATAATTGACAAAATGAATTTCAATTGACTTAAGGCACAGCCTGATCAAGAAGGCTGTATGTCATTCCACGTGATAATAATTTTGTGCCATTCACTTGAGTTTGGCATAAGTGAAGTAACAACAAAATGTTTAAGTATGACCTGTCACATGATTCCATCATGAACCAAATTTAACTGAAGAAGAATAGAAGTAAATTACATGGTAGTTACATATGAGAATGCAACTTATTCTGTTCTGTTCAAATGGGCTTAGATTATATCACGTGACTACTTACTTATACGTAGGTAACTCTTATCACCTTTTATTCCCCAAATTTATCCACAGTACAACTTTTTAAATGTTCTCCACTTTCTCCATTTCTCTTGAAAAGAAACAGATGCTTTCACTTGTTTTTAAGGCTTTTTATAGATTGGGGCTTACTTACAAATATAGAGAATGGTAAAATGAATGGTTTTGCTGATTGTTAGCCACAGCTAAGGGCAGCTGTGGCTGTTTTGTAATCTCAAACATTCACCAAAGCTGTACCTACAGAGTGAACACATTACAGCTCTTTGTGCAGATTTTTATGTTAACAAGAAAGCCAGTGGGTGTTTTGGTATTTGGTACCAGAAAACTGATTACCGGTGCCTTAAGTGTCGTAATGGTGCATGAACATTAAAGTAGTAGCTTTAATAATGAGAGCTAATTTTCAAAGCAAAGTTGTTGTTTTTTTTTTTTTTTTAATAAATTGATCTTTTCTTTCCATTTATCTATTTCAGTTCTTCACTTGTCTGGTGAATGCAACAATTCATAGAAATGTTGTAAAGAATTACCAGAGAATTACCAACTTGTTTGTCAGAGTTCTTAGATGAAAATATTTGTAGTGAGGAACTTTGCTTGTTCTGCAGCAACAACTGCCCATTTGCTTTCTCCTAATGCTGTTATTTCACTTTGCCTTTTCAAACAGCTATGATGTTTTCCTTTACTTTTATTTCTTAGAGTGTGAATATAGAGAAGCTGCAGGGAACATCTATCAACATATCCACAGAAGATGGGCTCCTGAAAACTAAGTATCTCTATGCAGAGTCTTCATCTCTCTCTTCAGTAGCTGGTGATATTCTGCTGGGAAGTATTCATGGTAAGAGCTGAGTTAGGGAAGTTCTGTCAAAAATGTATCTGCTTCGAAGGTATTCATAATGTTCACAGTAACAAAAGGACTAATGCTGTAGTCTATCTCTGTATAGTCAGCTGTGCATGGTACGTGAACAAAGCAATTCCGTATTTGCTAGGTACTTAATTGAGGAGAGTGAACTTACCACATAGTATGTTGTATTTGTGCTTACAAAATTCTTTTCAAAAACACATGAAATAGGAAACAAACATAAAACATATACTAATGAGGTCAAAATATTTTTCAAAGAAGCAATGACAATTATACTAAAAAAAGACTATTTCTGCTAAAATCTTTGACATACAGCCAAGTTCTATAACAAATCTTCATGGAAGCTGTAAGATCTACCTTACCTATGAGTAAAATAAAGCAGTCTCTTTTCTGTCTGTGTGTACTGACACTGTATAGTAACAGAGTGGTAACAGCTTTTGTTATGTAGGGGGATGGAGGAGAGAGTCTCTCATCCATCTGCCCTTTATTGTCATTTGTCTAGAACTTAATTTATTAATTTGAGTGTCTTCTGATATAAACAGTAGTCAGGGTTGTAACCTAATGTTTATTTTTTCTAATTTAATGGAGTTTCCTGACTATACCACAATGCAGTTGTGATGGTTTAACAAGTAAAGCAAAGTGGAAGATATACAGGCTGTGAAAATTACTCAGGCCATCCAAGTTCAAGTTTCTAGCTATATATTTTTATAAGCAATTTGCTGCAATTTTTAGCAGTTTTGTTATCTTGTTCCAGAAATGATTCTCCATTGTCCATTTATAGTAGACAGAAAATTGTTTTCTAAACCCATTAAGTTCACTTCAGCATGCATAGAGAGAAATAATAATTTTTGTTGCATTTTTTATAACATGTAGGCTGTTCTGCTACTAGTACTTCTAGCCAATAAGCTGCTGAGGTTTTAGTTTTTGCTTTTTCTTCTGACTTCTGTCAGTTAAGCTTTTGTGGAATAATCATTCTGTGTGCTTGTTCATGCCTCACATCCGGAAGCTTTTTATCTTGATACAAAGATGAAATAACAGCTGTTGTTAATGGCATACCTCCTTTGTGATGCTTCATTGTAATTTCACTAAGGAACAGTGTGAAAATAAGTTCAACTGTTTCAAAATTATACAAGATATTTCTAACATTGCTTCAGAGTTATTTTCGTTTCATCTACTAAATGGGTCTGCAACACCTAACAGTATTTTAACTGTTTCTTTTAAAAAATGGTTTATGGTTTTCACACACAACTCAAATTTCACAGACCTGCATGAGTCCTGTCTTGTAGCTGAAACCTGGGTTGTATAAGCCTAGTTCTGTTGGTGCCCAGGCTTGAGTGGAAACCTTGGCTCTGGAAGGGCCTGAACTGAATTAAAATAAGGAACTGAAAGACTACAAACAACTCTAAAGAAATACTAAGGTGATTCTGTATTATAGACCTTAAGTAATCCCATAATGGTGATTCTGTCTTCAGTACTTCTGTTCTCCAGTGCCTCAGATTATGGAGGCATGAGCATATTGTCTGAAGATAATTTCTTGTCACAAAAAACACATGCACAAAAAAAATACACCACCAGAATAGTACAAATAAGCAGCAGGCAAAAGTCTCTTGGCCTTTTCTTATTAAACGAAGTGAGTGTGTATTATGTCTACGTATGTCTTACAGTGCTGAAATTATGTGGTGGTTTTGGAGAGAATGAAAACTGCTTTTTTACAGAGCATCTGTATCTCTATTAGCAGGATGAATACAAGTAGTAGTTTTATCACCTGACTACTAATTTATTAGCTCTTAATGTCTGTGAGATTTCATTCCTTCTTTCAGTGCAAAACTGTTGTTTGTACTTTTCTAATTATTAAAAATCTAAATAGAATTTCAGATTTTACTTAGTTATGCCACAAGCATAACTTTTAATTTAACATAAAAATGCTTGTGTGAAAAGGTGTGTGTTTTCACTCGTGCTAGGAGGTATGTGAATGATACTGTCTCAAAATTACAGAATAGGCAGATGGACCATTTGGTGGATAAGAATTGGGCTGGATGGTTGTGCTCAAGAGTTGTGATCAACAGCTAAATGTCCAGGAGAAGACCAATGACAAATGGTGTTCCTCAGGGCTGGTATTGTGACCTGCACTGTTCAGCATCCTGGTTGACAAGATGGATGGTTGGATTGGGTGCATCCTTAGCAAGTTTGCTGACAACACCAAGCTGTGTTGTGTCGTTGACATGCTGCAGGGAAGGGATGCTATCCAGGGGGATCTTGACTCGCATGAGAGGTGAGCCTGTGCCAGGCTTATGAGCAAGTGCAAGGTCCTGCAGCTGGGAAAGGGCAATCCCAAACTCAAATACAGGCTGGCTAGAGAATGGGTTAGGAGCAGCTCTGAGGAGAAGAGTTTGGGGGTGTTGGTTGATGAGAAACTCAGCATGACCCACCAGTGTGTTTACAGCCCAAAAAGTGAACCATATCCTGGGCTGTATCAAAAGTGTGAACAGCAGGTTGAGGGAGGTGATTTTTCCTCTCTGCTCTGCTCTTGTGAGACCCCACCTGCATTACTGCCTTCAGCTCTGGGGCCCCCAGCACAAGAAGGATATAGTCCTGTTGAAGCACGTCCGGAGAAGGGCTTTGAGGGTGATCAGAGGGCTAGAGCACCTCTCCTATGAAGGCTGGCTGAGAGCTGGGGTTGTTCAGCCTGGAAAAAAAATAAGATTCTAAGAAGGTTTTGTATTGGCCTTCCACTGCCTAAAGGGGGCCCACAGGAAAACTGGAGGGGGGCTGTATTATGGGGTTTGTAGTGATAGAACGAGAAGTAATGGCTTTCAAGTAAGGAAGTGTAGATTTAATTAAATACAAGGAAGAAATGCTTCAGTATGAAGGTTGTGAGGCACTGGTATAGGCTGCCCAGAGAAACTATGGATGCCTCATTCTTGGCTGTGCACAAGGCCAGGTTGGATGGGGCTTCAAGCAGCCTGGTCTATTGGGAGCTTTCTCTGTCTATGACAGGGGAGGTGGAACTAGGCAATCTTTAAGGTTCCTTCCAACCCCAAGCAATTTATAATTCTATGATTTTGCAGGTCATTGCACCTTTTTACATAAAAGCTAAGCAACTTTTATTCAATAAGACAGTTAGAATGAAGTGTCCAGAAATGTGCTCTTACAGAATGTTTTGGATCTGACATCACTACATTCTTTAAGATGCCCTTAGAATGGAGGATTTCAGTTTGCGTGGAAATGTCAGTGAATATACATGTTTGTTTCTGTAGTCTAAGCCACAGCTGAAGGGAAGGGAATGAATGGTCCCAGTTGAATCAGTCTTGCAAGGAAATATAAAGGTAGAGGTAGGATGTTATGCATGTAGGCATTCTTAATTGTTCTTTTGCATGCTTCATCAGCATAACCCAGCCTCCTTGAGAGTCACTGAAACAAACAGAAGAAATAGAAATAACATGATTTAAAGTAACGCCCTTATTTACATTCTCAACGCTGTTTTTTCTCCTTGGACTTGCACTGACCCTATCTTGCAAAACTATAGTCTGAAGCTTTTCATATGTGGTAGAAAAGATAGCTCTTCAGAAGCAGTAGATTAAAAAAAAAAATCAAAAACCACTAAGCCACTGTAATCAATTTTCTGTTGAAACTATTAGGTCTTAGGCTTCTCAGTGTTGTACTACCATACTGAATTCAACAGAACACTAAAATCAAGCTAGTAATTACCTTTTTCCTTCTTTGCTTTTGATATATCCGTAAAATAGATGGCTAACTTCAATTGTAAGTGTTGGTCTACACTGAACAATTATTTGACTAAAACTCTCTGCACTATTTGTAGACACAGCAGGAAACTCCCATCTGCTTTAAAAGTAACTTCTGTTCTAGCTAGATGTTTGAAATCAGCCTATCACTCTAATATGTGTACATTATGCAATTTTAGTCATATGCAATGTTTGTGATTGATATGATTTTGATTTCTAAATGTTTAATGTTCTTCAAGGATCTGTTTAACAAAACAGAAGGGAGAAAGAAAACCACAAAAACAAACAGCAGCAAATCCACAAGTCCTGAGAGCTATATTCAGATTGTGTGTAATCTCTGGGAGTTGCTGGTTGATTAAATCCTAGGGTGTTTTTTTTTTTTCCTGGAGATTGTATAAAAATAAATACTAGTAATAATAAGATGGGGAGAAGGATGAGGTAATTATTGTGTGCTCTAAAAAAAAAAAAAAAAAGCAAAACAAAAACTCAACAATGAAGCCAAGCCTCTTTCAAATCCACTGAAAAATTGTTTTGTTTCAAATGTAATTTGCAGAACAGCTCGGTATTTTATAGAGTATGTGCATGAAACAATGAATTCAAGACTATTGATGATAGGATTCTTTTCTTGCTTTTAGTTTGTGGGCTGCTAAAGAAAACATTACAGATCATACAGTGGAATGCATTCTACCCTAATGACTGCATTCTACCCTAATGACTGTATAATTACTGTATAATTATGGAAGAGAGGAGCAGAACTTGATCAGGATCTGGAAACTTTTGTGAATACTATGCCTTGTTAAATTAGACTAAATTACTGTGATCAGCTTTTCATTTTGGTTTGTTATCTTTCTGGGACAATGAGGGAGTAGCAAGAGTGAACTGTTCACTTTTTTCACTTAAAGCTTTTCTTCTGATGCAGTATGCATGGCATAAATGGAAATATGAGAGCTTCTACCAACTTTTAGACTGTTAGCAGAAGAGCCATTCATACTGTTATGAGGTACGTCCCTCATCCTTCCAGGTTCTCTTGGTGCTTAATGTGATGTGGAAGGAGTGTTTATTTTGAGATTTACTGATTACACACCAGGGCCAGTTCAAAATAAGCACTGGGAATAGGCTCCCCAGGGAGGTGGTTGAGTCACCATCCCTGGATGTGTTTAAAAACTGTTTGGATGTGGTGCTCAGGGACGTGATTTAGCGGAGGGTTGTTAGAGTTTGGGCAGAATGGTTAGGTTATGGTTGGACTCAATGATCTTTAAGGTCTTTTTCAACCTGAGCAACTCTATGATTCTATAATGCAGGGTCAGTAAGAGACTGTTCTGTGTCGTAGGCATTCTACACTCTTGTTTGATTCTCCAGCCTGCACAGCACACTCAGATCTCTGAATGCAATGAAGAGCATTGTCAGTGGGTTGTTATATATGTAACAAGAGTAAGTTTGGAGGGAGTAGGTGAAGTTCAGTGATTTTTTTTTTAGGCAATTGTCTAGGACTAAACAACCTTTGAATATAAAGCAAAAATTCATGTGTTGGAGGATGAGGGATATATACATATTAACACATAGGGAAAAAAAGGAAAATAGAAACTATTTTATTATTTATCCTATTAAACAACTAGAATAATCTATAGTGTTAATGTGGGCATCTGACCAACTTAAAAAAAAAATAAAAAAAAATACTGTGCCTCTTTCGCTTTACTCAGACCAGTTTTTTTCATCCACGATCAGTTCTTGTCTTCCCATGTGTTGAGATTTTTGTTTGTAAAGCCATAGTATTGAAGCAATATAACTGGTTTATACTCTTTTGCTTTTATATGCAAAGCATGTATCTCACTGTGAGATCACATTACTTTAATCTCTGTTAAGATTTGAGAAGCCAGTCAAATAATCCACTTTTAATATTAAAATCTTATTTTTTCTTTCCTTATTAGGTAACACCAACCTTGAGACAAAAACAGGGAGTATCACAGTAGGTACGTTTTGTTTTCTCTTTAAGATAATATTTTTTCTCTCACTCTTCCCTTTTCCTTTTTAAATATGATCATTCACGCGAAAAGAAAGTAGATAGTTTTCTTATCTTCAAATTTTTCTGCTCTTATTCCTTTTATTTTCAAGAGCAGCATTCACTAGTGTGTATTTGAAAGATATTTTCCAAAGTTGGCTCTAACAGCCCTTTGCAGTCAAGCTACCATACTCCCTGTGCTTCAGGCATTGGACTGAATCTAAGGATCTTTAGATAAAGACTGGACAAAAGGGCATGAGAAAATACTAAGTGTGCATCAAGTGTAATCATTGTGCCTTTAATCTAGTTCTGGTTATGTTTGTTATCAGTGATTAGCTATGTTTAATTTTCATATCATGTAACATTAATCACTGATGTATTTATTGTGAGGTAGGAAAAAAGCTTATGAGAATGTAGTGTTTCCAAACTACTACGTTGATGACTCTCTTCCCTCCAGAAGTAGAAAGTAGATTTTAAATTTCTTCTCAGTTAATAACTGTTACACCTTTTCAGTTGCATTATGTTAAGAAAATGTGTGTGTGTGTATGTGTGTGTATGTGTGTATATGTGTATATATCTATATCTATCAGGTTCTATATATAATATATATATAATAATATATAAGGTTCTATATATAATATATATATTATATAATATATATAATATATATAATAACCTGATATAGATAGATATAGATACATAGAACCCGATGTTCTATATATAGAGTTTCTTACTTTCTTGACAATTTTCTTGTTATTTCTCTGGTGTTAAACTGAAATAATAGAAGGTATAAATAAGGCTAGTGATGGTTATTACAGTCACAGCATCTTGCAGGGACACCCTGTCCTGTTACAAGTCCTCTTATGTTTCTGAGCAATCTATATTAATATTCCTGGAAAATGAATGCAATACACATTCTCATGAGTTAGTCATTAAACCACAGAATTAAATCAAGCTTGGTAGTCTCTTTTTCCTTCAGTTAAATAAACTCATAGAATATGAAGAGTGCTTAAAGGTTTCTTAACACAGGAGCTAGTTTTTTCCACCAACAGATGATTGTTTTCCCATAATTAACTTGGTTCAGCTTAAACAGTTTGAAGCTTTGTGATTGTTGAACTAACTTTATTTCTCAGATTTCATTTCTGAGAACGTTGGTTACACTTAAAGAGGATTCTAATCCTAATCCTAAATCCCCTTAATTTTGTATGAATTGTTCTAAAGGCAAATGGCTTTTAAGATTCAGTGGTTCAACTCTGAAAACTTGAAAGTGTAAAGTTTTAAGTGCTAAATTTTTGCACGTGAGGAATTAATGTCACAGGATAACTCTCTGACTGTCCAACAAGCTGACACTTGCTGATACGAATAGGAAGAAAAACTTGCATCTTCTGACATCCTCAGTTGAGTTTTCATACGTATATAATTATTTAATTCTCTGCAGTAATATTTTACCAGATAACTGAAAAATACAACCCTTGATAGATCTTGAGGATGTATTCTTCTGGAAGGTTTATTTAATAGGTAAAGCACAGTTGAGAATGCTGCATTTATTTTTAAAATATTCAAGGGGAAAAAAAAACCCACAATTTTGAGGAATCTCTCATATACTTCTATATTGAAACATCAAACCAATGTTGTTTTTCACTCTAATTTTTATTGTTGTTTTTAGACTAGTTTTATCCAGTTTATGTATTTTTTTTTATTTTGGGATGTTTATGTAAAAATATATGTATATTTAAAGATTCTCTCCAAACTTCACTGTAACTTTAAATATCTAGCATGTTCTAGTGTTCTACACTGTTACTGTTAAAATATGAAAGTAGTGACAATGCCTTTTCCCATACCATGAGCTTTGTTAGTCACTGACAAATTGTTTGCCAACCCTTCACTAGAAGCATTTTACTTCTAGCACGTTCTGTGGATTTTGGATGACTTCTTAATTTGAAGCAACTGTTTTTACTTCTACTGTATGTTACTACTTAAAATAAATATTAGAAATCCAAACTACGAAAAATAGTGGGCTGCTTTTTTTTTTTTAAGAATTTGTTTGATCTTTTAAAACTCTTATTTGGTAAGTTCATAGAAAAACTGAGGTTGGAAGAGACTTCAGGAAGTCAGTCACAGAATGGCTGAGGTTAGAAGGGTCCTCTGGAGGTTGTCTTGTCCAACCCAAGTGCTTAAAGCAGTGTTGGCTGTGAGGTTGCTCAGGGCTTTATCTTGTAGTCTCAAAGATCTCCAAGGATGCAGACTATACAGCTTCTCTGGGCAAACTATTCCAGTACGTAATTGCCTTCAGGATGAAAAAGATTTTCCGTATATCTAGATGAAATCCTTCATGTTTCAGCTTAAGCCTTTTGTCTCTTGTGTTCTTGTAATTCTCCATTCTGAGGACTGTCTTCATCATCTTCGTTGCTTCCTTGTGGATAGTAAGGAGCTATTGTCAGGCTCTGAAGCTTCCTGTTCTACGGACTGCACAAGCCCTCAGCCTCTCCTGTCTGGGAAGTACTTCAGACCCTGACTGTCTGGTGTTCCTCCACTGAATTCTCTCCAGTTGATTGATGTCCCTCTTTTATCAGGAGCCCTAAAACTAGATGCAGTATTCTAGATGTGGTCTAACAAGTACTGAGTGAGTAGAAGCGGAGATAATCCCTTGCCTTGATATACTGGCTATGGTGCAGTTCATACTGTCAGGGTTACCGTTGGCCTTCTTTTCTGCCAGGGTGCAAGGCTGACTTGTGTTCACTCCAGCTAAAACTTGTTTATTCCTCAGTGTCACCATTATCGTCTGACTATGTATTCTCTACTCTACTGCCAGACCAAATTTTCCCCTACCAGCTCAAAAAAATAAAGAGAAAATTCTTATGGCATTAGTTTAACTCAGGGGAAATGACTTACAGGTTTGATGGCAAATTGACACTGCTTTATAAGCAGCAGGGGATTACTGTGGAAAGCAGGAATGTATATAAACATCCAAGAAATCCCTTATCTTTTTGTTTTTTACCCTTTTATGGATGTCAGTGTCCGTTGGCATTATTCTGCCAGCTTTTTTCTTCAGCAACCAATACTGGAAGACCAAAAGGCTTCAGTGACTTCCTATGGTAGACTCACGGTCTTAAATGAACTGAAACCTAACAATTACAGCAGAATTTCAATTTTCTTGAAAACGTGCAGAGTAGCTGCCTACTATTTGTGAATGATCCTCACGTGAAAATGAGCTGAAGTGTCTAAGACTTCTGATTTAAGAGTGTTCTCATATGGTAGTTCTCTTCTCTAGCATTGAGGCAGAATACCAGAATCTTATTTTCAGAGGGCTTTGAATGTGAAAAACAATGTGTTGGTTTTTTTTTTTTTTTTTTGGGCAACTGAAAAATTAAACAATGAACAGCTTATTTAGCAATGTTGCATCTGATTTTTTTTTTTTCCCCTCTCCTTGAGCATTCGATTTTTAAAATGTGCTCTAGTGAATTTTTAAATCAAAAATTTTATTTCAGAGTTCCATTGAGGCCATTTTTGTACCATCCTAAAGTATTGTTCATATATACTTTAAAATACATATGTATTAACCTTGCACACCCTTGTGTCTCAGTACTTCAGTTAATCTAGTCTTTGCCATCTACATGAAATGTGTTAATGTACTTGTCCTCGTTTTAAGCAGCCTTTGTCTTCCAGTCTCCTATCTCAGAACTTGGCCTTGGCTCTGCTGATGGCAAATTCTTTTCCTTTGTCCCCATGCTTTCCTCCACACCATCTTTTACAAAGGATCCTGCTCTCCAGAAGGAGAGACTGGGGTCAGCTGCGTTTTCTCATCCCTCAGGTGCCAGGTTATATATATATATATATAAAAAAAAAAAAAAAAAAAAAAGGAAGTTATCTAAAAAAAAAAACAATTAAAAAACTTAGTCTGCTATGAGTTAATACCTACTGAGTTATTACCTTTGTTTTCTCTTTCCTCTTCCCTTTCTTTATGTCCTCTTGAATGTAGAGAGTGTTTTGGACAGAGCTTATGTACTGGAGAAAACAGTTAATGGTTTTGAGTATATAGTAAAAGTAGGTGTTGCCTGGGTGTAGTAGCATTTTTCTTGCAGCTTAGAAAACCACAAACTTTTTTCTTTTGGTTGTGTTCAAACATTAAGTGATGATGATGATGCTGCGATGATTCATAGCTTCTTACGTAATGACAATGAAAATCCTCAATTTTGTTACAATATTAACTTTTAGATGCCTAGTGTATTTGAAGCAATATTTTTTTAGAACTTTTAATAAGAGATTATGTATTTGCAGAATGTATATCTTGCAACAGTTGTTAATACCCATACCTTTATAGGTGAAAAATGAAGTATTTATACTACGCGCTTCATAGAATCATAGAATGGCTTGGGTTGGAAGGGACATCAAAGATCACTTAGTTCCAACCTCCCTATCATGGGCAGGATTAACATCTACCAGATCAGGCTCCTCAGGAACCCATCGAGCCTGGTCTTGGGCACCTCCAGGGATGGGACACTCACTCCTGTGGGCAGCTGTGCCAGTGCCTCACTGCCCTCTGAGTGAAGAATTTCTTCCTAACATCTAAACTAAACCTCTTTCACTTTAAATCCATTCTCCCCTGTCCTATCGCTTCACCCACAAAGGGATGCTTTTGTTCCAATGCAGAGCTAAAATGTCTAAATTCCAGGCAGGAAAAATAAAACTAGGCATCCAAGTATGATCCAATTCCAGTAACCTCTAACATGCAATATTTTCCCTCAGATACGATGTCTGAAAGCTTTTCATAATTGCCACAAATGGAAAAACAATTGATACATTTCTTAATTGTTTTCTTCCCTCACGAGTTTGGATATTCTGAAAGAAGATCCTACCTGACCTACAGTAGGTCAGACACTTATCAAGATGAAGTCATACTTGGCACATTGTATTGTGATGCAGGATTGAAGCATGCAATGATTTTCTTTTTTTGCCAACAACAGGTTATTCACAGCAGACTATGGCCTTTAAAAGCAATGGTTATAGTTACAAAATCGGTGTGGAAATTAAGAGTTGAAAAATGTTCTGGACAGCTTTGTTAGCGACAGAGTTGTCTCCATGAGTGATTTCTTTGCTGCTGTTATAAATGTAGAATAGCTGATGTCTACTGCAGCAGTTATTTTTCTTAAAGCTTAACAACTAACTTTTTTGTAGTAGTAGTAGTAAATTCTTAAATAGTTGAAGTTGCTCAAGAGTAATCATCTGTTCTTTCTGCAGCAGAACAATTCATCCTTGTATTTCCTCTTGAGCTGTCAGTCCCTAGGAAACTGAATTTTAAAGTATGCTTTTTTTTCTTGCTTCTACTCTATTATTTGCATTAAACCTCAGTTAATGATGGGTATATACTTAGATATAAAAACCAATTGTCTCACTTGTGAATTATATATTGTCTCTAACTGTTTTGTCCTTCCAGATTCTCTTATTTAATGTAAGGTAATTTTTCCTTGATTTATTTGAATTCACCTATTTGAGTTGTAGAACTTTATCATCTCTGTTTTTAACCCCTTTTCCTGTTCTGCCATCTTCCTGCTTCTCACTTATTTACATATAGAGATGCAAACCTTAAGCAGCATTAAAAAAGATGGGCTTTGTAGAAGTCATGGGCAGTTTTACATCTTTCGGTGTCTGATTTGATGTCCATAAAACTTTTTCCATCAGTCACACTTGGTTGTTTACCTAAAACATGTTTCCTATTGTTTCTGTTGATCTCTTTTAAAGTTCCATCAGCCAGCTGTGCTGCCCAGACTGCTAGCGGCTCACCCTGGAGTAGCAGTGTCCTATCACAGCAGGATCGTTGTTCTTCACATTTCTGCAGAGAAAAGAACTAATAATATGCTTTGTTTAAAAGAGAAGAATTAGAGGCTGGATATTTCCTGTATCTGTTGACAACAAACTCTCTGTCAGGGTTAAATGGATCATAGAATCACAGAATGGCCTGGGTTGAAAAGGACCTCAAAGCTCATCTAGTTTCAACCCCCCTGCTATATGTGGGGTCACCAACCACCAGACCAGGCTGCCCAGAGCCACGTCCAGCCTGGCCTTGAATGCCTTCAGGGATGGGGCATCCACAACCTCTCTGGGCAATCTGTTCCCGTGTGGAAAAACTTCCTCCTAATATCTAACCTAAACCTTCTGTCTTAGTTTAAAACCATTCTCCCTTGTCCTATCACTGTTCACCCTTGTACTCATGGATATTCAGTGATAGACTGTTACTACATTTGATTGCAAAAAATAAAATAGTTTTTATGGGAAGATGTCTGTCTGCTGGTACCAGTCTTTTTATTAGAAGTTTGACTCATGTAAACATTAACTGTTTCTCTGTGACTGTTATTTTCAAACTTAAATATTACATACTTTTAAAAAAGTTACTAAGAAAATGCTTCATTGTGCCCTACCCAAGCAAAATCTCTTATCCACTCAATTTCAGGTAACAAAGAGTTTATTTGTTCTTTCAGAGCTGGAACAGAACTCCTTTTACGTACAGTCCACTGCATGGGAAAAGCATTCACATCCAGTTCCAGCTGTTACAGGTTTCTTGTTGGCCAAAGATGGTGTCAGTTTTTCAACTGACTAAATCAGGATTGGCCATTTCCATGTTTGCTTGTAATACGCTGATCTTCCACATCTGCTCCAGATGTGAGATTAAGGCATTAATGGTGGACATCCTTGTTATGATTAATCAAGTTTATTCCCCAATGAATATTTTCACTTTTGAAATGACAAATTTCAGTCAGGTTTGATTTTGTTGTTTTAGCTACCTCTGAAAACATGCCTGTACTTCTTGTTCTGTTATTTACTTAGTGGAAACTAAGAAAAATATTCTTCTTCTGTGTTTCAAGATATTTTTGGTTAATATTTTCACTGCTAGCAGTCTTCCTAATTTGCTCACTTACGTTATGTGCTTTTTCTTCACACTTCTCCAGAGTTGCTTTGTAATTCCTTTGCAATTTTTATCAGCAATAGGTCTGTTTGCTAGCTCAAAAGTGAACTCTCTGTAATATTGTGAAAAACTGTGTAAATCCAATTGGAATAGATTGTGAATTATTTGTATACCTGAGAAGCAGCCTTTAAAAAAAGTTTTCTGTTTGAGAATAGGACTCTTCAGAAAGTTCTGCTTTCATGAAAGACAGACAGAATGAATGTTGATTTCTTATGTATATTAAATTGCAGCAGTTACTTCAGATATTCTCCTGTCTCCACACTGCAATGCACAACTGCTGGTCCTTGGCTTATGGTATTTCTGTGGGTAAAGCTCCCCCTGCACAGAGTGGTTTTTAGTGCAGTTTTTTAGTGGACAACTAAAATAGTTGAGATAGTCCATACAAATATGAACTTATCCCTGTAGAAGGAGGTGGACATGCTTATGATTTTGGTTTGGGAAGAGAAGTTCTGATCAGAAACCTGTTTTTCTCAGCAAAGTCTGACATTCAGTGCTTCAGAGGAGTCTTTTACGTGGTTAGATAGCAACAGAATAAAGGGGAATGGTTTTAAACTAAAAGGGAAGATTTCAGTTTGATGTTGAGAGGAAATTTTTTACTCAGAGGGCAGTGAGGCCCTGGCACAGCTGCCCATAGAGCTGTGGGTGCCCCATCCCTGGAGGTGCTCAGGGCCAGGTTGGATGGGGCCCTGGGCAGCCTGAGCTGGTGGGGGGCAGCCAGCCCATGGGAAGGGATGGGGATTGGTGGGCTTTAAGGCCCCTTCCAACCTAAGCCTTTTTATGATGATTCATTAAATTAACAGCGAATATTGCTTAAGCGTACAGGAATTTATAAAGTTAGTTCAAAGAACAAAAATAAGATTCTTGCAAATTTTTTTCTAAAAGTGAACAATAGCACCTTTCTAAATGTACACAAATCCTTTCATCTTTTTTTTTTCTTTTGTAGATTCATCAGATGGAAGTCTAAAAGCTTCTACACTTCATGGGGCAATAGATGTTTATGTCAGTCAATTAAGAGAAGTGGATCTGAAATCCCAGAAAGGTTAGAAAACTGCAGCACATATATTTTTAATGGCAATTTATGATATAAAATAAAGAAGATTAGGTAGGGTTTGGTGTTTTTTTTTGTCTATTTAAAATGATTATTACATGATTTTTGGTAATTTGTGTTCTTTTTTACATCATGGTTAAAAAACATATATAGATACTTATAATGTAGTAAACTCAGTAAGATACAGTGATGCTTTAAAACATATTACAGTTTTTTGGTGGTTATTTTTTTACTTCTTTAAATACTTTTTCTTGGTGATCTATTCAGTAGAATTCTGTATAGTTGACTTGGGTTATGATCTTTGTCTTGAGTACGGTGTAATCCATGCTGCTGGTATATATTACATACATATTCACTGATGTATGTGTGTACCATTCACTGACATTTCTTTTCCCTGCTTTTTCCTGATGCAATGTCCTGTTATTGAAACAGGAAGACAGAACAATAAATATGAGAGTTCCCTCTACCATTCTTCCTGTTTTTTTTTCCCTCCTTATTACTCACTGTAACTTTGCTCACTCCTGGAGTTCATCATTTTTGCCATTCAGAAGAGATGATATTGTGAATACTAAGCACTAAAGACATCTTGTTAGCCATAATTTTGCAAAACAAACAAAGAAATCCAAAGCTACAGCTCTCTTTATGTTAATGTGATGTCAGACAGTTGAGGTGTTTTAAATGAATGTGGTATTTGGTAGCTTCCTCTGGTTATCTGAGAGGTAATCTTATGCCCTATTACACATAGCAGTTAATCATAAGGGAAATAATGAAAAAAAATGGATTGGAATAATTTATGCTGTTCTTCTTTATAAGCCATCCTGGCTTCATTGGTATGAGTAAATTTATTTTTATATTATTTCTGAGTTATGTTTTGAATCCCTAGCTTATGTCTCTTTGATTTCGTAGCAAAGAAAAATGTATTTAACAAAAGCTAGTTAATGTTATTTTGAAAACATTGCCTGATGGCTCTTCTGGCAGCACAGTTTGGTTAAGGCAAAGTTGATAAAGTTCTGTTTTCATTTACTCTGTAACTTTGGAGTAACTGCTGACAGCTGCCGAGTAGAAAATGTCCTATTTGTGATAAATGAGTTGCATGTGTTGGATTTTATGAGTCACGTCACTGAGCTGCTCCCAGAGGGGAGGACCAAGGAAAAGACTTTTTCCCTCTTTTATCCTAATGCTTTTGTGTATCCAGCAAAATTTAGGCCTAAAGTCTTGGCAGTTATTTCTTCTTCAGGAGTGTGACAGGCAATTGATTCGTGCGAATGTAAACTGCATAGCTCGAGTTGCTTTCAGTCTGCCTACGTAGCCATTACATCAGTTTTGTAACTGTGATCTGCTTCAGCTTTTTGAATGTAATTAAAGAGAGTGTCTTATTTTTTTCTAAAGTGCATGTTAGAGCTGAGTAAAAACTAAGAAGTACGTATGTAGAATGTGTGTTTTGATTATTGCTAGTATTTGTTTCAGTGTGCAGTGTGCAGCTTCCAAACATTGCAACTGAGTAATTCCAAACATGATGGACATTGGGAGGTTGGGGGCCCAGTATTTGCCTTCAATCTGCTGCACAGAAGCACTTATTTAGAGGAAAAAGAATTCCTACATATAGATTCTTTTGGTTTGTTTTGCTAGCATTAACAGTACGTAAATGGGATCCCATCACTGCAGACGAACAGTTCTTCTATAACATTCTTGTGTTGTGCTGCGTGCAGTAGCTGGATTAATCATTAAATCAAACCCTGTGTCCATGCTCAGGAGTGCAAATACACAACTGTAAGATGAAACCAGAGTCATAATACTTGTGAGATGTGTTTTATTTGCTCCCCTTGGCCTTCCTTGCAGTAAGGTCCTCTAGCAAGAGCCGTTTCTGGCAGTATATGCCAGTGTTAATTCTCATGCTGCCTGAAGAAATACTGTGGTTCTATTTTATATGTGACATACAATATTCTGATTATGAGAAATGAAGTTATCTTTGTTAATCTTTTGACAGAAAAAAAGAGGTTACAGTGTCTGAAGGACTGTTTGCCTTAAGTTGCTATATAATGGCCCGTTTCATGCTTTGATCTCAATGTTAATCTAACAACCTTTCATTCAAATCTGTCAGGTTCTATTACAATCAAGGTACCTGCCTCTCTCAAAGCCTATTTAGAGTTGTCTGGAAGAAAAGTGGATGTGAGCTCAGAGATCGAGTTAAAAGAAACACGGAGTGCCTCCAAAGATGATCACGTAATTTTAAGTGGTAAGGCTTACTAAGCTTGGCTACCATTAAATGTCTGTCTGGCGTCAGTCGAAGACATCCACGTTTTCTTATGAGTTTGTTGCTCTTGGCCTCTTCTTGTTTCAGCTGTTTCAGATTTCAGATGTTTGCTTGTGCCATTGAACTCTCCATGTTTCTAGATGGCTCTTTCATTTTGTCTGGTAAATGATTGTGAATGCAAACAACTGCTTTTTAACATCTTAGATGTTAAACTCACTCTCAGCATTATTCCATTGAATTTGTGGGATGTAAGCCAGGGCTGAATGTGATCCATTGCTTTGCTGCCTTAAACAAACTCATGTAATAAATTCCCAGAGAATATCAATTAAAAATACACTACAAAGTTTTCTCTGCATAGGTAGGAGGGTGAATTAAAAAGTGCATAAAAACATAAAAGTATGTTTATAAATGTACAGTATGAATGTTAAACAGAGTGGGGTAGTTTGCGAAGTGATGGATGGGAGATGGCGAAGACCAGAAGTTGGAGTAAAGGATCCATGGAAAAAGGTATCTGCAGTTTCTGGGGTCATTATTCTAACAGATTTAAAATTGGATTTGGGAATCCCAAGTCTTATTGATTCCTGCTTTAGAAAACAGTTACGCTTTTCATTGTCTGGGTGTGTACGTGTCCTCTTGTCCAGACACATCTATCTCCAAGTTAAGGTTCTTACTGTTACCAATTACTCAGTTTGCTCAAGAGGCAATGCTAATATAATGTGTTGAAGGCTCCAGCTCTGTTTTTTGAAAGCATTATGTCAGTTGACCTGATACAGTAACAGATGGGTGAGGCTCTGAGTTTTCCTTTGAGAACTAAGAAAATCTGTTCAAAATTTCTTTTCCTCTCCCAAGTAAAGTAACAACTCCCGAGTTCTCACAGGTAAGAAATGTTAGAATTGTCTGTTAATAGTACATAACCCGCTTGTACTCTTGAAATGTATGAACGTATCTCCTCCTGCATTGAACAGTAATGTGCTTCTAAATTTATTACTGGTTATTAAATATAATTTTTTAAAACCTTGTTTAAAACTCCTCAGAAACATGTGGAAGGGCCCTGGATTCCAGTAAGGCTGTAGGTGATAAAGCGCCTCAGCAGCAAAGCAATGCATTTCCTTGTTGCCAGTCATCCTGCTACTCTGGCAGCGTTAAAGATAAAATTACTGTTTCAGATATACACAGCTCAATGGCTTCTCTGGTGCAATCCACTCAGTGTTTCTGTAGTGCCATCAACACTGAAGCAGAAGCAATTTTTCAGCCTACCACACCGTATCTAAATGGTCCTGGCAGATTAGCTCCAATTAGTTAATTCTCAGATATATGTATCCCAAAGCCATGGAAATCATCAGGAATTATGCAGAGGCAGCAGCATTTGGCCACTGCTCATTGATTGCTTTCAAAGAGGAGTTGCACAAGAAGCCTGTAAAATGTACGTCAGAATACAGGTAAATGGAAAACAAACCCTGGAACAGATTTTCTGCAGGGTGTAGTGCTGGGCTGAAGTGACACACCTTCATCTGCCTTACACTGGGCATTTATTTAGCTTTCTTAAATATTTTGTCAACGATTTTTAGCAGATTTCTTCTGCCCTTTTCTTCTCTGGTCTGTAAAAGGCACCAAACCTAAAGGACGATGAATTTATTGGTTTTGAGGCATGCTTGGTTCCTTTTCTTACTCTTTTGAAAATTGTACTTTGCCTTTCTTTGCCAAGCCAATAATGTTCCTCTGACATGGCAAGGGGGAAGCTTCCTGCTTCTCGTCATAGGGATGCTGCTTTCTTTCTGCAGCCAAGCACCTGTCCTCTCATTCTCAACAATCTCTTTTAGAAACTGATATTTGAGAATTTTCTTCTAAGTGTAGATTTTCAAATAATTAAAAAGGATTTAATGCTATTTCTATATCATGAAAACATTGTTCACCGTTGAAGTTTTAGGTATGGAGATCATAGATGTTTTTCTGCTGCAACTAAAGAAATATAAATAGGGAAGGGAGAGGAGTTTTGCCAACTAGAAAAAAAAAAATACAAACTTCAAGAGGCATGGCAGCTCTGAGCTCAGAGGTTAGTTTAAAAATAGATTGCTTTTCAGAAACCAGCCAGTTTTCATGTGGATGAGAATGAGAACTGGCTGCTTTCAGGAAGCTGTTCTTGCCTTTGGGAGTGTTGTGTGAGATATGAGAGAGGAGGTTCTCCAGTGAGAACTCTGTGACTTGAGTAAATATGCACCTGGGTTGTCACCTGCACTATGTGACACAGCCTTCCCTCCTGCTGTTAGGGCAGGTATGACCTGTGTCCTCACCTTGCTTCGAGGCTCCTGCTTCCACAGGAGTGAGGAAGGTGGCACACTATGGCCCTGTGAGCAATCACATCCAGAGTTGTGCAAGGCAGCCGAGGAAAAGATGTGGATTTCATCAAAGCAAAAGAATAAAAGGAGCAAGCACTTCAGAGGCAGAGTGATGAAACTATCAAAAGGTATTTCCTCTTTCAGAAGAGTGAGGGACTTGCCTACAAAGCTGGCATGCTTGTCAGGGGAGGGATGGAACCAGAGAACATGCTGGGGATTTTATTCCTCAGAGTAATTTGTGGGAATAAGGATCTGTTTCCATTGACATCAGTAGGCACTCCTGTAGTATGGTACAAGGAAGGTTATAAAAACAGATTTTTCATGCTAAGCACTGGTCCAACTTCCATCTGTGAAAGCATTTCTTTTCCTACCTAGTTTGAGAATGTTTAAGTAATTCCAGTAATTTACAATAGTAATTGTGTCAAGGCTTCTTTTTCCTTCACCTAGCAAAGAGGGTAGGAAAAGAGGACTGTCCTTGTCAAGTAGGCTCTGTAGCTTCTTGCAACTCATAGCTCTTCCTGCAGATGTGTGTGCCTTCCTCATTTCTTCAGGCCTGCCTTTATCTGGGAATCAGCTCATCTAAGAAGCCTGTAGAGACCATTAACTATATCTGGAACTACGTATGGTAACGGGAGAGGTAGCAGGCTAGTAATTGATTCTGTAATTTAAGCAGATAAGGCAATTAGGAGACTCTCAAGCCAAAGAGGTTACAAACATGTTAACTGAACTGATGAACATTTAAATAATCCTGATTTTATTACATTTTAAGCTATTTTTCCAGTATATCATTTTTACGTTTGAAGTGTGGAGGTAGGAACGTATGCATTCCTAAGATGAGGAGTATTTGAGTAAACAGGAAGCAATAATGTTATGCAGTTGAAAAAACACAAAACCACCCAAACATAATAGTATATTAACAGGACTGTTCTGTGAAACTCAAAATAATCCTTTGGCTTTACTTGGCATTAGTAATACTTTGCTGGAATGTGTCCAGTTTTGAGTAGTCCACTTCAGAAAGGATATGAGGAACCGTAGGGACTCCTAAAGAGAGCATATGCTCAGAGGTCGAAAACATCATTTCTGGGAGGGAGATTTAAAAAAGAAAAAAAAAAAAAAGTGTTGTTTTCTTCTTAAGAAAAGGAGTCTGAGGGAAGATGCTCTTCTCTATTATGTCAGAAATTGCTGCAGAGATGAAAGAAAATGTCCTCTGTCTGGTGATGGAACTAGAAATTATGATTTGATCTTACAGTAAAGAAAGCTTAGCTAAATAGCAGGATAAACTTTCCAGTAGTAAGTAATGGGCTGGAAGGGTCACAGTACTTGCACTGTAGCAGGTTTTGAAGAAGGACATAGGCAAGCATGTCAGATTAAAGCACACTGGAGACTGTTTTCAGCTCTACTTCCTCTTCTTCCAAGCTGATGTGGCCATCTGCTTCCATCAACTTCAAAGTGATTAACTGCAAGGAAGGTTATGAAGCATGTCTGTGGATGAATCTGGGGAGTAAATGAATGCAGCTATTGGCATGCTTACATTGCAAGCTTATGTTTTGACAATTGTAAGTTTGCTGGAAAAAAAGTCTTGCAGTCATTCCTTGACGGTGTCAATCTCCAAATCAAATTGTCTGGAATATAACCCATCTTTTACAACATGTAAATCTTCTGTCTCTGAGTGGTGCCAGTGACTCATCTGATTCCAGATCTTTCTCTTCCCCCAGCCCAGTTCTATTGCCAAGATGATATCCAGCAGCAACCTTTGACATGGTGCCATCCATCTACTTGGAGCTGAGTGAGCTAACTTTGGCGGTCAGTTGCTCCATCTGGCTTTCAGCACCAAGTTTCCTTGGTCCAAGTCCCACAGTGTCACAGGTGCTCCTCAGTGGCTGTGGATGTTTCTATTTACATGTTACCATATCTCACTGTTACTTTCTCAAGCTGACAAGCCAGTCCCTTTGTACTCTTCTGTTCTTTTACCAATAACAAACATATTCTTTGTGAATGCTTATCTTCTCTCAAGTCAAGAAGCATATGTGCTCCCTTATTGTAGCCAACATGACAACAGTTGCAAGAGCTAACAGGATTTGTAGTTTGGGCTCTAATCTCATTAGTCTACAGCACTAACACCTTGCTGAGCCTTATCTGAAGGGTGCTTCTCTGAGCCACATCACCTGACCATGCACAAAAGTGACCAGGACTCTTTCCTTCATGTTAACTTATGCCTTTCCCATTGTATCTGTCCTGGTGATGGAGAGGAATCTCCTGTTTTCTTCTTCTTTTCCTGTAAAAGCTTCCAGATACATGTTGCCTCTACAGTATGCGTTGACCCATCTTTCATTATTCTTTCATCACTAGGAACACATTAGATGGCCTTCTTCCTCATGTGCTTCTGGAGAAAGTGAGTCCAATTACCAGATCCCTTTGGTAGGATGGGTGTTGCTACCACCATCCTATTTCTGACTTCTCAGGTTTCTCCTATAACTTAGTTCATGTCTTTCTACCCTGCCTGGTTCTCCAAGACAACTTTGGCAAGGAGCACCTTTGCCCTCAGAATAACTAGGTATGCAGTGAAATGATAAGGATTTCATGTTGGCTTGAGGTTAGGACTGGACTCCTGTCTGGGCCTTATTGGATTTAGACAGATTGTTTCCTACCTAGATCTTCTCATTGCTCACAGAATGGCCCCTCATCCAGCAATAGTGGAAGAGCTGCCTGTGTAGTACTGTGGGCTTACCTTTAGTTTTGCTTCAAGGATTGGCTTATCCAGTATGCAAGGAGAGAGCTGACTGCGTGAGCTCCATGAGCCTTGTACATCATGTGCAGAGCCTTATGGGTGTATTTATTGCTTTTGTTACCAGAAATTCATACTATTTAAGATAATTTTTTTGCTGCACTGAATTACAGAATTAAACACAAAGACAGTAGAAGGGGCAGTGAATAATGTGAGGCAAGCAACTTGCCTTTAAAAGGGAAATAACTGAAAGAACATGTATCACAGCCTTCAGCTGAAACCTAAGTTTCTTCTGAAACTTAACAGCTGTGAAAGCATTGCACTCCTTTTCCCCACTTTGCAGCTGACTTTTCTCTGTTGCATTCAAAGTTTCAGTTCTGATCCCAGGAGTAACCCTATTAGCTGTTTTGTCCTTTGTTGTTTTCTTTGTTCTCAAGGCACTTCCTTAATACTTCTTTTCTAGAAGCACTTCTTATTGAATCTTTGCCACTAGGTCTGAGTGGGAAGGGCTTTGTTTTACAGTGTCCCTCTAAACACTGTCCCTCTGTGAAGCCTTGATCCTTAAAGCCGTATCTTAAAAAACAAACAAAAGCCCAGGTTGTATCTGGAAAAGATTACATTCCTTTAAATCAAATAAGAAGTTCATCCAACTTTTAAAAAACACATTAGATGAGATGCTATCCTATGCATTTTTATTGGTTTCAGCTTGTGTTTAACTCAAGCTGTACGCAGCATTTTTGGGATGCACCACAGTGTTTAGAAAACCAGTGAAAAGCATTTAAAATCTTTGTACGTGTTATGATATGAACATAAAACTGCTTCAGTTTCTCTGGCCTACAGTAAGGCATACAAATCAATGATCAATTCTTGACTGCATAAAGTTTTGCAAAGACCTTCTCTGCCTTAGACACATGTGGAAAAACTTCTTAAGTTTTATACTGAGAAGGTGGCCATGCAGCATACTGGTGCATCTGTCTTTCCCTGAGTTCATGCTGTTGCCTTGACTGGTGGGTTTTGAAATGAAATACTTTTGTGTGATTTAATCGTGCTAAAAGTCACCCTCAAAACCCGCTTAACATTCCCACAGTACAGGCAGTTGTGTATCATTAAGATCAAATTGTGATCAAGAAATCTCCTACTTAAGCTTTGTTGCTTGATTAGCACCTCCTACACAAAACAATTCAAGTATCTTAAGCTTGATTTGAACCTGCTACTGGCAATAGGATTAGTAACCATAAGATACTTTGAAGATCTGCATCCCAGGGGAATGGAATTTGATACTGAGTTTGCTGCAGGCAGTTTTATATTCCTGCATTCCCTTCACAGGCAAATCTCCAAAAGAAGCACAAGGAACAAAACATTTTTCTAAGTTCACATAGCAAATACTAAATGAGAAACAGAGCTCAGACTACAACTGAGCTTTGAAATGACTCAATTTGTTTCTGTGTTTCTCCAAAACTCTCTGTTAAAATTTTAGCAGAAATGTAGCAGGGTGAAATCATCTACAGGGCTGGTTCTGTTCTTCAGCCTTTGTTCCTTCCACAGAACAACATGACATGGTGACAAAAAAACAAGAGAGGAAATGGCTGTAGCCAAGCACTCCAATAGGCGCTTTCTGAGAAAATGTCTTTGTCCTGTAAATGTTGTGTTGTCTTCTCTTAGAAAAACAGCTGCATTTTCAGTGCTCCAGAACTCTGTGAAGGGATCAGGTGGAATTCTTCTTTGTGTTACTTTGTTGGTTCATTTTTATTTTTATATATGGAGACTCTCCTTGTTTTTGATTTCATATACAATGCATTTGCCTGGCTTTGTAGTGATCATCGTAAATGTATTTCAAGTCCCTGATTAGATGGAGTGGATTCTACCGTACTGCCACTGCCTTCAGGTGGAAAGGATGCAGTAAGCATGTGGTGTAGTTGAGGCTTCTGCTACCTTGTGCAACCAGGAAGGCAGAAGTTGTACTGGGACGTTCACGTGGGGATCCCTGAAGGCACATTGTAGTCTGTTAGGAAAGAATACTGAAATCCTTCTTCATTCAGTGGGAGAACTTGGTCAGCGTGGGACTCCTCTGAAAATCCTGTATTGCTGAACCATGCTTCAGCCTGCTCGTATTGGTCTTGGCCCATAGCCATCAAGTAATCCCACTTAGCTGTACCAAAAAGCTGAAATACTATTGAAAAATTCTGCACGTTGGCTTGAGTTGTAGAAACCAATGCAGTGATGTAAGTTGGAGGTTTGCCACTGCTTTTGACACAGCCAGAATTTTACTTCAGCTCTGTTACAGGTCAGAGCGGAGCATGTTTGCAAAGTTGCTTCAGAATCTGCTTCCCTGCCATCTGACACGCTATTCCAAGCTCAGATTAGTTCTAAACTTAGAATTCACTCAGTCACACGAACGCTGAAATAACAATAAAAGGCACTTTGTAAAAATAAGCCAAAATGAAGGTTGATCTTCTGATAAAGGCACGGGTTTGGGACTAAAAGATGTCAGTTTAATTCCCAATTTGGTCACAAACCTTCTGCATAAATTTGGAAGGTCACTTAATCTCTCTTGGCCTTAGTTTCTGATCTGTAAAATGGGGTTAAGTTCAACTTTCTTCTTTGTTACAGAGTGAGGTTTTCAGAGTGTGACCCTTCTTACTGAGTTTAGATGAAACATGGAAGACAGACATCTCAGTTTTGTTTTGTTTTTAAGCCAATGGCATAAGTAAGCAGTGATATTAGCAACATGTTTTGTCCTTTGGGTCACTGGGTCTTACCAGCATTTCTCTTCCATACTTACAAAAGAGATGTCAACTTCAGATTACCTTGAATGTAGACATATTTTCTAGCCTATGATATTTAATAATAAATAACACAGTAAGAAATGTAACAACAAATTATGGGAAATGGGATGAATACAAAGAACTGTATCAAAAAGGAAATGTTAGAAGCCCCAGCTAAAAATGCATAAAGTCTGTTTTGGTACAATCTGAAATGTTTCCAGGGAGCTTGGTGTGAAGGTGATATGTTTACTGTGTGACAAATTAAACTAAACAGGACTCTCTTTTCCAGGTCACATGAATCAAAGGAATGAAAAAGACAAATGGATTAAGGCTGACACACAAAGTGGCAAAGTGTATCTTAAAAGCCAAAGCTGGATTCAGTCTGTCAAGCTGAAGATTTCTTAAAGGCGAAATAGTCAAAACAATCAAGTCAAGAAACTGTAAAGGAACATTTTCTCTGGAATTATGAAACTTTGTTGATACATATTCTTAATGTAAGAGAGAAACAATATTAAAAATGAGGACTTTTTAACCCAAGATTTGCTGGTGACAGTGGCTGGTGATTAATGGGTCTGGTTTACTTTTTGTGCCTTTTAGAAACTACAAGGCCTTATGTATGCAGAATTTGTATGACCTGACCCACTCACCAAATCAGTCTTAAAAGCTGGTAACTTTCAAACAAAAGTTTGGAGTCATCATTTAAAATAAGAAAATTAGAGAAAAAAAAACCACTTTCACCTCCTGGTCTTCGGAAACATGAAAATTTACTTCCAAGGAGCTGTGCTCTGCCAACTGTTTTATATTTTTTAGCAAAATATCTTTCTACTGTGTGACTTCCATTGTTTATCCAAAACATAGAATTCTTTTTTCAATCAAATTATGTGTATTGTGGACAGGATAAAACCACTTTCAAACTTCATCACTTCATCTGTTTTTAACCCCTGAGCTGTTTCTGCTTTGTCAGCAGGCACTGTATGTGTAAAACTGCTTCTATGAAACAGAAACATGTTCCATGTTGTCCTGAACCACTTCCTTGTGGACTGATTCAGCAACTCAATGTAAGCTGCAGTTTTTCTACGAAGAAAAGCTTTTAATACAGATACTCCAAAGTGCAACTGGTGTCGCTGCTTTCAAGAAAGAGCACTCCACCAAGCAGGATGTTGGATATGAGTCCATATGAATGCTCCCCAAAGTAAAAGCTACTGAGCTAATAAATGAGAACTGTAATCTCCTTGCTACATTTCCATTTATCATCAGCCTTGCATGACAGGACTGTAAGCTCATGGAGGCAGAAAGGCAGAGGAGGAAGGAAGGCGAAGGAAGTTTATACACTGCACAAGAGACAATGATTTTTGTGGAGGATTTTGTTACTGTATTACAAACACACAGTAAACTAAAAAGAGCTTTTAAAAGCCTTTCTGTTTATATATGGCCCCTTATAACAGAAGTACTGAAGTTTGTGTTTTACAGCTGAAATGCAGAACTACCTGCCAACTGAGTGGATGGAGAGAAGAAACGAGGAGTTCGGAGTGTCAGTTCAGGTTTTAAATTGTGTATATGTATTTGTAGACCATAACATTATAAAATGAGATTTCCCAAGGCTATAGTTGCCCATTGCTAATGTTCTGCAGCAATCAAGGGCAGTTTTTTTACTTTAACTGAGAGTGGTTAAAAATTCTACATTCTGTTTCCCATTGTGTGTTAAGTTTGTTCTGATATCTATGGCAAATTATATATATATTTAATACACTAGTATATAAAACAGTAATGTCACTACTAAAAGGAATATAATATTACTAAATATTATTATACTGTTAAAGGATATACAATTAATAAATGTGTAATGGTTTCCTCAAAAAGTTTTGAAACTAATACTTTCTGAGCTGCAGACACAAAGTGAAAGAAGTACTCCTAAATTGTTGTATCTGGAAATAAAATATGTAGTAGATATTTCACAGAATTGAGTCTGCTATTGGTTCCATTATTCACCCTAATTACAAAGCCTGTCAGCCTCTGTGATTAAGGTCTTGTTTTGGGATACTGCTGCATTGGCTATCAAAGGGAGGGCATAGTAAGAAAGCATATGATTTCCTCTCTGTTCAAAATTAAGCAGAATAATGCATTCTAAACTTTGCTGTGATTAAACGTTAGGATAGCTAGTTATTTGCTTAAAGCTTAAATAAGCCATTAGAAAAGTTACACTACCAGTAGAGCTACTGTGGTGGTATTCCTTCTAAGTTAATAACTGTTGAGACCACTAGAACTCTAACATTAAGATCAAGAATGAGCTGAAGAAGAATAAATGTTTGGAAGATTACCCGAAAGACATCTGAGTAATGTCTTGTTCTAATAATGAGGTGAAACTTTTATTTTTTTTCTCTAGATAACCCATTAATCTTTTCTTATCAGTAATCAGGATTTAAATGGCAAGCCCTACATGTGCTCATTTTTCTTGTCCTTTTGATAGGAAGACGAGTTCTTACAACTGGAGAAAAATGAGGTTATAACACTTCTCCCATCTGTGCTCCCTTTCCTTTGAAGCTCCTGACTTTGTCAGCTGCCAGCTAGCCTGCAGTTCAGAACTGAAAGTATAGGCACTGGCTTGCTTACAGAGCTGAACTCATAGCATAAGAGGCCTTCATAAGAATTAGTGCTGTCAGTGTGCAGCAGACTGCTGAGAAGTAGAAGAGTCTTAAATGTGCATGCATAGTCGTGTATGAACAAACATGTCATCGCTACCTGGACACCGTTCCTCATCGCTCTCCCATGTTCAAGAAGCACTTGATGAGTACCAGCCGTGTCAAGGGGAGGTTCTGTGGGAAGTCTGAGTGTTTATGTTCTGGACAACCTTGATGGCAAATAAGCCCTAAACACATACAGATTTATTTATTGCTTACTCTGCAGGAGACTACAAAAACCTCTTACTATTGAAAGATGAAGACAGCTTGAATCAACATGTGAAAGTTAGCGATGTCGTTTCAGTGCAGCTGTCTTGCTTGAAGGCGTGCATGCCCCTGTGAGAAAGGTTTACAGAACATCCTTATTAATCCAGTGTGGTCTTTTATTGAAGTCTGATTAATTGCAAGAAAAATAATGCAGTGTTCTTTTCATGTTCTTGTGAAAAACAGACAAAAAAAAACAAACCCAAACCTTCAACTCTAGATGGTGCATAATTTCTTCATTTCTCATTTTGAAGAATTCGTTCAATCAGGTTCTCACTTGTGCTTTTTGGTGAAGGTATGTTACCATCCCTGTCATAGCCAAGCCAGGAAGGAGGGTCAGCGTTACTATAGTCTTGTTGCTCCAATCTGGAGTATATTTCAAGGCAGCTTATAACAGAAGAAAATAACAAGACAAAAAAATACTTTGCAGAAGTTGTTTCTACAAAGAACACTAAAAGTTTCCTTACCATAACTGAATCTCTTGATGTTAGGTGTCGTGGAAACTAGAAAAGAAGATAGTTGGTTAGATCATAGAGTCATGGAATATATCAAGTTGAAAGAGACCCATGGAAGTCGTGGTAGCTCTGTTTTTTTCAGAACAGATCCAGCTAGACCAGGTGGGTATGGCTCTGCTAGGTGAGCTCAGCTCTATGGCTAGAGATTGCATAGCCTCTCTGGGATTTGCATTTGACCGGCCTGCTGGTTAAAAGATGGTTTCCTTCTGTGTAATCAGAGCTTCAAATATACCAGCTTGTGGTTGTAACCTTTTGTCCCAGAAGTACGCACCGTTGAGGAGAGCCTGGCCTTGTCTTCTCTTTTGTATCCTCTCATCAGAGGGTCACAGACAGCAATATGGTCTCTCCCACTCCGATCCAAGTCTTCCCATGACTGACCAGCCCAGTTCTCAGCCTGTCCTTTCCCAGCCTCTGCTCCAGCCCTATGGCAGTCCTGGTAGCTCTCATCTTGATTTGTTCTGGCGTGCCCATGTCTGGCTTGGCTGGGGAGCCTGTGGCAGCTGAACTAGGAGGATATTATTTATGGTGTCCAAAAGCACAGACTGTGTCACGTCCCTCCTTTCCAGTAGCTGTCACTCATTTCCTACTCATCTATCCCTTCTGTGGCCATGCCCCTTTGCAGTGTTCTATTGAACACCGAAACAGTGAACAAAGTGACACAGATACGGGGCAAAATCAGGGCTGCTGGCTGACAGACCTTCAAGAGCAACTCTCCCTTCTTTCCAGACACAGTGTCTATCGGCCCAGCAGCTTCCTCTGGTTTCTTGAGCTGAAGAAACTCGACCCAATGCTTGCAGTCTTTTGAAAGCCCGTTTCTTTCCATCCCTTCTGCAGCTTGGCTCCTGTCCTGCTCCCAGCTGCACAGAGCAGCCGCCCCCCAGCTCCCTCCCCTGGCTTCCCCCTCACTGCCTGCATGCCAGCAAGCTCCCTGGGGCCCAGCGTGCTCATGTGCTGCTGGGGAAGGGCCAGCCCTGCATCGCCTGCAGGCAGCTCAACCTATCTATGTGTCATGGCCACAGCAAGGCCGCCTTCCTCCCCACTGAGCCCTGTAAGAGACTATAATACATAGCATCCAGACAGTACTAGAAAAAAAAATCCAAATGAAGTGGACAGACTTATCTGACTAATGCTGCTACAATATTAGTAATAGTCTGGTATTTCTTTTTTCAAAGTGAAAACCATGAAGCTGGTTACAGCAGCCCCAGCCATGCACAGCTGTGTTGCTCACATCCCTGCAGCAGGCTGGGGAAGCAGGAGGGCTGCAAAAGGGACACGAGCAGTGGGGTGGGAGGGCTCCTTTCCCACCACTGCAGGATTTGTATTTTTTAAAAGACAACACTGACACGCTGTATTAGCCACACGAACACAAGGCTCTAACTGTTTTTCTATTAAGGAGGCCTTTGCCGCTGAGGAATGTGTGCACAAATTATGTGAGCTATAAGCTGTAAGCTATAAAACAAAATCAACTCATCCAAGTCCAAATTCCTGTTTTTCATGGAAACTGCAATGTATAGTGGCTGGCTGAAGCATGTATGAGTGGAGCTGTTACTATTTTTTTGGAAACTTATGCTGTCCCATGCCTGGAGCTACAGCTGATTAGTTTGCCAGAAACAGCCACTCGTTAATCACCAACACATGGCAAAATACATCATTTACTTAAGATGTGCTGTACTATGATAGAGCCTCTTTATTCATTCATATAAAGTCTTAAATGAATGCACTGATGAATAAAATCTTTTCAGTAAATTATTACAATTATCTTTGGAAGCAAGTGTCTCCTGGTATAAAACTCAGACCACAGACGTGGCTTGAGCAGTACTGGAATACATAATTCAATCCTTACCCAAAGTTTCAATCCCTTTCACTAAGAGGAGTTAGCTATACAGTGCTTCCTCATGGTCTGAATTCTGAGCTGTTCCAAGATTCAGAAATTTTTTACCAGGTCCATTATAATTAAAAGCAGAGATTTCAAGGTAATGAGGTAAGGTTAAAAAAACAATCAAGAAAAAGTGATGGAAAAGAAAAACCTAAACAAAGGCAAAGTGTAGTGAAGCTACAGAAGCAGATGGAGGCAAGAAAAGCAGAAAGCATCCTCAGGTTACACAACATGATAAATTCACATACAATCCACAGTGCTCCAAAGTCTATATCAATCCTGTAGTGTTATTTTAGAGTATCCAGTTCAAGTGCACACAAAAGCTGAAATGCAGTTTTTCAGGAGCCCACTTAGCAGTGAAGTTTCTACTCAGGTCACAGCTGAAAACCAGCTTAACAGTGAGTGAGAAGACAGCACTGTGATATTTTTTGGTTGCTTACTCAACTGAAGAGTACTCTTAGTCCATTACCAACTCATGTGTAGGCTGCCTTCATTTCTGATTACAAGGCTGTCAGATGCCCAAATCCTTCCTGAGACCTGAATATTTGGATAGTATTTGGAAAGCGTTTGCTTTTTCAAGAAAATAGAGCTCTTGCAATCTGCTTACTTACAAACAGCAACCATCAGAAGCCGAACCAAACAAAACTGAAACAAAAACCAAGTGTCAGATGTATTGCAGCTATTAAGAACCAATGCCATTTCCATTTCAAAGACAAAAAAATGTAATTGTTGGTGAGTCATTTGTTAACAAAATGGTCATGACTTTAAAAGAAATGTAACTGGCTCCTTATTAGGGCAGACAAGAAAGAAGGAAGCATTTATTCTTGCTCTTCAGAAGCAGATGGTTGCACACAACATACCCTTTGCTCAGAGCACTACGCTGGCTGGCAAGGAATTCAGATGGCAATGGCAGATTTCCTCATTCATTCTGCACTCAAAAAGGTTAATAGAGACCTACAGCTTTCTCAGCTCTTAGCTGACTTCATATGGTACTTGTGAAGTTGTGAAGTGTAAGGAGACTGTTACAATGAAGAGTGGTGTTTCTCTAAAGGCACCAGTGACTTTCCCCAGGATTACTCCTAAGCACATCAAAGCTGGCATGGCCTTTTCTACAGAAGCCATCTTTTAAGGAGCAGTGTGTTACCTTTGTTTTCCTCTGGTAGAAGAAAGAAAGTGTATGAGCATCACTTCATCCCACAGGCAGATCATCCATGATCCTCTGTGGCATTAATCAGGTCATTAAGTTGAGGGTTTTAAGTTGATAATCAGGTTTTAAGTTGAGGGAGGGGAGATTTAGGTTGGACATCAGGGGGAAATTCTTTACAGAGGGAGTGGTGAGGTACTGGAACAGGCTGCCCAGAGAGGTTGTGGATGCCCCATCCCTGGAGGTGTTCAAAGCCAGATTGGATGGGGCCCTGGGCAGTCTGGTCTAGCATTAGGTGGAATGGTTGGTGGCCCTGCGTGTGGCAGGGGGGTTGGAGATTCATGATCCTTGAGGTCCCTTCCAACCTGGCCATTCTGTGATTCTGTGATTCTGTCATTAGCCTCCAGATACTGAAGAATGCCACAGGCTATCAGTTTGTAGGATGTTTTTTAAACTTGGCACCAGAGACTAGTATGATGGCAAATAGAATCTCAAATGCTATCTAGTACTGGCAAGAATGGACAATCTTTGTGTAACTGTTTCCAAAGAAGCTGCATTGCAAAGCTTCAAGAGCCATATAGAGTGGCTCCATATGTTTTCTATTTAAATCTCAGGAAAGAGTAAAAACAAAGCACTGAAAAAGTGTATGACACAGTACGAGAGATATGCCTCAGAGCTTGCATGGCTCAGTCTATTAAGAGATGTCTGCTAGGACTGGGTAGTGTTTAAAAATGGGGAATTCCTTTGGCAAAATGAAGTAAACATGATTTATAAATTTTGCAGAGCAGCTTCAAATTAAAAGCATACTTTTTCTATTGCTTTAGCAGGTTCCCTAGATCCATCTCTTCTGTCTCCTTGAATATGGAATGAAATGTCTCTGAAATGTGTGTTTCACACCAACAGAATACAAAATACACCTGACAACAGACTTTTCCAATACCTTCTGTGAGTCTCTTTTCTAAATACTACTTTTCTGAAAGGGTGGTCAGGCACTGGAATGGGCTGCCCAGGGAGGTGGTGGAGTCACCGACCCTGGAGGTGTTCAAGGAACGTTTGGATGTTGTGTGGAGGGACGTGGTTTAGTGAGTACTATTGGTGATGGGTGGATGGTTGGACTGGATGATCTTGAAGGTCTTTTCCAACCTTGCTGATTCTGTGATTCTGTGACTCAAAAGGCCAGCAGAAGGTTTTAATAGTCAATGTGAAAACATGGAACAGGGATCTGTTGTTCATTTTTATGTCAATCTGTTGCTTACAATTCATTAGTAATATTGGTTGCGACTAAAAAACACAATTTATAAATACATAAGGTGACATGTAAGTGACAGTAGTGTCATTGCTTTTGATGTCACCAGTAAAAATCTGCTGCAGGATGACTAACAGTGCAAAATCACTATTATGTTTTACTAAGCTTCTGATGTAGTTTTTGGCAGAAAGGTATTATCTTCCCAACACTGACCTTGAATTACAATAAAAGAAAAGAGTTTTTTAGAAAGTGTGACACAGACAGGATCTGGAAAATATCTAAATCTAACTGCGATCCCCTTTCTATTTTCTGCATATCATTCCATCTAATAGCAATTGAAAAACCACTCCGATCCAATAAGTTCAGTGCATTCTGCAGCCTGCCTAGGTCTGAGGATCTTTGGTGTTAGAACAAGCAGAAAAACATCAGTGCTGAATTATTTTACATTGTGGAGCCACTTGATAGCTTTTGTCCCTGACTCAAGCTGCACAGGATAAGACTTTCCTATCACTGAATGTACGTGCAAAGGATCAGAGACTGAGGATAGCTGAGAAAAAAACCAACTGCTGTCACACACCAAAAAGTCGGGATCAAGAAAATAAAATTGGTATTTTTCCTGGTTTGAAAAGTCAAATAAACTAGAAAGATGACACTGGGTGGAGATATGTGTCTCATGGCTGCTTTTTGTTTTGTGAAAATCTGTAACTCTCTAAGGCTTTCTTTACAGTAAAAATAGCTAATTGGGAAATTCCTTGGCTGAGCCAAGAGAGTTTAATCAAGGCGGTCAGTGAATCCGTGGCATGGGGGACGCTGAGGCATCCTGCAAAAGCTACAGTGCTGCAAGTGAGTTTCTGAGAAATCGTCAGCTCTTTGTGGCTCACCAAACAAATTGGAAGGCACTGAATTTCCATTCCTATTACATATTGTTTGTACAAAAAGATATAGAAGTAACCAGAGCCCCAAAGGGTTGATACACTGCTAAGCGCTCCATAGTGAGATATGAAGAGAGAGAAAAAGCAAGTCAACAGTAATCTGTGGGTAGGGGAAAAACCCCTGAGGTTTAACATGGGAAAAACTGTAGATTGGAAACTTATGAAGAAATTAAAAGTATTTCAAATCCTCTTTTTTTTTTATCACCACTGTTGCATACCAATCCTTCAAGACATTTTCCATAGCTAACATGTATTTAATTAGAAGTAGAGATTTTGAAAAGGAAATTCTAAGATGACATTAAGGAAACTAAGTCAGAGAGACAAAAATGAGGCCTGACAAGTAAAAAAAAAAAAAAAGTAATGAGAACAGAATTGTCTGTGATGAAACAGAGGAAAATAAACCAAGGAAGGTTTGGAAAGCATGAAGCACACTAGATATCTTCTAAGTTGCTAAGGTCTGCATTAGCTTTGTTGTCTATAAAGTGACTATTGAACCCTGGAATGATTTAGCAAGGAGTGCTCAATCTACAGCGGTCCTGTAAATGTTCTACGTGGGGGTTAACACTCTTTCTTAATGGATACTCTCTATAATCTAACATAAATATATTTAATGTTATTTAAGTAAAAAATTGTATACCCAGATATATCAACCGTACTTAGATTTTAGCTCTTTTCCAAGCAGTCAGTACCTTTGGTATGTCTGGTCACTTGCAGCTCTAGCTGTGAGGTGATTACTCTGCAGGGCTCTTAAACACAATAGAAGTGTGCATCTTGGAGACTCAGAGCTGAAAACTTAAATCTAAACCTGACCAAAATGGACTGGTGTTGAATGTCATGGAGAAGCAACAGAGCAGGTCCATTTACAACAGGGGGGAAACATGGTGGTAAGTGACCTGCTTTTTCCAACTGTAGTATGTTTCATGAAACTATGCTTATGATATTTGATTCATTCACTGTAACTATGCTACACTACAAGCACAGGCCCACATCAGTGCTCACTTCCACTTCATCCCTGCACTGACATTTAATTGTTGGGATGTGGGCTCCCACAGGCTCCCACAAACACACTGAGTGAGCTCAAGTATGTAGTCAAAATGATGGCTGAGGGCAGGAGGCCCAGCCTGGTTTTCTCCCTCACATTCCACATTTCCTTCATGTGATACCTCATGTCTGTGTAAACTTTCCTAACAGAGCATTTTCTACCATAAAGATGGATGGATTCCCTATTTCCCTTCACTTCAGGCTGACACTAGGACATGTAGATATCTACATCGAGCCATAAGAATCCTAAGGCAGCCACATGGGCATTGCCCACCCTTCCCACTCCTCAGATAAAGGAGATGAAAAGAGCAGCAAAATACCAGTGAAGGCATATCTTATGCCTTGAGGTTTAAAACTAAATGAAGATTAGGAAGTATCTTCTTACTTGGTAATATTTCTACAGTAGAGCATCTTGAGAATCTGGAGTTGCTTACACCCTTTTCAAAGACATTTTAGTGCTTTGTCAGTAAGATTAATGCAACCTGAGATGTCTAAAAAGTGGAGATAATTGCAAGCTGTGGTCAAATACTGGATACAGGTATCAGTCATCTGTAAATGAAGCAAAAGGGATCCTGAAGTTAGAAAAAAGTTGAAAAAAAAACAAACCAAAAAAAGAACACTTAATAGCACACAATTTCAGTGTCTGAAAATTAAAGTTTAGCTATGTGCTCAGTGATAAGATCTGAAATAGATTAACAAATAGATTTAGAGGTTAATAAATGGACTAATATTCCTACTGAAATAAACAGAAGTTGCTGACTGAACTTCACTGTCAGATGAGTTTAAGGGAAATTCACATTCATCAAACTCTAAATGCTAATCCTGCCACAGGACTGAATTATTAAATTCACTGTCCACTGAACGGCATCTTCAGAACTTTGCTATTCAAATACCTGAATCACTCAACCAGAGATTTAGTTTCAATTCTTTCTGTATTTTTTCATGTATAAGATATGTTTCCCAGAGCAACTTCATTTTTTTCCTATGAAGTAAGTTAAGAATTACTCCTGAATCAGGCTCATTCCTTGAGTAAGACTCAGAGCTGAACTGCTGAATATTTTATATTATGAGCATAAATTTTATCTCCTGGGGGTATGCAGATACATGACAGAAAGGCTCACTGAAGCCAATGGGGTTTATTTACAATTAATTTGCCCCCAAAATATGACTGAAGTGAAAAACTACTCTAATTTTATAGTAACCTGCCTAGCACATGCCAAAACACTCTTTTTGGATACACATTTCTATATTGTATTTTCATGTTCTTTTGCTATGATTTTTCTTAATTCATTTGGGTTTGGGTCCTGTTGTTGCAGGACATGGCTGTCAGACATGACATGACTTGACTAGATTTAGACCTTTGCAAAAGGTACATTCTTACTTTAATTCCCCAGCCATTTTTAAATAGTCTCTGAGTGGAAAATATTTCCTTACTTAGCATCTGGACCGCTTCAATTTGTACTGGCAGTTGCCAAAGGATTTGAATGACCCATTAGTTTCATTTTATGGAGCGTCAATTTGGATTCAAGTCAAAAGAAGACTTGTAAACTTATGTGTAGGTTTATTTGAAAAAGCCTTGATGTTCTTTTCTGAATACAATGGTTAACAGATTGGCTTAATAACCATTTAACAAGGAAGATATCATCTAGGAATGAAGCACTAGGAAGGGAGATTACTAGATCACTGAGTTTAGTTCTTGTTCCTATTTGAAGGAACTACAAAATATGACCCAGTTCATTCCCTTATTAAAAGCCATCCTAACATTACCTGACACTTTGTCCTTGTCTCCCTTTCCAGGATTCTGTTTTACAATTCACTGCTCTGATAATCAGAAACTTAGCCAATTTCCAGCCTAGATGCATCCACTGATATTTTATGCTAATTTTGATGTGTGTGTGAGATGCCTAAAAGTTGCAGTGAAATGTGTGGCTTGCAAAAAATATATAACTTCAACTACTTTGGTAAGATAAACATCCACAATTTCTGTTATTATTGAAAAAATTGCTTAATATCTACCAAAAAGCAAAGAATACAGAATAGTGAGAACCTATAAATAGTAATTAACGTTGTGTAGTAGATATCCCTAAGATATGATCTAAGGGCTATTCTAAGACGTGGAGCAACATCCTTGGCCTACATCCTAGAGGGGATGTAAAGATACACAACAACATGTCCATAACGCATTTCACTGTGCTTCAGCAGCCAGTTTCTACAGGCTCATCTGGTACAAACAGTGCTTCATCCCTGGTTATGAAGTTTGCTCTCCACTTAAATGCCAACTTCTGAAAAAGTACTTCTCTGTGTCTAGCTTTTCTCATACATTGCATTAGGAGGTTTTGAACAATATCAAGAGTTTAAGTAGGTAGAGACTAGCCAGTCTCTAGTCTCCTTCAGAAAGAGCACTGGAGAAATAACAAAGCATGAAAATATGGAGACTTATTAAAACAAAGGCTCCCTGCTTTGGGAGCACCCAGAACACCAGAAGCTCAGACAGTATCTGCAGGAAGCATCTCTAAAAGCCCTTCTCTTTACTCATTCCCAGACATCAGCTCCTTGAGACAGGCTTGTGCCTGATCCAGTGCAGGCATCTTTATGTTCTAACCGCAACCATTAGAAGAATGCCAAACACACTCAAGAACCAAGTCCCAGAACATAAACCAGTTGAACTTAGGCTCTGATTTTTAAATTAAATGAATGCATTGTAGAACTGTGACAAGATATAGACGGCAGCAGGCCAAATTCCTGAATGAAATACTGTGTATTCCTTTGCAATAGCAACCCCAAAACTATTGAACTATTGCCCCAGTTCTCATATATACCTTTGGACAACCAGCTCTGCTGACAGATGTTAGTTTGTGGCAGTGAAATGCCAAAGCTTTTGCAGCTTCATCTGTCAGCTGATGGCAGCAGGAGACATGACAATATTCCAGGTGCTTAGTGCCTTTGCAGAACACCTGAAAGAGCAACAAACAGAGCAATCATTCTTTGGAAATGTGTCTGCTCTGCTTTTCTCAATGCACAACACATTTACATCCATCCTGTGGTCCACCTTAAGCACTTCAGTTGTTCTATGTAGCCTTCAAAGCAGTGAATTCTCTCAGCCATAGACTGGGAATTTCACTGGAAAATAGGAGAGCTGCATTAAGAGGTTGTTTCCACTGCTGGAGCTGATATGAGCTCTCTGGTTATTAGAATAAAATTCTGTTCCTTTCTTCTAATTCAGTGTGTTGAAACCTTTGTTTTATGAGCCTGTAGATTTGTTTCCTCAAGAACAGAGTAACCTGAAATTTCTTCACTTAATAGTGCCATGATGTGAGTGCAGCAGAACTCTTTGTGGAATTAGCTTCAGTGAGTATCTCTCCTCTTCTATCATTTCCAGCCGAAAACATGGTAAGATAACTTAAACTTGTCACTGAGCTGATCTTCAATGCCTGGTCTAAAGGCAGTGCAATTTGGCATTTATTGCAATAGAGATTCTACCTCGATAGGTAGAATCTTCCTCTATAGAAAATACTGGCTGCTTGAAGCTTTTCAAAACTTTCTAGAATTAGTTCCGAAGTGAATTGACTAAGGCCTACATGGATAAGTAAACATGAGCATGCACACAGAGATGCATAAATGCACTTACTTATTTATCATTGTGAAAAAAAGTCCATTGTAATTTTATTACTGACATTTTTTCCTTGCATTAAACAGGAACCCAGGCACCAGCCTATGGCTGATCAGTGGCAAATGCTAGCTTTTTGATGACCAAAAGGTGTGTGATTTTAATGCCTTTTATTAACAGATCCAAAGAAACTTATTAAGTCTAAAGTTTGTTTCATGGACCAAATTTTTTAGCATTTTTCATCTGTATCCTAACTCGTTTGCTTTTTTTTTTTTTTTCCTCCATCGGCATAGCTGTACCAATGCAATGCTTCTTGGGTTTGGGGTCTTACAAAATATTTGATTGTGAGTATTTTAAAATAGAACTGGTTAGAGTGAACAAGTCAGAATTTATAAAAATTGGCTTTTATACCTCTCCTGTTTCAATTCTAGCTTTACAGGGTGTTAACAGCAATATAGAAGTATTCTAAAAACCAAAACTGATATATCTTTTTTCCATGTGTAAGAGAAACTGAACTCCCTTCAGACTTATCCTCAGACATGCTGATCTAATCACTGCATTCTCAGCTAGGGTATGCAGCCCAAGCTGAAGCCAAGATTTCAATGCCTGAGAGATATGTTTATCTTGTTTATACTGGCATAGTTTGCCTACATCCGTACTTAATATATCCTTCGGAGTTAGGATCTGTATTTGCTCTTAAAGTCTACCCCTACATTATTTTTTTGCAAATAGCACTTAGGATATAATTTTCAATCAAAGGAAATGGAGATTGGTTTGTTATTTCATCTTTGGGTCTAATACCTGAGAAATCCAGAAGAGGTTGTGAAAATAAATAAAGTTTGCAAAACATTAAAATAAATGAATAGCATAAGTAGGAAATATAATTTTTTATCTTTTTTGCACTGTTTTAATTCTGTGTAAATAAGATCTTAAAGCACACAAGTATTAATGAAAATCTGAAACAGAATTGCTGCACATAAAGTGAGCACTGTCTGAGCTATGAATGAGCAGAAATCCTATTTACAAAATATGTGATCAGATTATAATTTACTGTTATAATGCCTATGAACAAGTAAGTGAATTAACACTGTGAGGTCAGCATTATTTTGTGCCATTTTATAACCCTCAGCATTTTACCTTAACTGTGATATCAAAGTCCTCTCCAAAAGCATTTTTTTTTAAATTTAAGTATACTTTATGTAATCAAAAAATAATCACAATGCGCAGCATACAGTGAGGTTCCTCTCTACGTTTTTTTTCCATGAACTCAGATTCCATCTTCAAATAATGATGTGGTTTTGAGTTTGAGTTTGGTTTTAAGTTACTTTCCTATCTCTTCTTCCTCCTGCCCTTCCTAGATGCATGACAGGTTTCTGATACACCTGTATCTTCTTGTGCTCGCTGCTGATGGATCAGTTTGACTCAAGTCAAATTCATATTGCAGATACAGAAAATGTAAATGCTTCTTTTTTTCCACATTCTTTTTTTGGAGTATATAGCGAGATACTTACTGAATGATCATAGCAGAACATAGAACTGAACATTCTCCTCCGAAAGAAGCAGTGCTGGCTCTGCACCAACTTTTGATGAAATATAAGACGTGTAGAGACTTGATCATTGTTTCATGGAAACAAAAACATGGAAATACAGACCTTTACACAGAACATTCATGAATGGTCAGTCAGATTTATTCCTAAAGAAGCAAATTCTAGTGGCCTGATGTATGTGCCCCTAGAAGATTCAAACCAGATGCATCCCTTGTGGTGCAACAACGACTGACTCATGCATATAATATATGGTTATAAAATGATGGATGCTGGAGCCTTATAATGGAAAAAATGTAGAGGCCAGAGACTGGGATTGCACTGTACCTTGCCTGACAATCTGCAAGGGTTTATGGGCACAAAATTGGTACCACTGAGCAACAAGATTTAATTATTTTTGTTCCGTATGGTTAGAATCAATTCTCAGTTACAGAAAAAAAAAGGGCTCTTATTTAGATGTAAATTCTACCTCTCTTCTTTCCAGCAAAGTGGATAATTCCTTCTTCCACTGACAGATAACCAACTGATGCCTAGTTTTTTGCACTGTTCTGAAACATGAAGGTGTAAGTCTATGTAATCGTACTGAATCTGTAAAATCTCCTTAAGTATAAATAAGCTTCAAGCATATTGAACCAACATTTGATAAGGAACTTCACAGCCTAACAGTACATTTTGGAGACATCTCCTTTTCTTCCTCTCAGACCTCAAACTAGGTTTGCTTCATGCCCAATAGATAACATATGAAAGCAAACAGCAAAATGTTGACCCCTATATACTTTTCTTGTGCCACTTGTGATTGTACAGATCTCAGCTGTATTCCATCAGCCATCTCCTTTCCAGACCACAGGTTCCGTGCTTGCTTATTTGCTCCTTTTATGGAAAGTGGTCCGTACGTCTGATCATCCCTGCTTCCCCTCCAAGTCTCTTCCAGGCATCAGTCAATGCTTTACCCATAAAAAGACTTCCAGTAACACAACTACACACTGGCATAACTGATTTTAACAAAACAAGATAATGAGTACTACTAAATCAGAGTTTTATATGTAGTTGCCGCTGTAACGATAGTGTAAGTAGGATAAATATTTGGATGGTAAATCTCATTGTCAGCTAATTAAAAAAGCAAGAGTTGGTAAATCATTAATACAAAATAATTTACAAGCATTGTACATGGAGTTCAAATACTATATTAGTATTAAAAAATTCTACAATTGCTGATTATTCAGAAGAGGAAATATTGTCTTACTGTATAACTACTTATCATCAATGTAAATAATTGCCTCTGCGGCAGCTTCAATTTGTATGCTGTCTTTTAACAAATGAAGTAATTTCCTATCTGATTACTGACCTGGAAAATTTCTGAGTTTATAGGCTAAGTTTAAGGTCAGAACACTAAACAATGCATAGTTCAGGCTAATCTCTTATTCTAAGAACAACATCTGGCTTCATATTGTTGATATCCACTGTTTAAATTTTCAGAACAAGGTATATAATTTTCATAAGAAAAACAGTGTAAAAAGGAAGTTTACAGAGATTCAACAGATATCCCACTGGGAGCATGAAATCCTAAGAATAACAATATCTAGCTAAAATACACATAGTCCATTTTCTAGCAGATTAATTTCATCATTAGATTTTAACAGATTACTCAGTTGATGTTTTTATAGGACATTTTAAAAGGTTCAGGTTTTTTCTTCTGAAAAACAGCACAGTACAATTTGTGTTGTTCTTTCCATAAAGCAGCTACGAAATCTACTCAATCTGGGGAAAGCACATGTGCATATCACTGAAACATAAGTTATTATTTTTAAGGATTTCTGTTGGTAAGAAATGTACTTCAGAATTACATTGAGGCATATTGTTGTGCCTCTAAGAGGCAATGGCATGTAGCAATATATAGCAGCACATGAAGAACCTCGTGTAATAGAATAAAAGAAGTTTAACTATTCCATTGAGCTTGCCATGCTTGGTCATGTAAGTATGACATTCAACTAAAGCCTGACTAATAAAACAGAAAGCGTTACCTGAAAACCCACATTAGCAGCAGGAAAAATATGTATTAAATAGAAATTGGTAAAGGATTTGTAGAGCAAGGGAAGGAGAATAATAGTAGCAATTTAGATTGTAATTTGCGCAGTACGGTGCAATAAAGCTTTCTTACGATCGTTCGGAGTCAGTGCAGAAGGCAGAATTTGAAATTTATTAAAATTCATGGAAGTAAAGAAAAATAAAATGAAAAGGACTGTGAAAAGAAAATCACATCACACAGAGGGTGGTGACACACTGGAACAGGTTGCCCAGGGAGGCTGTGGATGTCCCATCCCTGGAGGCATTCAAGGCCAGGCTGGATGTGGCTCTGGGCAGCCTGGTCTGGTGGTTGGCGACCCTGCACACAGCAGGGGGGTTGAAACGAGATGATTATTGTGGTCGTTTTCAACCCAGGCCACTCTATGATTCTATGACTCTATAAAAGTGTAGAATAGTGTAATGAAGAATGAATGATGTTGCACAGAGTAAAATATGATCTGTTTGGACATGGTTCATTTGAAGAATAAAGAGGCTTCAGGGAAACATCAAGAGAAGAGGTTAAGGTTTACCTGAATCCCAGTGTCGTTGATGTTTTTGCATTCCAATAGAGAAAGCTGCTTGATTTTTCCATGGCGGCCAAGGGCTCTCAAACCCTAAAAAATTCCAGAAAAAAATAAAAATAAAAACATGCAATTATATATAATTGCTTTTAATATGCTCATATGTTCAATGTTTGTATATTAAATGTTCTATCTAAGAATTATAGCATCTTTTAAGACACACACACAAAAAATAATCCCACGGAACACCCTCACAGAACTTCACTTTTTACAAAGAGGATTGAAGATGTTATATAAATGAGCTGCCTAAAGTTACACATAGAAATCCTTACGTAGTAAGAACTGTAGTCCATTCTAAGATATTGAAAATAACTTTCCTATTGGCTGGAATTATTTTCTAAATCAAAATAAAAGTAATTTTAATTGTTGTCTAGTTAACCTCTTATTATGAAGCATTTCTTAAGGATTTTCATGAATCCAATAAAATCCAGCAGACCAGCTTGTCTTATTTTATCTACTTCTATTGGGAACAAATAAATGCTAGGTTCTTGTGAGCATCTTCAACAGAATGCATGTAGTTTATCTTCTGATTTTTTCCTGAAGTACACAAAAAGGTAAGAATTCTTTACAGAAATAATGCACTGGAGAAAGAAAAGAAATTTATATATGCTCAGAAAGAAAGAAACTGGAGAAAAAGTACAATGTGAAAAATACTTCCATGGGACACAGCACAATCATAAAAGAAAATAGATTTATGGATCTCCTTCAAAATTTGAGTTTGAAAGAATTTTCATAGGTTGTTTTTTTTGGTTTTTGGTTTTTGGTTTTTTTTTTGCTTTTGTTGAAAGAAGAAAATACTACTTGCTGCAACCATAAAATATCTTAAAATTGCTGCCTTTAGGATTTGCTAATCAGTGGGCTCTTATGACTACAGCCATGATTATAACTACAAATTTTGACTACAAGAAGACAATACTTGAAATGGTGGAATCACACTCAAAGGTAAATTCTACTTCAAAAAAAAAAAACAAGAAAAACAACCAACAAAACATATTAAAGACTATTGAGAGGTGGCAACTTCAGTAAATTCCTACTTCAGGAGTGCAAAAGGAAGTTGCTTTGTCTTTTTCACTGGTTGTACATCGGGATACAGGACCTTGCTCTGAATTTCAGCTCTAAATCTGAAGGAAAATTAAATGTAGATTTTTGTAAAATGTATGTTGCTATTTACAGCAGAGGATGTGTTCTTCATATCATTAAACAAACTTTACTGAAAAACAAAAGTTATCGCTTCAGTCTGTATGGTTAAAAAATTATCTACAATTAGGCAGTGAACAGTGCTGCACAGAGGAAATATCATACTGAAAAACTAAGCACATGTAAATAGTGTCTGGAACCCAGATGTGGACACTGTAATGATAATGCTGGGAGAGTGCGTCTGGAGTTCAAATTTTGCAAATGCCTGAAATCTCACAGCCTGAACAAAAACAAAACAAAAAAAATGGAACAATGAAATAGATTTCCAATCCTGGCTGCTTATGAAAACGGAGAAATTTGCATTTTTCCTCAGCAGACACATTTATATGGTAACCATTGCTTTCAACAGCTTCATGAAAATCAACACATTTCAAATTTTTGTTGACCAGAGCAGTCCTATTCAAGGCAACAAAAGATTATGTACTTTATCCCCAAGTATGTTTATGTCAAAATGTGAATTCCTTACAGCAGAGATTGACAGCGATAAGTGTGGCCTTATGGACAAAATTTCTTCATCCAGTTCTCTTTATCTAAAAGTGGCACAACTTTATGGTATTTAGAAATGAAATATTAAGTAATTATTCTTGCTGGAACACAATGAATGCTGCTATTACTTCAAAGCTAATCTACAATAATTTCATGTGACTAACATTGTGTCACAATAAAATTATTTTTATGATAACAATCAAGGTCTCTTCTGAGGGCTTTCATTAATAACAGCAGATTTGAGAAAGGAAAAAGGCTGAAGATATGGAATACAAGGAATGTCATTACGAACTGTCAATCAGACAAATTACGAAACTGACATTTCCAACAACAAACCTCTTCAAGCAAGTTCAGTGCAGGAATCTATATGAAGTTTTTAACTATCACATTTAAATCTAACAGAGCTTTATGTTTCGTACAGCAATACCATGAGTAGGCTGAAAAGGAAAGGGAAAGAGTAGCTAATTATCCCTAGTTTTTCTAGAATTCCTGATTTAGTCAGTAGTATTCTCTAAAAAACAACATCAGGGATTCCCATCTGGGATACTGACCTATTTCTGAGACTTTCGTCTCCTATACTAAGCCTCCAGACATTTTTACAAGATATGGTCAGAGCTATGATATTACCATCAGAACTCCTGGAAACATATGCTAGCAGAACAAACACGATGCAGCATACAGAATATGACTTCTGCTCTACAGGCTTACAAAACCATCCTTCTTTAACATAAAGAAATCTCATGTCTCTTGGATCAGTGCCACAGAGAAAGGGAAGATTTTGTCCCGCATCTCTTGTATAGCATATTTATTGCCATCTCTATTTAGAAAACAACTTTATAAGAAATATTTCACCCTTCGCCAGTAGCTGTTTTTTTCAAGTAACTGAGTTTTATAGCATTGTTCTGTCTCAGTTACTTCGTGTAAGACCTACAAACACTTGCAGAACATCATTTGTTATTATTTCACCAAAGTTTTGTAGATGAAAAGATGAGAGTCTACTGCAACATCTGGTGAGGGTCTTTAGCTGTTTGAGATGGAAGTCACCTTTGTCTTACCAGAGAACAATTCTTTATTATTTATCTTCACCAACTGCAAGTATATGCCTTCCAACCACAGAGTGCAATGAATGCACTATGCTATTTTCAACTTCTGAGATTTCTGTTCACGTATCTCTTGGTAACCCTAAAGGTCAGCATCTGTAATGTATCTTTGTCTTCATGTTCCAGAGACACACAGATGTCTCTTCCTGTGCATTCCCTAAATCAAAGAGACTGACTTCAAAGTCACCCCTATCCTGGAAGAGCTCTTAAGAAGTAGCTTCCACCTTCCATTTGAGAGTTATTTAATTTGAAATGGCTCAGCTCATTCTCTAAAATGCTTAGATTTCTGCACATACTAGCCACGTTCTAGCACCAGTTTCAAGCACTTACTAGCAGAGAAGAACGTAACTGAGATCTTGCAGTATCATTTTGCTAACAATAATATGCAGATGGCAGAACAGAGTTCTGTTTCTTCTGTTTCAGATAACACTTTCTGGAAAACTGGTAAGTTGGTAACAAATGTAGCTATGTTGTCTGCAATACTTGAGCTAATATAAAGGTGTGTCAGATCTGTTTAGAGGAGCAGTAAACACATTTTTAATTGCAGTGCAGAGATCTCCCTATATGACTTTGTGTATAATACATTCCTTAAATGTATTATTACTTAATTACTTAATTTCTGTATCTAACACCATTTGTGGCTAGACAAAATCTTGACTTGTGAAATTCAGTTGCTATTGTTTCTTGATTCTAAGTCCAGACAAGAGGACTTCTACTGTGATTAATTGTTTTGTCAAAACATTGAGCCCCAAACAATTGATTGCAATATCTCCCTGTGGTAGTCTCCTATTTCTAGGCAGAACTAAGTTACTAATTCTTCAGGCCAAATTCTCTTCCTCTGCTCTCCCAAGAAAACTGGACTGTTAGCATTTGAATTTGGAGCTTGCTTGAATATTTATCATTTCCTTCTGCCTGCCTTAGGGATGTGTGATTTGTCACTTCCTCTTCTCTAGAAATCAAATGCAATCAATTCATTTGCAGTCTGTTGCTGCTTATAGGTAATATTTTCTTCCTAACCTTCACAAGGCTCTTCCTCAGTCCTAATACTCTAATTTTCTAACAGACCAAAATGTGGAGCCAGCTATGGATTCAAGACACCATAAATCCAGAATCCCACAAAGACTGCAAAAAAAGAAAAAAAAAAATTATTCTAAACAACCACATAAAGCCAAGGTGTATTTTTTTCCCCTGTGATCTGTTTAGAAACATTCTATTAATATATTAGTAAATATTTATATTGCAGCCTGGCCTTAAGGTGCAGCCAGTATCTGAAAATCATTAAGTACAAACACATAGGAAAAGAAAAAGTAGAACTGATTGTTTATACAGCCATCATGTAACCACTACTGCATAGTTCCCAAGGATTACAAATTACCCTCAAATTTAAAGGCCAATTTGACATGGCCAGGATGCAAAAAATCTGTGACTGATTAAGTGACTTGATGTGACATATGATTCTCGAGGAGGAATGACAACCACAAGAGAGAATGGGACCTTGGGTCATTACATAGAGAAACTTTCATGCATAACAGCCACTATGGAAGAAGATGAAGAAACAACTGTGATAGAAAACTTCTTCACAATCTCCATATTTACTTTTTGACTTCTAATTTTAGAAGTGTGTCAGAGTTCCTTCAATTTTTAAAGTATTTTATCTTGTTTTTATACTTAAGTCTGTCTTATTCCCTCTCGTTACTACCCAGCGTGTAATTTACCAGTGACACCAAGTTTTCCTGATGGGCATATACAGTTTTTCTTGTGGACAGTGTATATTTCTATGTCAGGAGTCAAATGATTTACTTTAACCATTCCTTTTTTATTCTTTGTTATGCTTCTTCTGACTGTCTAAATCCTGCGTGACTTAAACACTTCTCCTTGAAAATCCCAATATTTCAATATTTAATGATTTTTTCTATCAAAAGAAGATGGGTGGTCCAGACCATGTGCACCAGCAACTTGTGTCAGACTGAAGATGAACACGGCGCAGCTGCTCGCTGTCAGACTCACAATTGGAGCAAAACTGCCAAAGCTGTATCACATCAAACATCAGAAATAGTTTACAACGTTTTAATAAAAATATGGAGAGTAACAGAACAAATCTTATAACTAAAACTGCTTCACCATCTCGTGGAAGCATTTCCACTGAATCACTGGGACTGATTTTATATGACAAATAGGTTTTGGAGCTGACTGAGTTCCCATCACAGTAATAGAATAGACAGTCCCTCACACACATAAAGCTGACATCCTCTCTGAGGATGGTATTTGTTTTCACGAATGAATGGTCTTTGGCTTTGACTTACCAAGACACTTAGGCACACATATAAAGTTAAGAACGTGATGAAATTTCTTGACTTATCCTACTACTGACTGATAGATTCTGGACAAATATAATACATTTCTGCAAATATGAGAGACTACCAGTTTTTGGGTTTTTTTTTCTAAGCACTATATTTTATTATTACTGTGAGTCTACAATGACTCTACAGTATTTTTCTATATTAATAAGCTCTCTTGTCAGTCAAAAGTTTGAGCCAATATATTTCTTCCAAATGCAACAAATTCCCTGAATGAAAGACAGACTTCAACAGAAACATTTCTTTCCCAAAGAAGCTATTGAACAGAAAGGCACCAACAGTGGGGAAAAAAAAAACCTTTCCATTTTGATTAAAGTCTTAATTAAGTCGGTCATACACGAGGTACAAATTTGTAAGAAAAATTAACTCTAATGTATCTTCTCTCCCCTATTCTTCCCCTAAGAACATATTGGTATTATCATTACAGCAAATTCTGCTCTGCTTTGGTGGTCTGAAAGATTCTGCCATCATTTGAAAAACAAAAAAATGAACATTCTCTTGCATACTGCAAACTTATGTTGTACATTCTGCATGTATCACAAACCAAGACAGCAAAAATAAGAGATCAACTGCACAGACTAAAAAAAAAAATAAATGAGTCTTACAACTTCTCTTTCTCAGCATTCATACTGTAATGGAGTCAATTACTGAACATAAATAACTGTTTTCTACTACATTTTTCAAGCAATTTGGACACAGTACTTGAAAAAGAATCTTAATACAACTGCATTTATATGCTAATAAAATGAATAATATAAAGTCAGAACATACAAATAATAGTTTTCTTACAAAGCAGATTGATCTATTTCTTTCCATCAACTCATGTTGTAAGATTAGGAAATGTACTTATTACAAATGCGAGCCATACACTTTAAACACAGCAAACAGTGGAAACCTAACAGATTTCTAGTTAGCAAGGCACTGAGATCAGAAATGACAAGTACGATAAATGGCCAATTTCCGGCTTAGTTTATCTGTCTTGTGGGAGGGAAAAAACAGAATGCCTTAAAAATGCAGTGTAAGCAGAAGAGCTTGGATTATTGCCGACGGCATGGGTTGTGCTATGTGAAAACGAGAGGAAGAAACAATGCAGCACTTTAAGAGGATATGTATGGATTGCAGAGAGAAAGAAAACATTCATGTTGAAAGACTGTGGGACAGTAATTCAAGGCACTATAAATTTCATACATATGTATCTTATAATATTTTAAATAAGCACATTAAATAAAGTCTCCACAGATTTCCCAATCTTTTTTTTTTTTTTTTTAGCTTAGTTTGTTTTCTGTTTGTTTCTGTGTTTTTGTTTTTTTTTAAATTATTTTCAGGCCTCTGTGAGGGATAAGGGCTTTTTTTTAAAAAAAAACAACTTTACTGTTGGCACTAACAGTAAAGTTTTGGATCAGAATTCTGATTGAACAGCAATTGAATGAATATAGCAACAGTTTTCTTATGAAGTCATAGAGTCATTCACTTCTTCGTGAAGTTTCTGCTAGCTTTCAGTGTTCAGTGAAGAGTTTGCCTGAAATACAAAAGTAACAGCAGAATTGGCTCTAAACCCTGCACACAAGGCAGGATCTTGCCAAGAACATCTTATGTGGAGGCCTGCTATGTTTAACCTGGCTCCTACACTTGCTATATTGCTTTCCAGAGTCTTAGCAACTTGACAGTTTGAAGACACCTTGTTTGCAATTCTTTCACGAGCGATTATTTTTCTAGACCACAGCATAGTGCAGTCCCTCTATTAGAACTAATACTTTAATCATAAAATCTATCTTGTGGAAAACACATTTTTTGAAAATTTAACATTTAAAACCACCAACTTTTCAGCTTTCCTCAGGCCTAATCACCCTGGAGAAAAAAAAAAATAATAATCTGTTTAGTGAACACTTTTTATGGATCAGATTTAGAGCTGTTAAATATCTTTTTTGTTTCTTTCTTTTTCTCTCTTTCAAATGTGAAAAATTTCCCAAGTGAGAATTACCTTTTATTAGGTACTGCCTCTGTATGGGAAAATATTGCATTACACATTTCTAAATGTTTTAATGATATTGGAACTCCACTGCTTCATATACATGTGAGTTTTTAACTGGTTAAGTTTGTGACCTCAAGGAATGCAGGCCTGGCAAAGAGCAGTCAGGACACTGAATTCAGGAGACCGAACTTCAGGCTGTTTAAGGAACTGTTGGATGAGATCCTCTGGGAAACTGTCCTTAGGGACAAAGGAACAGGACAGAGCTGGCAGTGCTTTATGGATGCCTTTCTGAGAGCACAAGAGCTCTTGATCCCCCAGAATAAGAAATCAGGCAGACAAGGCAGGAAACCATCATGGCTGAGCAAGGACCTACTGGTCAGGCTGAGGGAAAAAAAAGGAAAAGTATAAGCAGAAGAAGCAGGGATGGGGGACCTGGGAAGAATATAGGCATGCTGTCCATTTGTGCAGGAATCAGATTAGGAACACCAAAGTGCATATGGAGTTGAGGGATGTGAAAAACAACAAGGGTATCTTTAGATATACTGGGCAGAAGAGGCAGGCATGAGAATGTCAGTCTCTGATAAATAAAAAGGGAGAGCTGGCCTCATCAGACATGGAGAAAGCTGAAGTACTTAACAGGATCTTTGCCTTTGTCTTCACATCCAGTCAGGCTTTTTAGGCCTCTTGTGTCCTGAACTTCTAAGTGAGGGTTGGGGGAGCAAAATCCCTCCCAGTGTAAGGGCAAAGCGAGGCCACTGAGACCACTTCACAAGGCTGAATGTGTAGATGTCAATGGGGCCAGATGACACACATCCCAGTATTCTGAAGGACCTGGCTGATGTGGTTGCCAAGCTGCTCTCCGTCACATCTGAAAAACTGCAGCTATTAGGCAAGGTCTCCAATGACTGGAAAAAAGGAAACATCACTCCCATATTCAAGAAAGTGAGAAAGGAAGACCTGGGAAACTACAGGCTGGTGAGCCTCACATCTCTGCCTGGAAAGATCACGAAGTGGATACTGCTGGAGGAGAAGTTAAGATACATGAGAGATGAGGAGGTGATCTGACACAGCCAGTACAGCTTCACCAAGTGCAGATCTTGCCTGACAAATCTAGTGGTTTTCTGTGACCTCCAGTACCGGAAGATTGCAGAGCTGTTGGAGCAGGTTCAAAGGAGGGCCCCAACTTCTCCTATGAAGTCCTATGGGCTTGTTTAGCCTGGAGCAGAGAAGGCTCTGGGGAAACCTCATTGCAGCCTTCCAGTACTTGAAGGGAGCTTACAAACAGGAGGGGGACTGACATTTTACATGGTCTGATAGTGACAAGACAAGGGGGGGATGTCTTAAAACTAAAAGAGGAGAGATTCAAGTTAGGTGTTAGAAAGAAGTTTTTACTCAGAGTTGCTGGAATGTATTGCTGAGAGAGGTTGCGGATGCCCCACCTCTGGAGGCATTCAAGGCCAGGTTGGATGGGATCCTGGGCAGTCTCATCTGGTAGGTGGCAGGAGGGTGGAACTAGACAACCTTTAAAGTCCCCTCCAACTAAGCCATTCTATGATTCTGTGATTTATAATTCTATTTTTTTCTGGAGGTCTAGATAAATAGTAAAAAGATTTTTTTTATCTGTCTCTCTCTCTCTCTATATATATATCTGTTTATATAAGTCCATAATTTTTAAATTATATATGTATGTACCATATCTGAGATGCAGGTTCCAGAGAGATCAATGGATATCAGTGACAACATATTTCCCAAAGCTTCAATTCCAGCATCAGTCACATTTTCACAGTGATGTAGATTAAGTAGGTCAGTTGATGACATCTAAATTAAATTAAAAAATAATAATAATTAAAAAAATAAACTAGAAATGTTGGTTCTCCATTTTTTAAAGAGAAATGTAGTAAATAAGTACATTTTTGTAATAACCCCTGTGATTTTTTTAACAGTATCTATGAAAATAGACTCTCTAGACCCATGGGATTTTACATTACTCTTGACATCTATGTTATGTAGGTACTTCCAGAGACTATATCATAACATACAAGTATTGCAAATACTTCAAACCATGGAAGGTTCTGCAAATCTGCACACATGGAAGACGGAATTTTACTTCCTCAATAACTAAGTTGTGTGTTCATTATGAAACCAAAAGGTCTAAAAAGTATACTCCTTCAAAAAAGTTACTGCATCTGTGCTTAGAGCTTTAGGGGCAAGATTCCATTAACAAAAAAAAAACAGAGATGGCATTCCCTTACAAGTAAGCATGCTATAATTGTTCACAACTAATGTTATGAAAGTATAAACAAGGGCCCTGCTGAGACATCAAGTAATGAGTGGAAAGACTGACTCCAAACTTCTCTTGAGATTTAGAAATTATATTTTGATTGCCAATACCAATACTTCTTCTGAGAACCAGGAAATGAAGGACTTTAACAATTGAATAATTTTTGTTTATACAGACATGATTATTTATTGAGCTTACAAAAATGAGGCACAGACATACTAATCATTTAATGCAGTTTTGTTACTGACAACAATCTCTTAAGCCCTTTTTTCATAAAATTAAGATGTCTCAGGTTTCCATATTTATATTGATGAATTCTTCGTTGTATAATGGATCGTTTTAAGAGACTTACAATAACAAAAGGGACTAGCAAGAGGCTACTGCAAGGAACTAGCACAAACTAGCAAGGGACTAGTGCAAACTTCTGTATATAATCAGTTGTATAATTCTATCAATTTATTAACATATTAAGAACTTTGACATTAAAAACATATTGAAAGTTTAATCACATTAGAAAAATATTGTACTGGACAATGGTACCTTTGTGCTATTTCTTTGACAGAAGCATCAGTGACATGGATACAGTTACCCAAATTCAGCTCTCTCAGCTTAGCTCCTGAAGAACCTCGTACAAATGGCTGAACACCTCCATCGCTGATTCTAAGCGAGAAATGCAAACAATATCCATAGAAAGTGCTTTTCCTGTTCTATACAATTCAACGTTAAATTTAAATTCAGTAGCCTACATTAGAGATAAGGAAAAATGAATATTGATAATTTTAAATACCCTTTTAAATTAAAAAAAAAAAGGCAGAATAATTAATGGCTTGATTCAGCTGCTTTTTGTGACCGCTAAAAAACAGAACTTACTGAAATAAATCTACTGGAAATTATGAGAACTTCCATTACTTCCATATTTCAGATATGATTGCACCTCAAAAGACAGCTTGTAAAACTTATCTAGGAGGTATCAGAACTCTTTTAACGCTTATTTCAGAGTAACATTTGTTATTGATATAATATTTGATATTAGTTGTTTTTTTTTAAATTTAAATAATAGAAATAATTTAAATGAAAAATAATCTTCCAGCACAGAAGCAGAAGACAGAGGTTGTACATGTATGTGCACGTAGTAGTAGCAGCTATTCTGTCTATGCTGACTGAAGAGTCATTTCTTTAAGACTTCCACTTAATCAACTGCATGTCAGACACACAACTCTCCAACTCCTACCATACAAAGAAAACATGAAAGATTAGGTAAACAGAAAATCCGTCATTCAACTTGAGAGGCTTGGTAGGCTAACTACAACTTGGTAAGTGCTCCAGTTCCTTTCTTTGACATGTTTAATACTACTTGCACACTTAGCTCTCTAACTCACTCTCAGTTTTTCTTCTGTGTTCCGTAATAGACAAACAAAATATCCAAAATGTAAATGGGACAGAATCATATTTTAGCTTGTACAGTCTGTTGCAGCACAAACAATCACAGCAAATCCCAGGGTATTTGAAACATACGGGTAAGAACAGCACTGCTGAAATAACTGTGCAGTGAACACATACGGTAAGTTTTTTGTCAGTTGAGTAATCATGTAAGAACACAAATCACACATTGCTTTACTTGGATTAACATACAAGAAGACAACATATGTAAGTGGAGAAAATATGCCAGCAGTTTGAATCACTGCATTGTCTGTGCTTTTAGTCAGCTTTTTACTCACATCTCTATTATCTGGATGAGGAGCTGCGAGATCTGGTTTAGTAGCTTGTGGGAGCAGTGGCAATGTGAAGATGGTTGGACTAGGTGATCTTATAGGTCATTTCCAACCTCGTGATTCTGTGATTCTATGATTCTATGATTATTCCTTAATTCTAATAATCATGACAAGTTTCTTTCTTCATTTTTACATGTAGTCAAACACTTAGTATAATTTTAAGAATTCTAAATTGTTAGATTTGCTATTTCTGTTCATTCATTTCTCAATAATAATAATAATAATTATAATTATAATAATTCCATGTGACTCCTAAGTTAGAAAAAGTTGGACAGACAAAGATAAAATGACAATGAAAAAAGGGAACTGATTAGGAGTATTAATATCTTATAAACAAAGTATTTCAGAATTTGTTCTTAAGATTCTACCACCACCATGGTGTTCCCTTTGATTTCTATGATAAATTTTTATATGTTGCTGATTCAGAGTGAATTTTTATATCAACATGCTATCCAAATAAAGGACAGATAAATGCTAATAATTCCCTTTTATACTTTTGTCTCTCTTTTCTTAAGAAACACTTCGCAAAGTTTATATTTGTTACAACCTATAGCTCTGCTAATGGTGAAAACTTTACAAATAACTGCAAATATAATTTTAAAAATACAGTTTTAAAATAGCTTTATAATTATTTTTAAAATTTTGTTAATATAATTCAATAAATGTTTGGTGTTAGAGGCAGTGAACAAGTGTATGGGCACGATCATAGCACAGGAAGCCAACACACTGGAAATCCAGCCTTCTAAACATTAAACCAGAATATTCAGGCAGTTGTCCCATCTGCACAACTGAACTTTCAAAATGATGTCAGAGTTTTATTCAGCACTTCTCAGCACACCTACATGCAACGTTATCAGATTTCTATACATATTTTTATGTATTAAAACACAATCGCTAAAACTTAACATGATGATAGAATCTTTAAGAGCAGTTACAATTCTATTTTATTTATAATATTTTATAAGTCTGTTGATTTTGAATGCTGGGGAGGTTGCCTTTCCTGTTCCCATCCACCCTTAACTCCATCACCATGCCATAGATTGGGAATAAGTGTTCAACTTCGGAAGGTTTATCACTGGTCCTTTTTCTGCTGATACATGACACAATTGAAATAGAAAAGTCTCCACATCGACTATATTGTTCCTCTACAAGATAACACACTATACTGTCCTGGTAGTTGTCAAAAACTGTCAGTTTTGCTTGTATATTAGTAATAGATAGATATAATGTACTATTTCAATATTCACAAAAATAAACAGTATTCAAATATTAATAGAGCTGTGACACTTGCCATGTTCCATTAAAACAGACCTTAATTTTTAAGTAATATTACTTCTACAGTTGATTACTTTGCTTGAACTGGAGTAATATTGAATGGACTTTTGAAAACATGGTACAGAAACAAAAAAAAACCTACTTATATGTAAATATATTTAAATGCTAATATATATGTATTAATAGTATAAGAATGTATATATTTTTTAAATTGAAAGATATGTTAACGGGACTTATTATGAGTACAGTTAAAGTTATTAAAATTTCTTTAGAATGGTTTATAGGAAATTGGATGTGAGGTAGTACCTTAAGCAGTCCACCACATTTAAGACAAGAATATATTTCAGTTTTGAAATCATCTTAAGACCTGTGTCTGATATCTTCTGGCATCCCACAAAATGAATGCGCCTGATGTATTGGCAGCATTTACTCATCATCTTGAAACTCAGGTCAGTAATTTGGTTATTTCCCGTTGAAACACATAAGATAAAGTTACACATCTGGCATACATTAAGGGCCAGATCCAAATACTCAGTAAAATCAGTTGAAAGATTCTTCTTGATTTCTTATCGATTAAAGTGGATTAATTGTTAAAATCATTCAAAATAATTTTGTGAAATATTGTACTAACCTTCAATCCTGACTTTAACAAGTTTACATTCAGCAAGGGCTTTAAAAGTTGTATCAGAAAGATGTGGAGAATCAAGGAACACTACAGATGTTATTTGTCGACATTTTTCAACCAGAGCCTTTGAAGAGAAAGGTGAAATAAATTATTAACATGCTTATGTGGTCACATAACAAAAGATCAGCAGACATTCTGAATATAATACTGGTAGTTAGAATTCTGAAAATATAGTTGTAACCCATTTCAACAGTAACTTATAACATATGAGTTCAAAATATATATAATTGAAATTCTGCACATATATATTATCTTTGGAAACACAAAGCAAAGAAGTAACTGGAGATGTGAAGTATGGCAAACACTTGAGATAGTGATACAGTTAACAACCACTTCTGCAGAAGCCAGAAAAACTTTTTGTTATGGGCTAAGTTAGCAGCAGAATGTTCCCAGATTTTATACTTGGTGCAACACCAGGTAAACTAGAAGATTTTAATTGAGCTATACCTATATAGCAAAAGAAGACAATTGAAATTTTTTGTTAGTGAACAAGAGTTAGTAAGATTTTAAAACACAATTAAACGATAGCTTTCAAAAGTGCTTTGGGAAAGAAATTTTCATCTTCATCTGTATACTTTCTTCAAAATCACTTGAGAGGTTAATCCAGGTCTAACATCAGATATTCCCCCAAAATTCAGATTTCAATTACTTACTTGAATACATCTGTCTGTAAGAGTTGGCATTTCACTGATTAGCAAATCTCGAATCCCACTGCAGCCATTGCCAATATTTCTGAAGCCATCAACTGAAATCTGAGTAAGAAATACAATAGTTTTGTCTTCATAAGCATAACAAAATGGTCATTTTTCCTTTGTACGGTACCTAAAATTAAGTGGGATTCCCATTCTCAAAAGGATAGATAGTAGGTAGCAGGTAATCTGGACAAACTGAACAAGCATATCTGTTTCTGAAATTCAGTAAAGACAGAAAAAGTTAACTGTAGTCTAAAGAATTTTGAATTTCTTTGGAAAAGCACTGCTTGCTTAACATAGCAATTTAATACCACAGATAGCAGTAATTTAGTGTTTTTCTCCATGTAAGCCAAAAACAATTGCACCGAAGCAGCTAATAAAACTCTTGTACTGATTGATTCTATTTTTTTCACTCAAACTGTTTTTTAACACAGATCTCATGCATTCAGATAAGATTCAATTGCATTACTCAACATTCAGATGCTGTTGCAATATCATAAATATTAATCTCGAATTTCCTTTCTAAAGCCACTGAGGGTTATCTAACAAACATCAGGCACTCTTGAAAATAAGGTGTTGAAATAATGTGAAATCTAATGGACATTTTAGTAAAACAACTGCTTTCTCAACTCACTTGGAATTTCAGCATTTAGAAGATTGCCTCACGAACTACAGATGACCATGGAATCATCACTAGAACATATATGGAATTTAATACTGTATTTTTTAGATGAGAAAATCCTACTTAAACCTTTTTCTTCAAATGAACAGTGAGGAGTGATGTTCCAAAGTTAAAGAAGATTCTGAGTCTAAGATGTTATAAAATCCTGCAAAACAGAATTTTGCTGCTTGACTCAGTATGATATTATATATATATTTATCACTTATAGGACAGAAGTCAATAAAATGATCCTATATAAAACATAATCCCTTGTCTGCAACTTCTCAGACTGATATATACATGATTGGTTTGCTTTTTTCCTTAACTCTATGCTAATATACTGCTATCTAAAACAATACGTTAAAACCAACATGGAGCAAACTACAGCTAAATATAAAGACCTAATAAACTGTCCCCACAGATCTAGAAAATAAATATGGTGAAATGCAAAAACATTTGTGGGAATGTCAAAATTCATTTCATTTAATCTTAAAAAAAATATATTTTCTTAATTCCAAACAATGGGAACACAGAAATTTTATTTGGCTTTTGGCTTATTTGTTATCACACACTATCACTGCTTTAAAATTCCTATGTTCTCACTCTGAAAAGATTGTTTTTGTGGAACGCAGGGCAGAATGCTCTCTGCAGCACAGAAGATATTTTAAAGAATCATTATTCTGGGACTCCAGTTTTGTCAACACATTCTGAATGAAGAATCTTGAAAATCAGTGTTCCACATTGAAAAAGTACTCTTGCAGTGTACAAGAGACTATCATTTTTTTTTTTAATTTCAAGTTTATCAAGAACGATAAAACAAATTGTGACATACATTCAGATGTTTGGTTTCTTACATTGATGAAAATGTTATTTTTCTTATATTTTCCACTACTCGAATTAGCTTATATTAGTGTATTCCCAAACAATCACATTTCCAATAATAAAGAATAGTGCATGTGTAACTTATCCTTCAGTTACACAATGTTGTAATTGGGAAATATAAACAAAGAGTCCTCATCTTTGATAATTAATAAACACAGTTGAGATTTTCTTCTTAAGCACTGGCCTGTTTTCTTGCTTGACATGTCTGAAGAAGCCAAAATTTGACAGCAGCTGCCAAAAAGAGAATTCTCTTAGTGAAGTGAGAGCAGAAAGAACTTGGTGAAATCTGGTGAAGCCTCTATGTTTGCTAGCAGCTTCTCTGTCATCCCCACAGACACTACAGCATGTCAAGAGATGAACAAGTCAAATTCATGCTTCCCCAGTGCCTTGTAATCTCTTAGCCAGCTGTTGTTAATTACAGCAATTGATAGGCTGCTCTAAAATATTTTGGGCCAGAATAGTTCATCTAGAAATCAGTGGGCCATAGATCTTGGCTCCAAAAATAAGTCAATTTCTTTGGAAAATCTCCATGTTTCTAATGTAAATGAAAATATCTCTCACTAAACTTTTCTACTTGTATAATATGTCAGTAAATGACATACAATTTCTTTACACCTTTTATCTTAGTTTTGTGACTAACAGCAGAAAATATTCCATCTATACCGTTCTGCTCCAGAAGCAGGACAAAGGAATAAGGTTTTCTGAGCACGTCTTTGAGATTATCAGTGCTATATTAGGGCGCTTTAGAGTAGGACATGAGGAAATCTCTGTTTTACAACAAAAGCATGAAACTTTTTAATGAAAATGTTTACCATCCATGTCTTAAAGACACAACCTTAACTTCTGAAATGTTATGCAAAAAAAGCCATAGCTAGAATTCACCATATATTATTGCCATGAATTATAATAATAGTCAATCAGAACAAAGGCTGTCATGTTTTACAATAGTCTAGAAAATGTTTGCTTAGTACCTATTTTTTCTGCCTAATCAAGCTTTAATGAGTTATTTAAATGCTCAGGTCCCCAAACTGCCACCTCTAAGACCATTAGCATAATCACTTATTTTACAGATGGGTTTTCCAAATACATGTTTGAGCACTACAATAGTAAGGGTAATACAAGAACTCATTTACAAAGAACAGCAATGTTAAAATGAAGGAAAAACACAGGGTTCTACAGAACATATTTTCTGGTCTAATTTCTAATTCTGAAATGTTATCCACACAGAAGTTCCCTTTTCCTTAGTTAATCCAATGAGATAAAAACCACCCACCATTCTGTCCTATTGAAAATCTTTCAGCAACAGTGATGCAATTTGATGCTCTTTTTTAGTTTTGGCTGTTTATTTAATTGCTCAGTCATGATCATTAAATACTGTTCCAGAATTAGAGGGAAACCCAAAATGGAGGAAGCTGTGGAATGACTTTCAGAGCTCTCATATACACTGGTGAGCAAACCCACTTCATTCCTTTGGAAAGTGGAAAGATTGCGGTTTTCCTGGTTCAATGATGACCACTTTTCTCTGACTGGTGTTAGATCATGCTTTTTAGAGGCAGATCCTTACAGTTCATGATTGCACTTCTTCAGAAGCAGGAAAGAGACACTCAGAGCAAGAAGCAGTCAGAAGAAGGCTACTGCCCTCTCTGCCCTCATCCTTGGCTCTGGAAAGATTCTGTCAAATGGGAAGCTAAACCATTCTGTTTGTCAGACTCTGACTCTTCACCATTTTCCACATATTTTGTACTTCGGAGAAGCCTATCAGTGTAAACAAGAATGTGGGAGCTTTTATTAAGACATTGGCAGGCTTTTACTGCCTTACAGTTTAGTATTTCATACTGCTTTTATAGTATGTTTTGAGATACAGAATGTATTTGAAAGTACCAAAAATAGTACCAGATTCTAAAACACTGGGCATCTTTAGAATCTTAGTTGGAGACTGAAATAATCCAAAACATTAACTATTTTTAGATTATCATTATAAACACTACTTAAATGTGTTTTAAACCATTATAAAATAGTAACAAAAGATTACATTTGAATTCCTTTCCTTTTCAGAAATTCAAGTGTAACTTTGCATTTTTCCAATGCACGGTGGCTTTATTTTTAATGTCTTAGTAAAAACTGCATTTTCAAATCTCCTGATTCAAAATCCTAACTAATCATAACATAGAATGAGTTATTTACAGCCACAAAAAGCAAGCCTTGTTCTCATTATGCAGTAAGCACTAGCTGTTTATAGATCTGACAGTTTGCTGGAAGTGATCCAAACCTATAGTGCTATTATTCCTCAGTAAAATTTAAACAGCTGTAGTCGTGTAATTCAAAACCCTGGAAGCCTGCTGCAGTGCTTGTTCTACTTCAGTATACCATGAATGCAGGATGCAGCCAGTCATATAAAGGATTCTCTTCTTCACAGAATGGAAGAAAGACGTGAAGTACAAACCTGAATGCAACCTGAAAGGTCCAAGTAGATGAGCTTGTGACATCCCGTGCCAGTGCCCAGGTACTGTAAACCTTTGTCTGTGAATTTTCTGCAGTGAGCTAAACTCACATACTGCAAATTGGGAAAGCTCCTTTTCAAGATAAAATAGAAAAGAGAGAAAATTATCACAAGAATATGTTATAGAATCAGAAAAAGACAAAATAGCAGAGCTAAACTATTCTGAAAATTACTGTAAAAAATTTGTGTTAGACATTTAATAGAATTTTCTTCTTGCTAAAAGACTTTTTTCCACTGCACTTTCTACTCCGGTTTATTGGAGAACAGCATTATCATATAACATACTTCACTGTATGAAAACCATATCATTTTAAAGTTATTTTGAATAACTACGAAACCATATTTTTTTAATTAACTGTGATTCTTGCATGCATACTTTGAAAACTAATAGGCTTTTCAGTGCAAGCTTGCTGGACTGTCGTTGCCATTGATTTTACAAGCAGCGCCTGGTGGAAATGAAAGCCAGAGCTCTATCAAAGAACATTAACAATAAAAACGCACAGTAAGAGCTTCTCTGCTCCTGCAGTTATTTAGAAGAATACTACTAAAAGAACCTGAAGAACTGATAGAGATACAAAAGCGAATTAAGTACCTACATCTTTTATCTTTCGATGCTTTCTAAAGTTTTAACCAGCTCTTTTGGAAAACATTGCTTTATACTAAATGTTAGCTGAAAGAAAGTAAACTGTATAAATGGAAAATGTTTTTCTGCAGCACTCTGTAAAAGCTGAGAATCTAAACTTGGGATATATTTAAGTTTCCATCTGTGGATCTGGTTTATAGCACACTGAAAACCATTCATTTTATTGAATTAAATTTCTAACTGGAATAAATAACTATTGCCACAAGCACCACAAATGAAAGTATATAGCAAATCACAGCATAGAATTAGGACCTAATGCTCTGGTAGATATTTAGTTGTAGGCATACAGTGCTGCAGTTCTGCAAGTCAGCAAAAATTAGCATTTTGAAGAAACACAGGAACACCCACTGAGGAGTTAACTACCTAGGGAGTGGCATTGATTTTCAGAGCTGACTTTATACTTTCCACATAGAGTGGGGAAACGTGGTAACTTGAACTGAACTGCAAATACATGTATATATATATGAATGCATATACATATATATATAGGAAGCTGGAAAATAATGTTAACCTTAAAAAAAAGATAATAACAAACCTTTTAAAAATAAGTGTAAGATTACATTTCATGAAAACACTATAGAAGACAGGCAATGTAAATCAAGGCCAGATCTGAGAATATGAGGTTGTGTGTTCATTTTGGTTCTTTGTTTTTTGTTAAACAGAAACATTTCTTTCTTCTTGAATACAGAAATATATTTCTTGACAGAAGCATAAGTTTTTCTGCATTTTAGTGCAAAAATCACTACAAGTGATTAGATGCTTCCAAATGCATCTAACAAAACAGATAATAAAGTGATGGACTTCTATAAATAAGGTTGTGCTACAAGGTTGCATAACTTAAGATACAGGGAAGCATTTCTTACTTGATTTTGAAACCTGTGAACAAAACCATCCAGTACTCTTGAAGAGACAATGATTTTCCTTATAGGTCATATGACTCATTTTTATGATCTGGGAATTTTAGTACATGACTCTTTATGCCATCTTTAAAGTGACAGCTTTCTTAGAATTTAAGCTTGAGCACATAGACTCCTTATAAATCCTTGTTTTGTGTGAAATCTGCAGAAATGCTCTCATACTGGCTTTTTAAAAATTAATTTGGTATTAACAGTCTCAGGCTCATTTCTTTAATGCGATCTGATAAAATCACCATCTCACCCTTATTCTTAATAGCTAATATTCATGCCTGTCATATAAAGAAGCACTTTTCAGAGGGAAAATGTACCCAATAATCAGTGTCAGTATGGAGGAAAAGCATGGAAAAGTAGGAGAGAATCAAAAATCACCAGCTAGCTTTCAGCACATTCAGCCTACACTAGTTCCTTGTTCCAGTAATGGACATTTGATATCCAATGGCAAACCTCATGTGCTGTACTACAAAATACAACACTGCCACCTTTAAGAACTCCGTACTAGTTACACTATTACACAAGACCTGTGGTGAGCTGTGCCTTTTCAGATGGCACGTGAAGTGTTTATGAAACGTGTCTTCCAGCAAATCTTTCACAGGATGGCATCTTTTTCCTTGTAAACTTGGAAACAGTGAGCTTTGCTTTTTGTCCAAAAATGCTCTCTAGAAAGAGTGGTATTTTATACTTTTAAACCAGAAGCTTCATGTGTGAAAAGAAAAATTTACTATTTATGAGGTAGAAGTTAACTGCAAAATATATACTAGTATTTGAACTTGCCTTTTTGTTTCATTTATTTTTTTGCATTGAAAGTTTTGTCTATTCTGGAGACATTTTTCTTTTGTAAATTTGATTTACACATCAAAAGAAATATATGGTTCTCACTCTTGGTAGTAATAGGATACTTCAATAACCAGAATAAAATAGACTGGGATTACCTGTAGAATAACTTTTCCAAACTACAACAAAAATATGTGGAAATGTAAAAAGACAAAATATCAGCCACTGTGGACAAAGCACAGATTATGATGAGACCAATACTGATGAAGAGGTGACGGGCAAGACTGGAGACACTCAAGAGAAACTTTTCCAAAGCACATTTTAGTAACACGAAGATGCAGCACACAAAATTGAGAAGAATGAAAACTGTGATGACAGTGAAAAAGCAAAAGAGATTTTTTGATTTTGTGGGGGTGTCGCTGAAAGGATGGCATTAATTTTATTCATGGGAAAGAGAAATATTGTACATTTATCTTCAAAATCTATATACATCTTTGTGGGGTCACATCCTTGACCCTCATGCTTTTCCTTTATGTCAGCTTTTAATGCAGCTACAAACCTCTTATTCACCAGATCTTCATGTCTTACAGAGGAACACATCTAAACAGGAATGACAGACCTCTAACAATATTAACTATTTGTGTTTCATACACTGATCTTCCAAATTAGATTTTAGAATAACTCTCTTGCAGTTGGCACACAGATATCTGGCTCACACAATAGACCCACCCACAATCTTCTCTCACAGAAAAGAATTTTTATGAACATTCCGTTGTGCAAACTTCTTGTATCATCAGGAGTAGCTGGACATGCCACAGAATTTTTTTAAGTACCATGTTCTCTTAAAAGTTTCTGCAGAAGTCTGTGAAATATATAGAGTGGCCCGGCATACATTAATATTAAATATAATAAAATTATAATAAAAAGTGAAAAAGAAAAAGAATTGTCAACTAAGTCAAATGTATTGAGTATTTTGTAAGTTTTGACTAACAGACAGAATCTGTCAATCTCTTTAAAAGGGTATTTCTACAATACATGCCTCTAAGCTTACTGTATGAGTAAAACAAATATACTATAACATTTATTTTTAACTTTACCTTGACAAAAGTTGTATTGTTCCCTTAGTAATGTTTGTATATGGCAAATTTAAATGGAGATCTGCAGCCTTCAGATATGAATCTCATTGATTCATCCTAAATAATAAAAGAAATCCGGATGTACATTAAAATTATATTTACATTAATTTATCTTCCATTTGTATACACGTAGATTTCTCTGAAAGTAATGCCTCCTATTTATTTCCATGGAAACTACATTTACAAACAGTGCAGTAACACTATTTGACAGAATGAAGTCTCACCTACAAACAGCTATTAAATTATTTTTCAGTACAGTCACTGTCACTGGCATTTTGCATTTCTGCCAGTGATGAACAAGAGCCCGCACACTGCGATGGTAAAAACCTGTGCCAGCAGAGGTGACCCACTGCCAATATTGCACTGCAGAAATGCAGTACCCACCACCTCACTGCACTCACTGCACAGATGTTTGATCTCCATAAACGTTCAAAAATGTTGACAGAGATGTGAGTGTGTGCCATTGTTTCTGCACAGAGGAATTCAGTGACATGCTTTTGCTTCATATGCATTTCCATGCCAGATGCCATTCTGTCAGATTGCTCCCCTGCTATCAGGAGTCGAATGGCAATAAAACATAACTGGATATTGTCAGGGTATTTTTCAGCCTCTATTGTCATGTCAACATCTGCCTCTGATGTCATGTGCCAACATAATAAAGTAGGAGGCATTACTTTCAGAGCAGCCCTTATATAATAGCAAAAACAAAACCCCACCTCAACAAGTATTTTTAAATCATCATATTTATTTTTACAAATGAAAGCCGTTTTCTTCAATCTCTAAGCAGAATACGAAGAAACATATGATACTACTTTTATTCACATGAAGTATGATAAATTTAACATTGCAGTTCAAGGAAATGTTTAACACTATACAGTTCAGTTAAGAACACGGGACTTTTAACACCTGCTGCTGAAGCATATCACATTTGCATATCCACTGTCACTGAGTCCTCCCTCATTTTTCGAAGTTCTAAGTAACGGGAGATTTCAAATGACTGGAAGGAAGGAAATGTTGCATTCACCTTCAGGAATGGGAAGAAGGAACCAGAAAACTATGAGTCTTTCAGCCTCACCAAAGTCCCTAAATTTATCTAGCAGACCCTCCCTGAAGCTGTGACCAAGCAAATGAAAGATAAACAGGTGACAGGGAACAGCCAGAAAGAATTTACTGAGTACAAAGCATTCCTCACTGATGTAACAGCTTTCTATGATGAAATAATAAAATATTTGGACAAGAGAGAACAGCAGTTTGTATATCTTGACTACAACAAGGCCTTCAACGCAGTATCTTTTATAGTCAAATGGGTGAAATATAGGCTGGATAAGTGGATCTCAAAGTGACTGAAAATTTGCCTGGATTGCTAGGCCAAAGCATTGTCACCAAAATTGCTAAGTACCATTGGTGTCTTCTGGCAACTGACATCCCTCAAGGGTCAATACGTCTTCCTCCTTGCAAATATTGTTAACTATCTTCTACTTCCAAATATCAACAGTTCACCAATTTCACCAGTCCTCTGAGTTTGCCAAAATACAATATTAGGAAGTTTACAGTGGGTATGTCATTACTGTTGATTTCTTCCTTTTTTTCTTTTTTTTCTTTTTTCTTTCAAAATTTACTACATAATGGTTGGTAAGAAGCCACTGCCCTGCTAGGCACAGTTAAAATTCTAACAATATTTTAGAACAAATAGTCCAAATTCTATGATAAACTACACATCTGAAGTAATACAGATAAGCAAGTACATTTAATACCTGTTAAAACGATGACAGAAATTTGCCATTTTTTTCTGCTCTTTGCAGAGACGTGCTGAAATTAATCATATCTTGCAGACGGTTGAGGTCTATGTTATGTGAATTCAGATGCGAACTGCATATAACCAGAAAATTTAAGACCATGCCAAATGAGCATTCTGAACGTGACAGAACATATTCATTCACAAGGTTAATTTAATGTAGTATAAGTTTTAGCCCCTGGATAACTGGATAATCCTAAACTGCATAATCCTAAAATAATTACTGTCAAATTGTGATACTTGTTGAGAAGTTTATTATTTTTTAATCCATTTCAAAAAAATACAGTGGAAGGTCGATTTGTCAGCTTCATCTGTCATAGGTATGTGGATAAAGTTTGTGTTACTTACATTCAACCCCTGACATTCAGAGAGATTAAAATCTTGCAAATTCCTACATTCACCTAAAAAAAAGTCATTTTGAATGTTAAATTTCAAATTTTCTGAGTGCCATAGAAACTTAAGTATTTCTATTACAGATTCAGTCCATCTAAGCTTATATCCTACTTGAAACTATTGCAGTATCAGGTTACCAAGAAGAAAGCACACACAAACAAAAAAAGTAGTATACAGAGCTGAAGTTGTCCAGAGGAAAAATGTCTTCGTAACACTTCATCAATATCTGGCTTATAAATCAAGCTGCTTTTTGTCTTACATACCAAAGGATGAGAAAGCTCTCTAGTTAAGAAATTTATTGTTAGGAAATGATGGAATAAGTTTTCTAAAATGTGTCTGTCCCATTCCACTGTTACATGATGATACCAATATTTGATTAAATATATTAACTATTTTTTCCTTGAACAAGTAGAGGAGCAGTAACTAGACTTAGTATACAAAATGCTCTGCTTATCTTCTGCAGCTGTGGAATTTAGGATAATTTAGTTGAGACATTCTCTTCTGTGTCCATTTAATTTCTTGTTTATAACACCTATTTTGCAGAGATCTTTGTAATTTTAACTGTGTAATGAAATGCGGATGTTTGACACTAGAAGCAGCCCTTACACATCCTTTCAAGCACTCTCTTTGCCAAATTTTAAGTCTATCCTCAAAGGTAATTATGTAATAATGTTTTTTACCTTAATCCAATCTTTAAAAATAACCAATCTGACTAAACTGAAATGAAAATAAAAAGTAGGCCTGATACATAAACCTAACATGGAAAATGCAGTATGAAATGTTTATAGAGTTTTAAGAAGTACATAAAAAGTATTTTAAAAAAACACTTTCACATAGTAAGCCAAATACAAGTTTTCAATGCAGTCAAGCATTAGTCCAACCAGAGGTCTGTCCTACTAGAGTAGGACCTTGATCCATCAAGATCCCTGACAGGGATTGCACAACTCAAAAGAATCTAAGCTGTTAAAATCATCATTAAGCCTGTTAAGCCACAGAAATGACATACCTCTTACATGGTTCTTGGCCTAAGACTGAAGGAGACGTGTTTTACACTTGAACTTGTAAATGCTACTGTAAGGACTTGCTTGTTTTGATATTACAGCTGAGCAAAATTTAATTCAATGGCAGAATAATACTGGTAATAAATGCCAATTCAGATTCGGGAGGTGGAAAGGAAGAAGAAAGAATATTTCGTAACTATTTATTATTTTTCATCATCCAAGTTCTTATCTTATTCTAGTTCCAAGCACTCATAGAATAGAATGAATGTTGAATATTGAAAAATGCTGAAAAGTTTAAAACAACACAAAGGATCCCAGTTATGACTTATGTTACTAAAACGCACTACTTAGATTGACTAGTATATAGCTTCTGAAAAGTAACAATGTCATTTTTCATGTGAGGGATAAAGTCATCAGTGTAAATGTCATGGTTTTATGATCTTTGGCTATCGGTATTCCACATCATAACATCATGTAGTGCACTGGGAGTTAAAGAGTTAATGTTTGACAGTAATGCACGCTACAAATTGACAGAATCTGAATGCCAATAGAGAATGGCAAGTACAGCATTAAAAATGGAGAATCCCATTAAGGGGTTTTCAGAGTTGATATTGACAGCAAGTCACACAGCTTAGAGGTATACCTCTAAACTACGGTCTATGCAACTTTAACTATCTGACATGGGCCACAAGTGACACCTGATAGTACCAGAGCTGGTTGGGATACTATGGAGCAGCATGCAGATAAGGTTATTTGTGTTGTTTTTTTTTGTTTTTTTTTTAATAACTACAACTATAACTATATAACTACAAAAACACTGAGAATGCCCCTTAGTCCAAAATTGGTTTAAACTATCAATTTGCTGACAAACTGCTTTTCTTTCAGAAGGATTTTATTTAATGTTAGTTTTTTTTATTATAGAATCTTTCCAACAAATAAAGATAAGGTTTTTGAGACCAAAACAATGTTGCTTCAGAAACAGAACATCTGGGAAACAGCATTTAAGATTGGGATCTACTACCATCTTAAGTAGTAAGGTCAAAAAAGATAGATCATAACACAAAGATGTCTACAGGCATAGAAAAAATAACTGAGTACACAATTCAAACAGTGAAGAATTAAAAAAAAAAAAGTTTTAGAAGGAATAATAGTAATGAGCAGAAAGTAGGAAATTAATGAGATGAAAAAAAAAAAAAATCAGACAATATAAAAATCTCAAGAGTGAAAATGTTTTGAAGGAAAAACAACTTTGTGGCCAAAATCTACTGAAAACAACTGCATTGAGGGAAGTGCATAGGACCACAGCAGGAAATACAGGAGCAAACCGGCTGAAAACTGACTAACGCAATTTTGGATGTGGTTGCATGGTGAAGTTCTTATCTTCCCCTAAGAGTAATCCCTGGGTAAAAGCTCCTGGCTCACCCCTCTATCCTCTGTCTTCTCAAGTGGGCAGACATGGGAGCGGTTTGAAGCAGGCCATTGTCAAGTTCCTCAGGTTCCTATGCATCCCGCCTACCCTCAGACGACACAATAACCTCATATGCTTTTGAAAATTACTATATTTGGGTCCTTCGCAGAGTAGTCTATGCAACTTTGTCTCCCTGACATGGGCCATGAGAGACACCTCAGAGCTGGTTGGGATAAAATGGGAGTCAACCAGAAAACAAATGCACTTTATATTGTGAGAATGATAGAAACACTGGATGCAGGTCAATTTCTACATCCTACTGGATGTTTTTCCTACTGGAACATCCAGTAGGTCAGTATCCAGAAAGCTGGAAAATACCAGCCTCAAGCTTCTTTTTCGAGCTTATCTACCAAGATGAATTTAAATACAAAGAAGATTCTGTCCGATGGCATTTCTTAAACACTGGAGAATCTTGTGAAAAAAATCGATTATCAAGCAGTCTGACTAATTTTCCATGCTTCAGCAAAATAAATGACAGTAGATCACAGATAGTAAAAGCAATGAAAAATGACTCTATCAAAGTAACTGTGAAGTTTTAAGTAGTGTAATGACTGAGTGCTTTACTGAAGGCTGTACACTACGCACAAGCCTCCATGAAAAAGCTTATTTCATCTGTTCTAATATTTTATTTTTCTTTCACTGCAGGGATACCACATACCCCAGCTGTGCCTATTCAGATCTGGACAACACTGATTAATACAACCAAGTTGTCACAAAAAAATAAGTGGGCAAGCTGAATGTCAGGATGCAAGTCGTTACTATTATAATACTACTTCTTCTCTGTAAAGCATCTGACTTTAGGAGGACAAGGAATAGGAATCTGAGAAAAAATGAAAGGGAAAACATCTTAAGAAGAGCATCTAGCACCGTTAAGCGCAACGCCCAAGGCCAACCATGTGAGATATATGTTTACCTTCATGAGAAATATCTAGATTGTCAGGAAAGAAAATTGGTTTTTGTGGCACCTGATTGGCCCGAGGATTTGAAGCACATGCTGCTAGCAAGAAACAGGATTCGTAAATTGAAGAATAATATGTTTTCTAAATATAAAGTATTGAAAAGTCTGGATTTACAGCAGAATGACATATCAAAAATTGAGAGCCAGGCTTTCTTTGGTTTGAATAAACTTACCACACTCCTACTCCAGCATAACCAAATTAAGAGTTTATCTGAGGAGATTTTTATTTATACGCCCAGTCTAAACTACCTTCGTCTTTATGATAATCCCTGGCATTGCAATTGTGAACTAGAAACTCTTGTTACAATGCTACAGGTTCCAACAAACAGAAATTTGGGAAACTATGCCAAGTGTACGTCCCCAATAGAACTCAAAAATCAGAAGCTAAAACAGATAAAAGCTGAACAGCTATGTAGTGAAGAGGACAGGCAAGATCCACGAAACATAAAACAGAAGCCTGAAGTTACCAAACCAGAATTTGATTCTTCTTTGTGCCACATGTATGTGTTTCCTGTACCAACTCTGAACTGCAAGAGAAAAGGTTTGTATCTATTCTTCTAACTTGCTTTATTCTTGCCCTCTTACTGCTGCACATATTATTTATGACAAATCCATGTGGCATCAGTTCTTTCTTGACTTACTTTCGCTAATACTTTAATTTTTTGTCTGTTTACCATAAATATTTTTTTCACAAACATTCTTTAGTTTGTGTGAAAAAAAAATATCCAATGAAAATCAACAGTAGTTAAATTAAGTCTATGCTTAAATTACTGAACCATCAGCACCTCAATTATCTGATACTACAATGGTAAGCATACTAATCACTCATACTGCAGCTGTGCAAAAATCACTGCAATAACAAAAATAAGCATGGAGCATATTTCCTTTTTTTTTCTTTTTTTTCCAGTGTATAAACACAAAGATTTCACAAAAGTTAACTGTGAAGCAGGATTGGACCAGCCAGCTGTGCTAACAATCCCCATAGGAACCTAAATGCAAAGAAGAGTCACTACAGCCTCATGTGTACTTTCCAAGATTTCTTCTTCCAAAGGAAGAAATTGTATACTTTTCTTCCTAAAGAAATACCTTCTTTGTGTTCTTCCTCTCAGTACCCAACAAACACTTCAAAGCTGAAGTGTCTTTAAGAAATATTTTTCAGACTCTTGGATCCATTCCATTCCCAAATGCATCTCAGTCTCCTAAAAGCCATAGTTAAGCCCTAAGGGTAAACCAGCTGTGGCATGTGTCAAAATGAAAATGCACATTTATTCATGCTTTATATTTCTCATATTTTATACCACAATGAAACAAAACATGGAACAAAACAATTCTGAAGAGAGCTGTCCTTTAGCATTATAAAATCTGAACTAAAAAGCATTACTAGAAGTAGCCCAAATTGGGAGAACTATTTTCCCAACTTTTGCAAAGTATATCCTGCAAAACTGGATCACTGCAGTATGTTTTGCCTACTTGTATCTCACAATGTGTTTGCTAAACTTCTATTTATTTAACAGTGACTTATATAAATATAACTCTTAGTGAGTTCTTACTCTTGAACTTTGATGTTGGAGATGGTACCTAAACATAAAGAATTAATAATTTCAGCATTTGATGACATGGTTTGTCTGTTACATATGCTATAAAAATACCGATGGTTTTACCTTCTTCTCACTGCTAAAATCCTCTCTTACTATGTCTTTTTAATTAATTATTTATGTTTTTATTGGCTAACACTTATTAATTTCTTAATACTCCCTTATCTTTCCTCTCATTGTGAATAAGAACTTAATTATTAGACACAAATTATGATCTTAACTATCCTTTACATGATCTTGATTACATCATCAATTACTTCAAGTTTTTAGAAAACAGTGTTGAACAAAAGCTGAACAAAAAGAGGTAAATATTATTATGTACATTTATCACTATATACATATATTATACATATATTATACATGTACATATATACATACATGTATACATACATATACATCTATTATAATATAAATATTGATATAATACTGACTTTCTATCTCTTCCCATTCAGTATTATAGAAGAGATGAGCTGAATACATTAGTATACTCAAAAATTTGGGGCAAGAAAAATGTTATGTTTTTTTTCCCTAACTCCATAGTGACCTTCAATCATGTCTGCTCTTCATGGAAGTTTCACAGAATTTGAAAAATAAATTACTGGTGAAGAAATAAAGTTACATCAACACCCACAGGAGTGCACTACAGTCCTGGTGTACAAGGGTACAGGACTTCTTCCTTCAGGTCATGAGCTAGCTCTATAACTCCTGAACTTCCTGAATGTCTAGCATGCACACCCTGAGTAAGTCTCATTTAGGAAGTACCAGATCTACCATGCATATGCTTGACAGCTGGATGCACGTATCTCATGAAAATTTGGGATTTCTGAACATATGGTAATCTTTGATGAAAGCATCATACTTATCTGTCCCTGCATATGATTACTGCGCAGCAGATGCACAATTTCACTGGAATTTTCATCAGAAAGAGGAATATGATGGACTCAAATTCCTGGCAAAAAATAAATTTTTTTCTAAATCCACATGAACAAGATTTCGGAGTAGGAGGAGAGTTTATCACCTGTCAAATCAGAAGATGCCCCCAAAAGCTGAAATGCATTATTTCTTTACAATTGAGGGGATGGAATGACAAGCAGGATAGCATTACTATGCATCTCTGTAGAGAAATTATAAGGCCTGCAGAGAAATTATAAGGCCTGCATTTTGTCCCTCAGGTTGTGAGTTTTTAGTTAATGCCAGAAAGCTCATGGAATAGACATCTTAAAAATGTAAATATTTCTTAAAAATAAATATATAAATACACATATCTCCTCCTTTTTTAAGAACTTCTTATTCGTATCTCATCAGATCAGTGATACACCAGAACTGACAGTGCTTCAGAACAAAAACATCCTGTGTCCTTGACTGTTGTAAAAAAGAAAAACAAAAAAAGAACAAGCCAAAAGTTATTTGCTTTTGTGCAAAATTATCTGGACTCCTAAAAACTGCTGAAAAAATCCGCATTCTAGAGCACAGACATGAAGAGTATGTTAATGTCTATAAATTCAAGCATTATTTTCATTCATTTGGCAATAATTAGACTCTAAACTTTGACATCTGCACAAGCAGGAAACATTCCATCCAGAGCAGGCAGGAACATTTATAATATTTACATATTTATAATACAGGTATTATCATACCAAAGCTCTACTGAAATTCAAATATAAGGCAGGAAGTCTCTGATGTGTTGCTTTAGTCTCAAGAATGCTGATGCATGAGACATCTTCAAAATTCTGAAGTGTACTGACGACACCAATTTCAGCACAGATTCAGGGATTATACTTTTATTTAAAGACAGTTAAAGAAGGGGTACTGCCACTCACTTTGTTCTAACAGCCCAGGATTAGAACACTACATTTAGTAGACAGAAAGCCTGGAGATAAGATTTAATAACTTCATCTGGAGAAGATTCAGACCACACCTGGCACTTCTCAAGGACATGCCCTTACTAACAACCTAGAAGCTGTTCTTTCTGTAACTCTTTTAAAAGGAACTTTTAAAAATAATGACTGAGACATGCTTGTCTACTCTGGAAATGCCAATGATACAAGTAGGGTAGAGAAGTAGATAGATAGAATACTTAGAAATGTCACCTGGGCAAATAAGTATTGTAACAAAACATATTTTTATAAATAGTAAGCAACTATAATTATAGAATTATATTATAATTATGATTACTGCTGGTTTTATTGCTAATGAAATTTTACCTCTTGGCAACATAAAACAAAAGATGTAATAGAGCACATTGTAATTTGATTATGGAATGTGTTCCCATAGCAATGAACATTTATTTACTCGGCATATTGTTTTCTCTACTTACAAGTTTCACACACATCTCTCATTAGTGTCTTTACTACCTACCCCATTCCTACACAAAAGAATAATATGGTACTACCAAAATAAAAATAAAAAACACCGAATGAGGCTTTGCTATAAACACTAGTGAAGAATGCAACTTTCATATGAAACGTAAAGAAAAAAGGCAGCCAAAGTCAGAATCTGAAAAAACATTGATAGAAGTAACGGGGGAAAAAAAGGGAAAGAAATAATGTGAGACCAACAAAGCTGTGTGCAAGTGTGAAACCTAAGCAATAAGAATAACCTAAAAATGATACAAATTCTCTCTTTTTCATTTTTTAAGATTTAAAGAAAGTCCCAGGTAACATACCTCCAGATATAATTAAACTTGATTTGTCCAACAACAAAATTAGACAACTTCGACCCAAAGAGTTTGAAGACGTCAGTGAACTGAAGGTACTAAACCTAAACAGTAATGGAATAACATACATTGATCCTGGTAAGAATAGTTCTAAATATTCATTTACAGTTATTTGTGTTTCATAAACTGTAAACTTTGATGAAGTCTCTGTCATATAAAAAGTGCAAGAAAAAACGACCTAAAAATTTAGACGTTGGTGCAAATTTAACCTTTTGTAGCATTCAATTCACAAAGGTTGTATAGATCATCACAAAGGATGTATAAATCATCAAGTCAATGAAGAGTGACTGATTTCAGCAGCTCTTCAACACTAAGCAAGCCAATGCAAAAATAGAATTCCGAAGGTTGACCATTTACCAAAGTGCCAAATAATTGAATATCCTTGATTACAATTTCCAGTTAAAAAAAAAAAAAAAAAAAAAAGCTGTAATATAATGAATGCTGCTTATGGCTATGAAGTAATAGACAAACCAAAAGAATTAAAACTCTTTTTGATCAAAAAATGTTACACACAGTTGCTCTTAAGTTATGTATTATTAGACCTCAAGTGACCTTGTTTAGCAGTTTGCTTATTGCATATGTGTATTTGATTTTTCATTATTAAAGCAGACATCAGATAGAAATAATGAAGCAACAGAACCTTCTCTAGTAGTATTTTAGAGGTTAAATAGGAGAAACTGGTAATATCAGTAGAAGGGTATTTCTAAGGTTTAGCAACATACTTATTCAAATTAAGTCTTCTATCATGAAACAAAAGTTGCAAGAAGTATGAAGTGCTCTCTGAAGTATGACTCAGAACTCTGTGTCATGGAAAGAACACAAGAATTCTATGAGTAAATCAAATATTCATTCATCTCCACTGGCACTATACTACACTCATGCATTTTCGTAAGTGTTTTATGACTTTACCAGCAATACAACCACTGTAATGTTGACATTTTCAGGATAATATCTGTCAATTATCAGGGTACAAACCATTTAATAAAAATCTGTGTTTGAAAAGTCTTTTTGTAGCCCTTGGTAAAAACGAACAAAGTTATGAAAAAGTTATTTCTTTTTGCAGATAAGCATATCTTCTCTAATTCATCTTTACAAGTTACAAATAAATATCTTTCTTTTGACAAGCTGCTTTCTCAGGGCTCAATAACTTAGAAGAGTTGGATCTATCTAACAACAGCTTGCAGAATTTTGAATATGGAGTACTGGAAGATCTTTACTTTCTGAAAGTTCTGTGGCTGAGAGAGAATCCTTGGAGATGTGATTACAACATTCATTATCTTTTCTACTGGTTGAAGCATCACTACAATGTCCACTACAATGGCCTAGAATGCAAAATGCCTGAGGAATACAAAGGATGGTCTGTTGGAAAATATGTTCGGAGTTATTACGAGGAGTGTCCAAAAGACAAGCTGCCCATTTATCCAGAAACTTTTGATCTGGACAAAGACGATGAGGAATGGGAACGACACAAAGAAAAGTCAGTTCAAACAGTTAAAAAGCACAGTGTAATTGTCACTGTGCTAGGCTAATAAGGAACACCTTTTCTTTTTAGTCAATTCAAATATTTGGTATTCTGGCAAGAAAAGGAACCCAACGCACTGTTTACATTTTTGTTAATTATACAGATTGCAAGACTATTTGCCTACAAGGATTTCTGTTTAATGCAGTAAATAAGTACAGAATGGCATTAGTTACACAGAATCCTTCAATAAGTAGTTGTTTGTGACAGTTTGTTCTGCACTCTTTTGTGAAATTTTCTGGTAGAAATTCAAAACTATGCAGTAAAAATAGATAGACAAATGTAGACGTGGTGGGGAGGAGCTGTGCATGAACATTATGTATGAATGCAGGTTATGCGTTGACATGGAGTCGCTGCAGGACTGTGACCAACTTTCTTGAATGCATTGCCAGTTCTTTGTATCTATCAGTTTCCTAAAATATTCCCAGAAAACATTTTTAAGATTTTGTATCAGCCTCCTGTTGTTTTATTGTATATAAAAAAAACCACCACCACCACCACCAACAACAACAACAAAAAACCCTGAGGACTTAAATACGGTTCTATAAGAACAGGAATGGTAGTTGTTACACTGATTAACATTCAAACCCAGAATTTGGGTTCTATTTGCTGATTTACCTGTGTTCCTATTCTGTCCTAACTCAACAACCCAGCTTCTGCCTCTTCTGTGTCTGAGCTGCCCCAAAATAGGAGTAGCCAAGCACGGTTAGTTCCCAAGATGCAGTTCCACATGTTCATATTACTGAAGCCTTCCTAGGAAGCACTTCAGTCATATCAGCTTACACAACCTCCCTTCTAGATCAAGAAGCACACATAGGCTGCTGCAGTCTGCATTCCACGTGCTGATGCCCACACAAACTGAAGGTAAGTATGCATCTAAGTGCTCGTAGAAGAGCTGGATAATCTCACAGCTTACTCTTCCCAAAACTCAATTGTAAAAATGCACATTATACTATCTCTTCATCACATAGCTGTCTATGTGAACACATATTCTTGAAAACCTCTGATTATTCTAGTATAAAGACATAGAAATGCCCTGGCTAACCAGTCAGTATCTCTAAAGTTCCTTGCTATGTATTCCTTTACCAAAAAGAGCTACTTTTACTGAAAGACTCCTACTAGCTTTTACGTAATGCCTCTGTCTTTTTTTAATTTCTGCACTATTGAACTAGACCTACTGCCTGTTAAAGATAGCTATTATAAACTCTTCCACACACAAAAAGGATAAGTAATTCTCCAGACAAGTGGGGGGATGCTGGATTAAAACTTCAATATTCCTAGCTCAAGGAAATCCTAGATCAAGTAATAAATATGCAGTGCAGGATAGAGATTCAGAGCCAAAAATTAAATATCTGTTGGCCATCATGGAAGAAATTCTGGAACACTCAAGAGTGAAATCTTGCTCTTTTAAAGCTCTTCACACAAATGTGGTGTTTGTGGGTTCCTCTGATTCTCCAGTAACAATCCGAAAAAGTCAGATGTTTTTGTTTAGAAGTGTAATACAAAGTACTCAGCACTTTTATGCTTGCATGAAGTTAAAGCACAACATAAGGAAAATTTCAGAAAAAAATTAAACATGGTAGAAATTCCAAAAAATTCTTAAGTAAAAACATGCTATTATTAACTGTATTCATTCATTATCTCCATTATTGAGATTAAATCTATTAATGCTGCAGATAAACTGAATAATGCAGATATACCTTTAAAAATTGTATAGGAAATACAACAATATATTACTTCCCTCTCTGTTTCTGGGAATATCCTAAGCATTATACTAATTTTTAAAGGATAATCCTAGGAAGATAGAACACTGATGAAATTCCCATTTGGCCAATAATATGCACTGAATAGGACATTTTCTAGAAACTTCTAAAAGTGCCAAAAGAATGAAATCTATCATGGTCAGCATTAACTAACAAACTCCTCCTCTCAAATTCTGGAGGATTTTTTTCAGTACAGAATTGAACTACTGGGAATGATTGAAAAGGACAGACAATGGAACCACAGTAGAACATCTGTTAGCAGCAATACAGCCAAGAGAGAAAAGCTGAGTAGGAAAAAATGAGTTTATAAACCATGTCAGGATAATTTCTGCACAGAGTCAGTGCTAAAAAAAAAAAAAAGAAAAAAAAAAGTTTAAGGTAGGCCAAAGTCAGAGGAGGGAAAGGCAATCCAGGGAAAGAGTATAGGAGGAGAGCTGGGTGAGAGTTCTCTGATCTTTGGTCAGCAGGAGGTTTGCAGTTGGAAAAGCAGTGAAATAAGATTGAAGACCACAAACAGTGGTGTAACAGTTGGAAATAACAAGTTCTCAAACACTGGCACCAGAAAATCTTGCATCTGCTGATCCTCGGTTCAAGAGAGCGATCAACTGAACATGCTGTCTGTATCTGCCTGCACAAGATGTTTAGTGGTGCCTCAGGCACATGCAGCGTGTCAGTGAAGGACATATCAATGCATACAGGAAGGGATCATGGTTCAACAACTATCTTACAAATAACAGTTTCAGTGTGGAATTGTGAAATCAGTGTCATTCCACAAGTTCCAGGAGGATAACAAAGAAAAACTCATGCAATTGTACCAAACTGAAGTTCAAGTACTTGAATGGATCAAAGGATGGACTGAAGTCCATGTGGAACTTCTATCACAGCCATTATTTTCCATAGATAGCCTCTGGAGCTTCAAACAAGTAACCAGAATTTGTACACTTTTAAGTACAACCCACTGGGGAAACAAGAAGAGCTGAGAGAGAGGGAGAGGGCCTGAAATAAAAAAGCAGTTTTCCATATGTCAGCATTTTCAGACACTCATACTGAGGAAGTGTCAAAATAGACAGTGAGTGGAATAGAGGAATGGGAATATTAGAGAAGAGCAAGAGCACATGCAGAGTATGTGTATGTTCTCTGGACATTGCCTAGTAGCAAATTCTTGGACAAAAAACTGCATGAACAGGAAAAATATATAGGAACTGTGAAGAAAGTAGAGATGAAGAAGGCCAAAGTAAGAAACAAAAATCTATTTGAAAAAAATACAAGCAATTAACAGCTGATAAGCAAGTCAGCATTACAGGCTTATTTTTTATTCCTCTGAGCTTCTCTGGAATCTACGGTAAATGAAAGTATACTCTTCATGAAACAACACAGTCACAAGTCACAATTTAATCTTGAAATTCCTTTATCTCCCTACTCTTTACTTACAAAGGCCCCAGGATCACTTTCATATCTAAAAGCAACCCAAGGATCTTTCTCTTCCTTTGCATGCTTTTTAAGTTTATTTCAGTAAACTCTCTTGATTCCCCTTCTTTTTCTGTCCATACCCAGGGAATAATTGCACGATAGTGCTGCTTGTATTCTTGAAACACAGTATACACTAGGAGTGCTGTCCAGATGGAACAACTACACTACACTGACACAGCATGGCCCTGCTCTGCACAGCACACATTAAACACAAAAAGGATTATTTTGCATCACTTTTGGCCATGACAAGGTGAAAGAAAAATGAATTCATATGTCAATACTCTGACCACTAATGGGAATAAAGCACTTCTCATCCCTCTGAGGAAATCCCAGATCCTGCACTGTGAACATGAATGGCAGTTTTCAAACACAATTCCCAGTCATACATGGAGGTGAAATGATCCTCTAAGATCCCTGAGTGGGTGGAGTAACACCACAAACAGCTAAGCTATAATCCACGTATTTCATGTACTCATTTTTCTTTGGCTCAACAACACATTCATTTGCCAAAGACAGTCTGGGCTGGAGTCACATAACATTCATATGTAGACATTAAATAATAATTACCATTTCTTGCATATATACATAACAAAGTTGCTTTAAATAAAAACAATGTTTAAAAATTGCAGTTAATTTACAAACAAAACAAGATTACCAAGGCAAACAGACCTAAAAAGCAGCTAACATTGTGATTTTACCATTAACAATAAAAATCCATTGCCAAAATCTGTGTAATCTTGGATTTATTCAGAAATATGAGGTCAGAACTGTAGCTGGGGGATGCTCCAATGGAAAGGTTCATAACATCTGGAGCATATAACTGAAAAGACAGTTCAAGGCAGTTTGTTAGCTGAAGAAATGTCAAAGGAAGAGAAATTCAATATGATATTCAATCACTAAAAGGAAACAGAGAAATAATTGTGCAGCAATTTTAAGTCACCCGCAAGAGTTTCAAAAGAATGGCATTGAATAGGATGTGTGATCAATATTAATGATCTTTAATGGAATAACTATGTTATTACTCTAATTGGTAATAGTACACTGACACAAATACCTTTAGTTCTTAAAAGGAATTACTAGGTATCTTTGAAGTTACAAGAAACAGCTTCACTGTTTTCAAAAAGCCCTGCAGACCATCACACGACTTACTATGATTTGTTTATAATAAATAGCAATAAGTAGATGAAAATAAACATAATATTTTATTTTGAACCTATTAAAGATGTAAGTACATAATGATCCATGTATATTATGGCAACCACCATACTGATTTTCCAGCTGGCACATCCAACACGCTGATGTTTCTAAGTTCAATCATTTTATCTAGATATGAATCACTTAAACCATGTGATAGAAAAGCGCATAGATAAAGTTTAATGCTACGGCAACATCTGGATTTAGCTTTGAGGAGACTGTTTTTAATACAGGCTTTTATCTTCAAATCTCACCTTACTGCAGGCATATCCAGCCCATGGCCAGCAGGCCTTACACTGTGGCTGCCCCTTGTCCCAGCCATCATGATGGCAGCTCTGCCCCACCAAGCGGCCTGGACTGCCCCTCAGCACCAACCAAATATTGATGCACCACAAACCCCATCTGGGCTGAAGCCAGGGCATAACCCCAGAGTAGTGCCTGCTCAATTTTATGACAAATAAGTTCATGCATTTTGACACATTGGCTGATCATAGTCCTGTGAACAGCAAAGAATATGTAGCTGTGCTTTTCATTCTGATGAAGGAATTTGAGAATAGATTTCAAAAATGCTGAAAAAGTCATCAATTTTTTTTTTTTGTTTGTTTATTTGTGACTCCATTTTCAGTCAACTCAGTTAAAAGTGCATGTATTGACATGACGAGGGGAAATGGCTTTAAACTGGAAGAGAGCAGATTTAAACTAGACAGTAGAAATTGTTTACTGTGAGGGTGGTGAGACATTGTTCAAGGCTGGGCTGGATGGGGCTGTGAGCAACTTCGTTTAGAGGGAAGTGTCCCAGCTTACAGCAGGGGGTTAGAACTATTAGAACTATGTGATCTTAAAGGTTCCTTCCAATCCAAATCATTCTATGATTCCATGACTCTATGAAATATATAACCTGCAAATTTTCAAAGTTAATGTATAGACTCACAATCATGTATTCAACGCAAAAATCTGATCATGTCTGTCTACCAGACTTTTATAATCCCTCTCTTAGCAGAGAGAAATATCTCTCACTTTACAGCCACTCCTTACTCATGTCATTGCTTTTTGGCAATACATGCACTTGTGAACAACTCTAATGCCATAAAATTCTAGATTTATATCAACACACACATAATTAACAAAAGCACTGTGTCCTAAAATAGCAATAGAATAAGAGAAGTTCTGTTATTCTCTTTGTGAAAAAAAAAAAAAAAAAAAGATCTGTCTTTCTTATGACAAGCACTGAAGGATTAGTTCCCAGAACTTCATATAGGCAAAGTATGAAACAATGCTTTTAACTCAGAGAGAACTCAGAAATGATACATAAAATTTAAAAGAATATATTACTATAGGATACTAATGGACATGTTTTCCAGAAAACACTCTGGAAAGCAAATGTTGGAGTGTAGGAAATGTCACACAATAAACCTACTGTGGTTTAGTTTTGTACTCATAATATGCATAAGGAAAACAACATCATAAAAGGATGTAACATTTCAAAATCCAGTGCCCAGAAAGGAAACAGTGTGGCTGTGTATAATTCATTTTGGCTTTCTGGCTTTATTATCTGCCAAAGTTCATTATAATATTTAAATCAATTAGTTTACTAAGTCACTTGCACGCTGATATCATCGAGAATGTTATTCTATCCTCTGATTTAAAAGCCAAAACCATGATCAAATATTTTTTTATTCCTGGCCAACTGTTCTTTTCCATCACCACTCGAGAGAGCAAATTGTTCTCATCCACAATTACACAATCGCTCTCTAAAGGAAAAGAAAACACACCGAAATCAACAATTTAAATAATGTATTATCTGATGGAATAATAAATGTAGTCTCAAAATGTCAAATTATGCTTTTTTGGAAAATAAAAACATTTTCCTTTCCTTTCCTTTTTATTTTTTTTAATGCATACGCATTCAATTAAAGCGCAGTCTAGGAAAGAGTCCATTGGTAATACTCTACTGTTAGAGAAACACTGAATAAAAAGGGAATCAAAAATATCCCTTGAGGTTTTGCCCAGTTGCAACAGAGGACTTACTTTTCCCATGGAAACACTATAAGGATGTTTTAATACTATTCATGATAAAATAGCTGAATAGTGGTTAGGATGCAGGTAACTCCTAATGAACCAAGCACACTTTCACAGCTAGTACTGAACCTTTATCACTGATCATAAAGGCTTTTATTTTCCTGCCCATTTACCTGTATAGTGGAGCCATCAGCTGCTCTGGGAAAAAGATGACTGGCCTGAAATTATTGTAAAATGCTATCACAAAGAGAATTAACCTCTGATCACATGGTCATATGTATTCTGATATATATTATCATATGTATTCCGATATATGTTATCAGGAAGGAATAAGATATTTTTCCACATCCAGAGGAACTCTTTGGGCAGCAGAATCAAGTGCCTATTATCTGTACAAAGGCTCAAGCACTACATTAATATCTTGGCCAACTCTGGGATTCTCAGTTTCTTTTAGTCTAGAAAAATACACTTGAAGATCTAGGGTAGACAAAATTTGACTTGATCTTAAACTGCCATAAGTATAGTGAATTTAAATATTCCACAGCCACCTCTCTAAAAGATTTCCAGCAGTTATCATCTCTAAGTGACACAAGGATGAACTCTCTTACCATACAGTTTCGGTGGTAACAGATTCTGCAGAAAGAGCCAGAGTTGTGCTACTCTGTAAACAGAGTAGGAGGAATTAAAAAATTACGATGGACAAAAACAGTCCTAACCTGTTTGTAAAATATTGATGGTTGAGATATTTGTATTCAAAAGTTGGCAGTGCTATGCAGTGTACATAGATTCACAAGTCTATTAATTTAATCTCGTTCTGAAGAAAAAAATATTGTTTCTAAAATCATTATTTTCCATCGGTATTCTGTCAGAAAATACGTTACCTAAACAGACACCATACATGTTTTCTGATTTATTTTGAATGACTGGCGGGCAAGTATTTTTTTACAAAGTGGCAAGGGATTATAATTGGATAGTGTGGATCTTTATGCATTGTTCTTATTTCTTTGGGGTAAAACAAGGAATGTATTTGAGGAATCAAAACTTTCCGTGAACTTCATCTCCTGAAATTGACTTTAAGTTGTTACATAGCTATCATTCAAACTTTGGAATAATCATAGAAACAGAGAATCATAGAATTGCTCAGTTGGAAAAGACCTTAAAGATCATAAAGTCCAACCACAACCTAACCATACTACCCTAACTCTAACAACTCTCCACTAAATCATGTCCCTGACCACCACAACCAAGTGGTTTTTAAACACATCCAGGGATGGTGACTCAACCACCTCCACCACTGTTCCAGTGCTTAACAATCCCTTCTGTAAAGAAGTTCTTCCTGATATCCAACCTAAACCTCCTCTGGTGCAACTTGAGGCATTTCCCCTCGTCCTGTCACCTGTCACCAGTGAGAAGAGACCAACCCCACTCTCGCTGTAAGCACCTTTCAGGTATTGAAAGAGAGCAATAAGGTCTCCACTCAGCCTCCTTTTCCCCATACTAAACTTTCCCCCAGTTCCTTCAGTCGCTCCTCATAGGACATATTCTCCAAGCCCTTGTTGCTCTTCTTTGGACTGCTCCAGCACCTCAATGTCCTTTCTGTACTGAGATGCCCAAAACTGAAAACAGTACTTAAGGTGAGGCCTCACCAGTGCCAAGTACAGGGGCAGGATGACTTCCCTAGTCCTGCTCACCACACCATTCCTGATACAAGCCAGGATGCCATTTGCCTTCTAGGCCACCTGGGCACACTGCTGGCTCATATTCAGCTAACTGTCCATCAGTACACCAAGGTCCCTTTCCATCAGGCAGCTTTCCAGCCACTCCTCCCCAAGCATTCAACAGAGAATTGTGCTGCCATCCAGAGGGGCCTTGAGAGGCTGGAGAAAGAGGCTGGCAAGAATCTCACGAAGTTCAGCAAGGAGAAGTGCAAAGTCCTGCACGTGGAGAGGAACAACCCCAGGCACCAGGACACGCTGGGGGCCACATAGCTTGAAAACATCTCTGCTGGATGTGGCCCTGGGCACTCTGCTCTGGGTGTCCCTTCTTGGGCAGGGGTTGGGCCAGATGGACTCAGAGGTCCCTGCCATCCTTAGATAACCTGAGATTCTGCAATTCTGTTATCTCAGTGTAGCTGGATTCTGGCACTCTGATACATTTAAGCATACATTCAAGCTGAAGAAGTTTTTAAAAAATACTAAAAATTGTTTTACTATTAAGTGTTTCAAACAATAGTGGGAAAGACTACATAAAGAATTCAAGAAGAAATGTCTCTTTTTTTGGAGGAGACTTTTCCATGCCTTCTTTTTCATTAAAAAAAAAAGTAAAGGAAAAGAAAGCTTTTTCTTCCTTTTTTGTAGAATCTGCTACAGCTACACTGCATCTGCTTGTTGTGTATTTTATAATACATGCTTGTTACCCAAATACTTCAATAAATTAATCACCATTATTTTTGTGTATAATACTTAGAAGAAGGTCAGAAAGACAGGAATTCAGAATTTTCTCCAGTTCTTTATTAGGATTTTGTTCTTCTTACATTAAAATTAACAGGAATTTTAATATTTTTCATTAAGATTATGAAGTCATCGCAGTAATTTAAGATTAGACCAGATAAAGGCTACACGCACCTAAAAGCTGGACTTTGCAGTGTCTTTTAGGTGTTGCTGCTTCAAATTTGAGCAGGCACTTTGCAAAATATACACAAAAATAAAACACTTCAGAAGTTCAATTAAAAAAAATACAACACCTTACACAGACAACAGGCAGCTGCCCTGAAGCAGAAAGTAGGAAATGTTAGCAGCTGTTCAGACGACTGATGGAGCTTAAGACACTTCACTTAACAGCCTAAATTTAGTGGACTGTTGCCAAGAATTAGTAGCCAATTGTCCTTTCAGTTCCACTGGTTTCATAATGACATTGCACAAGCAACTTTGGTTCAGTTGCTCCAACATTTTTATTCATAAAGCCAAGTAGAATAGGTCAAACTGTGGGATCAAATTTATATCCCTGGTCTTTAGCATTCTTAAAATAACCTGCCTCCTTTTTATGTTCTTTTTAAAAAGTAAATAAAATTACAATAAAATATTGACAATTATCATCTTACATCACTCCATAACGAACTGTTCTGAGTTAGTAGCACCCAGGCTTGACTAACTTGAGCACATCTTGCTAGATCAACAATATTTACAAAACGGAAAATCTAGGTCAGAAAAACAGACAAACATGGTATTGAAAGCTATTCATTAGGAAGCACAGCTTCAGTAAATGCTACACATACATCTATTCTAAAAAGAAGAAAAACAACCAGGAGCTAATTTCAGATTAAATACTTCTTAGTATTCTTAAGCTCTTAAACACCCTTTAAACGTGGGCAGAATGTCACTAATTGCTCTTATGAACAGCCTTAACAAAGAATAAGAAAAGATCACTTTAATCAAAAACTGTGATGGAGAAAGATGGGTATGAGTTTCTAAACTGATGTTTTCCATGAACTGTCAGCTGTTTCATTTCATCTACATTAAAACAACACTTGTAAAAGCTATACTGATAGTTTAGCATATAAAATATTGTTACCACAAGCACCATTCTTAAACATTAAATGATTGTGGCACCTAATTATTCCAAAAAGACCTTGCCCTGATAGATAGATAATACTGGATGCAGCAAGCTCAAACCACAAGAGACTGAAAGTAAATAGCATTTGGCAAGCTTTTTCCATAGCTTTTCACCTGTCATTTTAAGGCCAAGTTCCATACTGTATTTCTGCCAATATAACCTAATATTTCAGTTTAGAAGAAACTCAATAAACAAAATGAGAGAAAATATGGTAAAATTTAATTGCAACAGAAAAAAATACGTATTATATTCTAATCTGAAAATACAAAATACATTTAAGACTCAGAGTAAGACCATATACTGAATATTATATAAGACAGCAGGAGGTGGGGTTTAGAATAGATGTCAGAGGGGGTGGTGAGGTGCTGGAACAGGCTGCCCAGAGAGGTTGTGATGCCCCGTCCCTGGAGGTGTTCAAGGCTGGGTTGGAAGGGTACTGGGCAGCCTGGTATAGCATTAAATGGGGAGGTTGGTGGCCCTGCATGCAACAGGGGGGTTGGTGCTTGATGATCCTTGGGGTCCCTTCCAACCCAAGATATTCTATGATTTACATAGTAAAAACTCCCACAACCCATATCATTTGCAGAACTGAAGTAGTACACCATGTGCCAAAATACAGTAAAATATCTGAAATGAAATTCAATGTTTAAAATATTCAGTTGAAAGTATGAAAAAAAAAAAAACTACCCGAAAGAAGTATAATGAGAAAAAATGCACACTATTTTTCCTAAACTAATTTCTATTTAAGGAAAGCTTTATGCCTGTAATGTAAATAATTACTTTCATAACTGCACAATAATCCAGGTCTCTCTGAAAGTAATGCCTCCTATTTATTTCCATGGAAACCACAACAGATACAAAGAGCACAATAACACTATTTAATAGAAAAAATTCTCACCATCAAAACACTTTTTCAGCAGTCACCACTATTAGCTATGCAAGTTCAACAGCAATGATCAGCAGCATGCATGCTGTACTTGTGAACATTTGCACCAGTGGAGGTGACACACTATCACTGTCACCACTGCTGAAATGCACCACTCACCACCTCACTGTGCTCACCTCCACTGTTTGGTCTCCACACACATTCAGAGTGTCAGTGAATGTCAGTGGGTGTCATTTTTTCTGCATGGAGGAATTGAAGTACAAACCTTTGATTGATACAGCCATACTAATTCTAAAGATATTGATGTGATTCAGAATGCAGGTAGGCAGTTTGTTCTAAAAAAAAAAAAAAAAAAAAAAAGGATACAGAAATGTGCAGCCCCTTTAGAAGATTAAATTCCTTCTGTACACCTCATACCTTCAAAGACTTGAATCCCATGACAATTACAGCTGGACCCATCACAGACTTCTGTTTCATGTGGATTATTTCCCTAACTTCAAAATTCAGCATAGCTTAAAATTCTAAGGAATTTTGATACAGCTCACAGAAGTATTTGAGAAAATGAATTGTTTATTATTATTTATTATTAGGGCTTAGTTTTATTGCCTAACAACAGAAGCAAACTTTTGATTTGATATTTTTCAACCTTATGAATTTTCAGTTCTGAAATGGCCCACTGAAGCATCTATTTCATGTAAAGTCAAAACCACTATTACAGCTCTAAAGCAGTGCAATAATTTTCTGTCAGTAATTCAGCATTAGGGTACTGTTGTAGCAGTGATGTTCTTAGGAAAATGTATCATAAAATGATGACATTTAGAAAGTAAATGATTCCCAGATGGCTTTGAAAACAGACTTTATCCCAGTATCAAATATAAGCTGACAAGACTTTTTTTTTCATGGAAGCAGAACAGAAAATTGCACTAAATAACAGCATACTAATAAAGATTATTACTAAAACAATTGTGGTTTTCAGATGATCCACAGACAAATACATCTGCATTATTAGATATAGTAATGTCTCCTCATAAGTTTCAAAACATCAAGAAAATGCTATATTTTCCACAGTCTGTGAATGCTGAAACACAAATTCTATGGAATATGTTCCAAAGAGGAACAAGGAATAAAAATATTATTGAATATGAAGGATCTGACAATCTTAATATGAATGGAAATTGCTGAGCTCTTACGTCAAAATTCAACAACTATGTCCCACCTTGGCTGTTTTCCTCCCCTGCTGGAGCTTACTGCTTTTAAGGAAGACATCCAAACTGGTACCCAATAAAAACCTCTCATTAAATAAGATTGTATCTAGTAAATGGATCTACCAAAAAGAGAACAGGAGGAGCTATGGAGGCAGGAAAAGAAAGAGTTCTCTGCCTTTCTGCAGCAAATGGTCACAGATATTTAGCAAGCGGAAACTGTTGCTAGTAAACAGAAGAGTTCTTTCTGTATTTACTGCACTGAATAAAACACAGCTGAAGAAAGGTGACAGAAATACAGGTTTGCACTTCTCTCTGGAACAAGAAAGTATTTTCTTTTTTCTTTTTTAATGCAAAATGGAAGCATCTAAATTAGGATTTGGTGTTCTTTCTCCATAGCAACGGTTCTCAATGTATATGGACAGCTCCCAGATCTTCTGCAATAATTTTTGTTCCCTCTACAATTTACACATAAATAAAGCCATTATTTTTTGGCACAGGCATCTTCAAGAGCACTTATGTAATAGCTTGTACCATTTATTTGATATCACACACAAAAAAAATACTTGCAAAAATACTTCCAGCACAGCTGTCTCCACCTGTCCTTCCATATGTGCTTCAAGACAACCTGCAAGAGGTGCAACCCAATGCCTCACACTTCCAAGTCACATCTAGGCACACCTAGTTGGAATGCCTCCATATCGCTGTATTTGTTCATTCCAGTCCTTAACCCACCCTACACCAAAACAATCTCAGAGAATTGGCTCCCTTACCCTGCATCCCAGTTTCACTTGGGGTAGCACTGAGAAAGATGTATTACAGCTGTGCTCCCACACATCACAGCACAGCCCACTACAGCTCAGCATGCCTCATCACTAAGAAATGTCTCAGTGATGGATCCCAATAAGCTTAGGTTAGACATGCAGTAGTTCGACACTTTTCCATCAGCAAAATCTGCAGCTGCTATCATAAGATGCAGATTCACCCCTTCACCCATTTCCCCACCACTCATTCCCCATCTCTTCCCCTGTACCAAGTAAGTGCTTGTGCAGCTGGATTAAGGAACTGAACCAACCGATTCAGTGGAAGTAGAAAATGGCTGGGTTTTTGAACAGACTTGTTCTCCTATGCAGTTCATTACAAAGTCACATAAATGACCGTAATGAACATGAAGGGGGGAACGGTGTTGAGACAAGAATGAGTGAATGAGAAAAAGGGGTGAAACAGTTTCCTCTCAACTACAGTTGCAGGTCCATGATCCTCAGCAAACCTGACATTACGAGGAATTTGAATATTGAAAACTTCATTGATCATGGTTAAGCAATACTAAACCATCACTGTATGGATATGTTTTAAATTTAGAGGCTGGATCTTAATTCATTCAATGGATAGAATAAATTTTGCTCTATGTTTCTGTTTATTACAGCGGAGTTGGACTAGATGACCTTTAAGGGTCCCTCCCAGATCAAATGATTCTATGATTCTATGATTTTATGAAATACAATTTAATAAATATCGCTTTTAGATTTTAGATATGCAAACACTATTTAAATAATTACAAAAATAATTCTTCTTCCTACAGTTACCCCTTTATATATGGATCACAGAAATATGGGTGAAAAATTATTCAACTTTTTTTCTTGTACCTTCTTATTTCCTATTAAAAATCAGTATTTTTCTCAGCTTCTACTCGATTCTCCTCACAAATGCACATAAAATCATTTGCTATGTTGGGACCAATGTCTAGGCTGGCAAACTACCTTGCTTTTAAGATCCAGACCTCAGAGTTGGAATTGCGTGAGAAGTAGAAAACATTAACATTTTCTGCTAAGCCATTGAGGTAACACTTGACAGTATTTTTGATTTATAATGGCTATAAATAATTATATATGTAAACAGAAGATAAATCTTATTTTTTTGTATTTTTACAGCTGCTCTGTAGCATTAATCAAGAAGAAGGGCTGCATACCACAAAATAGTTGTCACTCTTAGAATTTTTTTCTATGTGAATTCTGGCTCTTGTGTGCATAGATATTATGTATGTGAGATCTGATTCTCTGCAGCAGCAGCACCCACACATGGCTGAGTCTTCACCACTCCTCCACCCTGTCCTCAAGTACCAAGAATCTCAGCAAACTAAGAAAAAGAATGCACCATCAATATTACCCTCTCTGAAGAACTACAGGCAGTGTATGATAAATAGCTATTCTTTCCTGTTTGAGATATTAATAAAAATAATTTTACTTCTCAAGCAAGATTCAGCTGGCAGACTAAAACAGCTACACCACGCTGCTTATTTGCAGGTCACACCAACAGTTGTACTTGCTCAGCTGACTAGTTCTCAGCTTAGTGATAGAATTTTGTCTTTTGAGGTCCCAGCTTACAAGCTGAATCCCACATTTTGTGGCAGAGATTTACATACACTGTCCAATATAGCTGTAAATAACTTTAAGCCATAAGTAAGTGCTATAAATTTTGCTTTGAGATAAGTGCCTCTAAGTCAAAACAGAAGAGGTACAAGAATAACACACTTTGAGCTCATGATTTGGATGTTGAAAAAACAGGGCTTGAGGATTAAAAAGAAAGAAACAACCCTCTCCCAAACTGGAAAACAAGGAGGGCTACTGTTGATATTGTTCATTATGGAACTAACAGAAAGATTACATTACCACAGAGTTTTTTTAATGAAGAAAAAATGCTATTGCAGACCTCAGACTTTCTGAAAATTTGATCAGTTACTTATTTACAGTTATGAAAAGTCTGATAGGTATGGACACATGCAATAATAATGTCTTGTATAATACTATCTTTTATATATTGTGGTAGTATATATAATCATTTTGGCATATATTATCTTACTAGGAAACGGAAACTTAGAATGTGGCCCTGTAGATCAAATTTTGTACATTCTACTTCTCATACCAAAAATTAATCTCTCCCTCTGTGTTATTGGAGTTTACACTTCTATGGGAGGAAACACTTCCCTCTGAGTGTTTTGTTTTGGAATAGGAGCTCAGACTTGAGAGCCTTACCATGTATCAGTGTCTGAGAAATCAGAGGTATGAGTATTATGATTCCCAAGTTCTTTAGGAGAGATATCACTGCTGCTGGATGGGACCCATGGCTGAATCATCTGACAGCAGAAATTCACTGGTTACTGAATGAGCCAGTAGTAAAAAATAGCACAGATGGACTCCATTGATGGACTTAGCCAAAATAAACCAATCTCATGTTCATGAAAACCATATGCACCAATTGTAGAAATCATACAGATGACATCAGTAAGACTTAAAGTATGTTGTTTTTTGGTGACTAAAGTCTCCTTGTGTTGTGTGTACATGACAGCAGTAGAACTATGTACACGATTTAGCAAAGGCTTACAGATTCAAGTTTCCTGTGACTTCAGTGGCCTTAGGCACATGATGAAAATTAAGTATCTGTTTTTGAGTTTTAAGCTTTGTTGGACAAAAAACAAATTCTGAGTTTACTATAGGCCACAGTCCACAATATATAAAAGAAAAACACATTGTGTTTTAGTGAAATACCACTTAAATGTTTTCTCAGTGTTAAATTAGCGGAGAGACTTGATAGGACAAATAAAAGCTTCTACATAAGCTACAGAAGAAACACTTTACCTGCACTTACAGTGTATCAGCCAACTGCAATTACTTGCAGTAACAAATCTGTAACATAGCCAAACTGTCCTCTAAAACTGAAGGCCTTACATCCAATGTTTAATAATTTTGTTGTTTTTCTTAAATATTGCTACAGATTAAGCACTACTGATTATACACATTGTTACTAGACTAAACACAAAGACTCATTTTTATCTGGAACTTCTTGCATCTGGGTAGAACTACCTTCTTTTTTACAAGTTAGTATATTATTAACAAGCTACATTTTGTAAAGGCACAAAAATAATGAGCAAAGCAACCTCTTCAACAAACAAATTTAAACAAATTGGTTTAGAATGTTTTGAAAGAAATCTCTCCCTACTAGCTGTGCCCTTGCAGTAGATTCTCCTCCTCTAATTTTGCTTTCAGAGCTCACACAGTCATATGGAGATGCATAATCTCCATACAGTCTTATCTTTGAGAAAATAAACTGCTTTTTATCATCTTCTGGGCTTGGATTAAGAGCTCCTACCCACTGTAAACAAATCCCTTTACTTCTCTCAAAAGTTCCAGTCTTCATCTCCCCGACAAATTTCCTGATTTCTTGTTCTTCCTTAGTTTGTAGAAGCTTCTGGATGTCGGAATGGGGCTCACCTGACACTGAAGAAAAGAATACCTCCATCCTTCAGAGGTTGCACCTGACTCAAACTGAAGCAGCTAGAACAATGTAGTCAGGATGCTTTGTTTCCATCACATAAGCATATCAACAAATGTAAAATAAAAAATATCATCAAAAAATAAAATATACATATAAAAATTAATTAGTACATCAGAAGCATTCTATTTAATCACAAACCTGTAATAAGGCTTTTTCTGGGAAACGGTATGTTTTACGTTTGATGGTAAGATCATTTGAATCAGAAAAGCCTTTCTGACTTTCCTTTGCCAGGCTCTGAAAAAGATGGTACAAGAAAAGTATAATTTTATAATGGCAGGTTCAAACTTTTGAATACTTCTAAATATTCTGAAATATAATGAAAAAAGGAAATTTGCTAAATTAGATTTAGTTAATTAATTAGATATAATTAGATGTAGTAACATAAGGGTTGAAGAAAGGTGAAACTTTCTAACTGCTATTACTGAGAATAATTACAATATTATAGCACACCTCATGATTTTCCATTGCAGCGATGCAGTATAGAAAAACAGGAAACAATCTGCATTTCCAAATTATAACATTGTGAATACTAGTTTATGCGTACAACATGACAGAAACATGCACATTTTTAAGACAAGACTTCAAAAAATATCACTATTAAAAATCTCTCTTGCTATATTGTACCCAACAACATATACTGCAAGAAAAGATCAACATGAAATGCTCTTTCTGAAGAGCTATAATCTCTACATAGGAGTAACATTGCATCTCTCTTTTTTTTTCCCCCTGTATTTTAGTTCTATAAACAGAATAGCTCCAGGGGTTATAAAGTGTTGTTTTATTGGTTGGTTGGTTTCTTTTTCATTTGGATATTGCTAAAGGCGAAAGATGAGGGAAAAAAAAGGAAGAAATATGGAAAAAGGGAAAATTCAAGGATAAAGAAAATGAAAAGGAAAAAAACAGTGGAAAGGGAAAGCCAAAGAGAATCAAAATAATGACCTTCAGAGATAATAGAATCATAGAAGTATCCTCACTGCTGATTATCACCTCAGTGGGTAACATTTCTCCTAAGACATCAGCAATCTGATCTAAGACAGGGATATCACTGATAATAGACAACAACAGTCAACTCTTTTTGCTGCTTTTGATATAAGTATACTTTTGTTCATGTGATGATAATCTAGATCACAGAGGTAATGTTCTGCTTCCCTAACATCACAATCACTAAACATCAGTATTAGCAGACAGTAAATTACTTCATTTAATAATAATTTAGCTGCTTTTCTGTAACAGTTGGTATTAATGAAGGTAATCATTAATCACTGAGCTTATATTTAAAATATGCCACTACCTACCAGAAAATGTGCATTTGTTTTTGAAGAGCTGTGGGCCTTTGCTTTCAAGACAGCACTCAAATTTATTTTGTTAGAGATATCTTGCAGTCTGCTTGCTGCTACTGAAAATATAAATAATCAGTTTGAAGAAAAGTAAAAAGAAGGGTATCATTTGAATGCTTGAGATGAATGACCATCTATTGAAATGTATTTAAACAAACAAACAAAAAAAAAACGCAACAGAATCCAACCACCAAAACAAAAAACAAAACAAAACGAAAACCGATCAACCATTCAGTTCAGCTTTTGTAAGGAAATAAGTAACAACTCTCAACAATTGATACAACTAACACCTTTGCAGTAGGATTTTGAGTTTGATTGCAAAGCATAAACATGACATAATCCCAACTTACCAGAGTTGTGTGTAAGACATCATTGATCTACAGTCTGAACTACCACACTGGCAATTCACTACAATGATTTCATATTGGAGCTGCAAGATACACAGAGACCACTATGAAATCAAATACTATGAAGAAAACTTTAATAATATTTCAGATAGCATAGAAGTCAAGTCAAAAGAATAAATACTGTAAAGGTAGGTACCAAGTGTTATACTAAAATATTAAACATACAAAAAGAATAGAGGATGTTAAGGTCAAATAAAGCAGTATATGAAAGATCACAAGTTCATACTGAATTAATGCAAACAACAACAACAAAAAAAGTGATTTTAAGAAAAGTTTGAAAAAAATGAGTTTTCTTTAGTCCAGGGCACCAATCTAAAAAAACCCAACAACAACAAAAACAAACAAAACAAAACAAAAACAAAAACAAGCAAGCAAACAAACAAAAAAAACCAACCCCAACCCATAGTAGTCTGTGTGTAAAATGTGTTGCAAATGCAATGGAAAAATGCTCTTCATAGCCACTAAAAGATGAAAGGAGATAAGTGAGATTAGTGCAATTTTCTGCCAAAAAAAAAAAAAGTCAGTCATCATTCAAGGTGTAAAATATAAAATTTGTTACATTAAATAGACAATATAGAATCACTTATCTACTGTTATTTTAACAAAAAAAAAAAAAAAAAAAAAAAAAAAGAGTCTTGAAATTCTACTAAAATAAACCAAATAACGACAAAGAAATATTTAAGACCTATTTTTGTTTGTGGAAAATCTACCCATGTGTCTGAAATCTGACAAAATGTTACCAGTCTGTTTTCTGTTAAATGAGTCATGCTCATACACTAATGCATTGTAGGGAATCTCTGGTAAGATACTACTTAGTTATATACTTCAGCAAGTGTACATTTTACACTTTAACTATAAACTTTACTACCTTTTTATGCTATGCAATCTGTCACTTAAAGAAACCAGAAAGATTTCCAGGGCAAATTCCTGCAAAATACCACCAAACTTTCATTATCTGGAAGACCCAAGGAGGCAGACAAAAACTCTCAGGACTGCAAAGCAAGTTAAAACCGCCATCTACACTGACATGCTTTGGTGTAAATCAGTCAGGGTCTAACAGCACATTGGCACACTCCTCCAACTTTTTCTCAAAACACATGGCTCACTCTTGAACTTTTTCCATGTGTCACTGCTTCCTTGGTTTGGGTCACAGTGTAACAGAGTTCTACTATAAACAGACCCCAGAAGTCATCAACTTTTATTCAAGAAAAAAAATCAACACTTTCTCTACTCCTTCGCTTTTTCTTAATTCTCTGTCATTCCAGTTAACTTGTTTACAGTGCAACCTGACAAATAGTCATTTTGGTACCAGCACACTGAATGGAGTTTATCCATATGTCATAGAAGGGAATATATGGTATAACTATGCACTATAGATGCCTCCCCTGCTCCTGTGAATTTGGAATTAACAAAAGCTGCCTTGTTTGAAAGTAATTCTTAGAAGAGAAGAAAGACGTTAGTAACAGGAAAGAACAGGAAAGTTCTGAAATGTGGTTAGGGGAGACAATAGCACTCCAGCTCTGTAAAAGCAATGTGTGATTCATGCACAACTATCTGATCATAAGCCCATAGGTACAGGTGGCACTTTTGGCCCAATCTTTACTTTTACTGAACTTTTATTTGAAAGGATCATGTCAATAGTATCTACCTTTAAAATAGCTGTTGTAATGGAAACATTGTAAACAAACAAACAAACAAACCTACGGGATCTGTGGAACATAAATTCTCGGTAGAGCAAATAAAGCATTTATTTTTTTCTGTTTTCTGACTTTTCATTTTGGTCTTCACTCCTTCTCCACTTCCCATGAAGATTCCTTTTAGCTGAAGCCAAGACTATGACTCTGTGATTCCTCCCATTTTATCCCTATCACTGTTCTCTTCCCAGAAAATACTGGCCCACACCACCCTGTACTTTAGACATACACTCCACTTTCCTACCACCTCCCATACCTGCTTTTCATCAGCATCACTGCTCAGTCTTTACAGAAGTGTACCACCACCACTTGTCCCAGCAAAGTAATTCAGGGAAACTCTGCCTTTCATGGCATTCATGGAACCAAGCAGCCACAGGCCAGTCAACAAACAGCATCTTGCAATACAACCCAGCAAAAAGACAGATACATCACTGGACCAAGTGTATTTAATTTATTTTCTTTTATATGACATGGATTTTTCCCTTATGCAGAATAACTGTGTAGACTTACATGCAATTTTTTCCTTGTGAATCCGAACCCACATGCTCCACTTCTGTGTAACTGTTTTTAATATTTGGATGTCATAATGAACTAGAGCCAGAGCCATCTTCTGCTCTGCCTTTTTTCTTTTGTTCTTTTTCAGCAAAATGTATTTAATCCATCCTCTGAATTATGAAACAGAATGAATAATTTAACATGGCTAACTCAACTTGAATGCAGTAAAATCTATAAAACTGCAGTTTACTTGGAAACACAAAGCAGTCAAGCTCATCAATATAAATTTCTGATTATAAAAGCTGTTTTTTTATTTAATTTAAATAAAGTATATATTGGTTATTCATTTTAATAAATTTTCTGTTTTTTCTTAATTTCTACTTTATCACACAATAAAATCCTGCTTGCTTTCACCATCATATAGCATGTTGTCATCCACTGTTCTTTAATGTTTGGTCCATATTTAAGAAAGGATTTTTGAGTATTTATACAAATAAATTTATAAACACAAGCATTTGCTTAAGTGTTCCTCTGAATTGGCAACTAAAAGAGTTATTTTTTGTTGTTAACAATTTTGAACTTTGCTAAAAATCTCATTTCTGTTCCATGTGAAGTAACAAGATGTGATTACATTTAATGTTGCCGATACATTAAAATGTAACATTTCTCCTCATCTGATTTTCTGAAATTTCTTGAATAAATTAGATCTTAGCAGATTTGCATTTGCAAAAATCTCTCTCATTTTGCATTTAAAATATATAATGGATGCATTAATGAATGGAACATTCTATTGCTTCTGTCCAACTTCTATGGTAATTAAAAATAACTGTTAGCTCAGACAATCTTCAAAATGCTGCTGTAAGTGAAAAAGGAATAACTGTCCATGTCCCTGGTGTATAAGACAAAAATTTCCTTGCAGCAAGGAAAATTCAGCTATGAGGAAATATTTCCAGTAGAAAGGATTATGAAGTCCTGGAATAAACTGCCAGCAGAGATTGTCATGTCTCCAACACTTGTGATCTTTAAGATCACTAAAATCAGCCTAGAAAAATACTCACCAGCCTAATCCAGATACAGCTTGTAAAATGTTGACCTCTCTACCAATCCTATGATGCTGTCATTCCTTGTCAGAATTTACACTAGTGCTTTTAACAGAGCTGTACATCAGATATAATTATCAGTCTGATTTCCAAAATAAAATGGCATTGTTAAATCTCTAATCTAATCTATTCTAAGTGAAGGATCATTAAATTTTGATACACATGTCTATAACAAAGAAACTAGTGAATATCTTTATTTGTGATTATTGTGTTTTAAAAGATACCTAAGTATTATCCTCATTGTTTGAGAGGAAAAGAGGGATTACCAAAAGTATAAATTACCTACCACCAAGCACAAAGGAAACTGAATAAAGAGCAGAAGAGAACCCAGATCTATTATGGTCAGACTGAAACTCAAACTATACTTTCAATCTTGGGTACATTAACATATCCCTAACAAATAGAGTTGATCAAAATGCAGAAGTGTCAATGGACTTTGATCCTATCTGACATGAAATTTACTAGTTTTAACATAAAATAACATTGCTGAAGAAAAGTGAAACCAAACTGAAGTCTCTGATCTCTTTTTATTTTGTTCCATTAAAATGAAAACCATTTCCTCGCCCAAAGGAATTACACAGGCATACGTTTGATAAAAGGTGTTTCATAAGATGTTCCTGACTCATATGTAAAATGCAATACTTACCCAAAATACAGCTTCATTAAGTTTCTGCTATAAAAGTTCCATGCTTTGGTACATAATTCTTCAGTCATCTAAACAATTCATTTATGGCATTAGTACACAAAACAGTTCTGTATTATGAATATTTAAAAATCAGACAAAAATATGAAATCTTAAATTAATATTGTCCATGTGCAAATTAAAGTATCTATTTTAAAGAGATAAACGTTCACACATTATTTTCTGTTTACAGTTAGAAGTACTTCCACTGCCAAATCATACCTTTTTTATACATGGAATTAAAGGAAAAGCTGGCTTAACATGTGAAGCAAAAGTAATGTGTGTTCTTGACGGAGGGCTTAATCTAACTGAAATTATCTTTTATCCTTCATATCCTCTCTTCAACTGATCAACTTTATCTAGCAATTTAGCAAATTAAATAAACACTCTCTGCATAAATCTTCCCTTGATCCATTACTATGTACACCATTTGTTACATGACTTTAATCCATATTTATTTTAATAATCCTCTTTGAACCTCTAAAAAATCAAGGTTGTTTAAGACTAGGAGCAATGATCTTTTATTTTAAGAATATCCCCCTATGTGCTATGCTCACCTCTGGTGAGATTTGTTTTTGGAAGGCTACAAATCAGTATCAATAGAAAGAAATACAAAGGATCATTTTTCTGATACCAGATGTAACAAAAATAACATGAGAAAATCTTAAAAACAGAATTTGAGTTATTTGGTATTAGAAAGTTTGTTTACAGAGTTAATGCATATAATATATTCAGTGATTTTTACCAGTTATGCATCTACTCCAAAAAGTGTGTCCAGGTGAGTTTCTGAAATCCTCTTTAATTTTGGGTGTAAAGACGAATCAATACACAGATACCTTCAAAAATGAAAGAAATTACATTAAATATAACCATTACATAAAGCATAACCAAATTACATTGAACATATGAGTATCCTGAAAAGAAAACACTGTTTTCTCTGTAGTTAATAGATTATAATTACAAAATACACTTTATTAATAAAAAGATTAAGACCTGTATCTCTTTAGTTACAATTGACTATAGGAGATATTTTAAAATGTTTACGGAATACAAAAACAAATGATCACACTTCATTGGTACTCTTAGGACAATTTTGAAATACTGTGAAAATCAGAGCTTGATACATTCAATATAACATCAGCCATTTTCAATCAGATTATACTGTTTTGTTTCTTATCTTAATATTGAATTAACAGACATCTCGAACTTTCAGTACTTGGAGTAATGTTTCCTTCTGTTACAGACAGACGATGGTATGTCCAGGCAGGTGAAGTGTTCTGTTTTCATTTTAAAATGCAGATGACACATTTAAAAATCAAAATAAATTTTAAAAGACCGCAGTTCATTATGCGTTCATGAGAAACATAGAAATGAAAAGTATTTACCAAAATTAAAGGATAAATCAAGTCATTTTCAACTTACAGGAAAGACATCATAAACATTAGCACTAAAATCTCATCATTGCGGTTCAGGCTGCTGACATACCCTGTGATATGAGGAATTCTGATACACTGTGGAAAGGACACAGTAAGGGCACAAATCTGCATCACTCACTGCAATGACTTCATCTGTGATCATAAGGTACCAAAGTCAGTCTGAAAGCATTCAGAATGGCTGGACTTCAGGCAATGCCTGAGATCTCTTCATAGGTGGGCCTAATGAGTAAGGATTCACCTCCTACAAAGAACTTGAAATGAAGTGACACATGCACAGAATATGTGAGGAAGTTCTTGAGTGCTTCACTGGTTTGATATTGGCAGATCTGTTCACATCACAGAGTTAATGCAAATACTCAATGGCAATTTCCTGACAACGATGAGCTGTTTTGCATATCTCAGTATCTCAACAGAGTAGTCCTTTACTAAAAAGCTGCATCCATGGCAGACAATCCAATTAAGCTAAATTAAAAATAATAATAATTAAAAAAATTATATAGCATAGACTTTACATATAACATAAAATTTAATTCATATTTAATTAAAATTTTTCATCTCCTTCTTTCATTCCCTGAATTTTTGTCTCTGGTCATTCATATTGCTACAAACTTTTGTTCATTTTCTCCTCTCTCCCTCTTCCCTTCTGTTACAATCTCAGAAGTTCTTCTCAATACTCAAAGCTTTTCTCATGGCCCAACCCTGGTGACACCATACAATATCATACTCAATTATTGCACAGCTGTGACACCTACAAACAAACTCCATTACTGGATGAATTCCAGTTAATAAAAAAAGAGGGTACTCTATCTTCTTAGTGACTCTTGTCAAGGTAAGTATCAGTACAGCTTGCTCTCTTTCCTTTACACCAACTGAAGACTTTTTCCCAATATTCAAAACCTTCATCAGATTGGAATTTGTAATCTCAGAGATTGTATACTTACAGAAACACATCTGAACCATGAAATTAATTACTTATACATGAAAGCTAAAACAGGAGGAGAAATTAGCTTCCACATGAGCTGTACATGAGCTTTTACTTCAAAAAAGAGTAAGAACATACAACTTTAAATATTCAAAACTAGCACAAAACACTAAATCCTGTTTTCATGATACTGCCAATATTGGCCTCACTGCATTTGCAATATCATAGGCCATTAATATTTACTTTTAACTTCTTGTCAGCAGTAGATGCTGTGGCATTAGTATGTTTAAAAGGCCAGGTTCAACATTATAAACCACATCAGACACACACGCACACATTTATTACATACCATAAAGCAGCATCTATTCCCTTTTTCATTATTTCCCCGAGCTTTTCCTCTAAAAATATAAGTGGGTCTTCTGGATGCATAACAATTACACCACAAAGTAGAGCCTGAAAAAGAAACTATAAATTAATGCCATCATGGTAACAGTAAAGGATCATCTAGAGGTGAAACCATTAAAATAAACTCAAGATTACAAGTTACTTCTAGAATATTGTAAAATAAAAGCAAATTTTTTATCGCTTACATTTCATTTCATTTATATCTTAAATTGAATATTGCATACATCAGAATATTTCAGTTGCTAGACTTCAAAGCATTGGGTTTAGGGCAGTAATAAAATACATGGTATTTCCATAAATATTCCTACTAAAAATTTCATTTTTTTAAAATGCATTCAAGAAAGAACACTCATAAAACAGGATAATTTCATTTATCTAATGAAAAACAGAATGTAAAACAAGATTAGTTCTGTGCAGCATAGAATATGTTGAATTAGGAAGCACGACCAGATATCAATCCAGTAATCAATACTGAAAACAAAATACAGATAATAAGATTTGCAAATTTGCATTGCATTTTAGCAATGCTGCAGAACAACTGATGAACAGTTTTTCTCACTTGTTATCAGCTGTCTTCATCTAAAATCTATAGCTCATTTATTTTTGGATTGTGAGTTCACATACAGACATATCTTCTAAATTATATTGATATTTAAAAGCATATGGGCAAACTCCAGTTGTTTAAATTAATAGTATAAACTAGAAAGCTTCTATTTCCAGATAAAAATTTCAGAACATGACTGTGCGTCTTTAATGAGATATTAATCCACATTAAAGCAAAAGAAGTTATCCTGGGATGCACTCTGTGTTTATAGTTCCCTCTGCTGGTTATCAATAAAGTAGCTCTGAACAGTTATCACAAAAGCAGCATCTGAATTTTTAGATTTTCTTCTGGCCCTGACCCTTAAAAACATGCTTTTCTTTGTCTCAAACCACTTCCCACTACTGGATAGTGCTAACTCTCTCTGTCTAATTTCTGCCATTCAGAATCTGGTCTAACCTCTGGAAGCTCATCACACAAATTCTGACTGTGCAACTCACTATCATAGAATCATAGAACAGCTTGGGTCAGAAAGGTCCCCAAGGATCATTAAGTTCCAACTCCCCTGTCAGTTATCTTTAACTTTTTTCCAAACCATTTATTCATACATATGCACCCTATGGGTAAAAATACTTCATTTTCCAACATCCATGTTGATTTTCTCATGTTACTATTATAAAACAACTGATATGTAAAAATGAGTAAATATATTTATAGGATCAACTCAATGTCTGAATGTAATGACTTTCTCACTGTACCAAATCAACTGAGAAAGATTTGTAACTGCAGAGCAGTCAGAAGTGAGATCACTGACAGTTATAACACAGAAGCACAATAATGGAGACTTCTGGCCATGAGTCTGTGCTGTTTCTTTACATGCCCACAAGTCAAGACCATTATAATAAGGCAAAACAAAACATTTTTTAATGCACAGACAATGAAGGGCAACTGTCTTCAGTTTACACACATTGAATATTTGGTAATACTTATCAACCCACTACTTACAACCTTAGCATGATGTTCTTAATACAAACACAAGTTCCTATGTATACCTTGATGGGGGAATATATTAAGAAAATATTGTAATTCTAACAGTTACTGTTGTCGTTCATGACAAATAATACAATTTTAAATAATATCTAGACATTTAAATAACTTTCCTTAAAAGTCCTCCTATGGACAGATTTCCCAAAGCCAATCCCAAGACTGTTCAGCTGCTCCCCCTCCTGGATTAACCCAGTAGCTGTCTGCCATATGAATACCTGTCATTAGTATAAAGTCTAGTTCATGCTTTTTTCTTTTTCCCTTTGATGTGAACACAACAGCTTTTTTTTTCCTCTCATGTTCTCATGGTCGAACACACAGAAAATCCACAGCAGCCATTGGGGTGACCTCATTGCAGCCTTTCAGTGCCTAAAAGGGAGCCTATAAACAGCAGGGGAGTCGACTCTTTGAGAGGGTAGATAACTGCAGGACAAGAGGAAATGGTTTTAAGTTGAGGGAGGGAAGATGTAGGTTAGATGTTAGAGAGAAATTCTTTACAGAGAGAGTAGTGAGGTGCTGGAACAGGCTGCCCAGAGAGGCTGTGGATGCCCCGTCCCTGGAGGTGTTCAAGGCCAGGCTGGATGGGCTCTGGGCAGCCTGGTCTAGTATTAAATTAGAGGGTTGTTGGCCCTGCCTGTGGCGGGGGTTGTTGGAGATTCATGATCCTTGAGGTCCCTTCCAACCCAGGCCACTCTGTGATTCTGTGATACAGGCTGGTCTGCAAAGCTTCTATTTAACTTACTCTCCCTTTCTGCATACATTGAACAACTGATAAAAATACACTCATACCTGCAAATTTATTCTTACTCCTAACTTTCTATTCCACACAATAGCCTTATGTGGGAATACACAGACATTGAGAATCAGCAGTTTTGTCATTTATAGTATTGGAGATCTGCTTTTCACTGCAAATTCAGAATAAACTAACATTTACATTCTCTATGACTCCTTGCTTAAATGTCACCACAGTATCATAAACGTTACATATTATTATTTCAGCTCTACCTGCAATAGAAAACTACACTGTACAATGGATGCATTTTGGCAAAGCCAGTGAAAGCCTGCATCTCCAGGAAGAGCTCCAAGTAGGTGGGCTGCAGCCTAAAGCTTCACTAATTCCAAAATAGATCTACAAATGTGGCACAACTATTGTCAACATTGTTTCTTCTGGAGGCCCACAAAGTCTGGCTACAGCTGCTGTCCCTGTCAGTGCAAAAGGAAAAAGGAGGATGTGTGAACCAGGAGGCCTGGCCATGACCTTCAGTCTTTCGCTATCCCTGACCAGATGCCTGACTTCTCTCACAAGCTTCTCCATTCCAGCTGTAATCTCTGACCTTCCCATTCCTATTCCTAAATGTGTAACAACCTATCCTTCAAAATTCAGCTGAGTCATATGGCAGAAAAGCAGAGATCCAGCTCTGCTTCCACATTTAATTTAAACATTGCATGAACACGGCTACAGTGAAGTCACGTTAAGCTTACAAAGTGCAGGATTTCATTTTGCCTGATGTTTTATGGTTATTGATTAAAGTAAATCTGGATGAGATCTGAAAGAGGAAAATCACACAGGAATGAAAGAATCCGACACAGCAGGGAATCCCAAGTTATTTGGACATGACTATTTGGACACCAAACGTGTGTGGATCATGTCCAAACCACAACATAACCATAAATGACTTAAGCAAATGTCCACTTTAGGACTCCATATCCTTCTTAATTTTGAGAATGCTTACATAAATGTTTATAGAACTCAGCTTGGCTATGGTATGCCTTAATACCGAGACCAGTATCATCTCATTTATCTCCATACAAAGCATTCTGGAACCTCATAAAAAATGACAATGACAAAAAAAAAAAAAAAAAATCTTGTAGGCATCAGTGAGCACCAACACCTAAGAAACAAGGAAAAAATAAAAATAAAAAAGGATGAAAAGATCTTACAGAGGCTGATTTTGTAACTAGTTCTTTCCCTTAAGTAACCCCCTTTATTCTGAACCTTAATTATTTCATTTTCAATTTCACCTTCTTTTGGTTTTCTGAGCTTAAAGAAAAACAACCCAAAAGGAATGATCAGGAGAAAGATTCTCAGAAGTGCTCACTCTGCCCGCTGTGCTGCTCCGTTATTATTCTAATTGGCTCAAGATGTCCTTACGAATGTTTCCATGGGAATCCTGGCTGTAAGAGCTGCCTCCAAGTGGGTCTATGTTGGTACCTGAGGACTATCAGGGAGCCTCTGAAACTGCTTTGTGCGTCATCTTTGTTCAAGGAGACCGAAACACGGCTGCTAGGTGAAACGGGAAGAAACCAAGCAAATAGAACAGAATGGCGAAGAATCCTGAAGCCAAAAACGCAAACTGTGTGTCCCACAGCCCCACTCCCCAACACTTCACGGAAGCTTCTTTACTCCCGACTCAACGATGCACCTGAGACGCGGCCCGCGTCCGCCTGCGTCAGGCCGCGCAGAGGCCTTTACCTCGTAGGCCTGGACGAGGCTGTGCCGCCTCAGGAAGGCGCGGAGCTCGGGGCCGCCGCTGCGGAGGGCCGCCATGGCCGCAAGGCGTCGCGGTCGCGTAGCAACGGGCCGGGATGGAAGTGCCGCCCCGCCCCGCCCCGCCCCGCCTTCCACACACGCGTTGGTTCCCCGTGAAAAAGCGAGGCCAGCGCGTAGCCCTCGGGGTGTGTCTGTGTTGAGAGGGGGAGCGCGGTGCCTCCCGCTTTGGTCAGCGCTTACGCGTGTCCTGGGGCACGGCGCTGCGCTTTGTGAAGATGGCGGTACTTTCACTTTGTTGTTGTAAGAACAAGCCGAAGCAGGAGCCGAGCCGGGCACGCAGCTCTCGGCGGGGCGGCGCCGGATGCTGCATCGGCTTCCGCGGACGGGGAAGATGGGCGAGCGGCGCATCCTGAGAGCGGCCGTGCTGGGGCTCGTGCTCGGCGCCAGCGCCTGTTACTGCTACCGCCTCTGGAGGCGGGCGGCGGGCCGAGGGCGGCGGCGGCGGGGAGCGCCCTGCGTCCCGCCCTCAGGTGAGGAGGAGGACGAGGGGCGGCGCGGCGGGACCGGCAGCGCGGTGCTCCCGCTGCCGCAGTGAGCGCCGGGAAGGCCCGCTGCTGCTGGGCGGGCTTCCAGCCGGAGTCTCCTCCGGAGAAATTCAGAGCCCGCCTGCACGCTTTCCCGTGTAACGTAGCGTAGGGAGCCTGCTGCTGCTGCAGGGCTTGGAGCCCCTGCGGTTCTGTGATCCTGACAGAACGGCCTTTTTCTGTCCGCCGCGGGACTCCATCACGGAGCAGCGCCTTCTTAACGTCCGGGCTGTGGCTCTGTCAGAGGAGCGCTGTACTCGGGCACAGCGTCACCAGCGTGATTTCTGCAAGCAGTAGGCTGCAGATCAGAAGGCTTGTTCATTTTCCCTCCAATTCCGGACAGATCTCCACATTTCATCTTGTGGAACACAAGGAAAAAGTTAACGTTTGGTGAATATTGCCTGTAATTTTGTAAGAGAGGTTTGTTTTTAATTAACCTTAGAGAAATACACTTCAAGCTCTTGTTACGCATTCCTTTCTTTTCCTTCTTGTACCTTGAGAAGAAGTAGTCATGGGATTTGGGAAAAAAAAGATGGAAGTCACGCTGTGGTAAAGCAAAATCTTTTTGCCATTATCTGGTTGTTGGGTGCAATCTAACATAGAACATGTACATGTTTGTGGCCAGCAGGTCGAGGGAGGTGATTCTCCCACTGCTCTGCCCTGGTGAGGCCACATCTGGAGTACTGTGTCCAGTTTTGGGCTCCCCAGTTCAAGAAAGACAGGGAACTGCTGGAGAGAGTCTAGTGGGGGGGTCATGAACTGGGAGCCTGGAGCACCTTCTCTATGAGGAAGGGCTGAGACCTGGTGCTGTTCAGTCTGGAGAAGAGAAGGCTGGAGAGAGATCTCATTGCTGTGTATAAATATCTGAAATACAGGAGTCGAGTCACTGGGGGCAAACTCTTTTCAGAAGAAACTGGAACAGCGTTAAAACTCAACTTGCTAAAAAAGGATTCATTGCTAACTGAGATGTCTCAAACTTGGTATTATTTAATTTTTAAACAGTGATGGAAGAAATTCCTCCATCATCCCAAAGCATGGACGCAGACGCTCTACAGAAGCTTATTCATTTGCTTAAGGCCACAGATGATCCATTAATTCAGGAGCAAGCTTTAATCACTCTCAGTAACAGTGCTGCCTTCTCTGTAAATCAAGTAAGCATTGTTCTGTAGAAAACAACAGCATTTCACTACCGATCAGTACAGAAAATGAAGGGTGCTGTTTTGCTTAAGAGTGTCACAAGATTGAGAGCTGGTTAACCTGTGTTCTAAATCTTGTGTTTTATGTTTATGCCTTAATTTCATGCTAGTCCAAAGAATGCTATTAATCAGCCTCACAAGATTTCTGTGCTTAATATTTGTACACATTAAATGTACTTAAACTCTGTACAGTGTCCTGTATTTGCCTTCAGCTATATAATGTTAATTAAAAGACTGAATTTGAGAAAAGTAAAATAATCTCAGGATCCAATCTGAAATCTACTGAAATATTTTCAAGTAGCTTTGATGTTTACAAAGCTGCGTGCCATTTGCAGCAGCTTCCCTGCTATCCATCTCTCTTTGATTCAGTTGAAAATATGATGCAGAAAAGCTTTGGCCCTAAGCAGGACTGTTCAAAATTTCAGTTGAATTAATAGATTCCAAGTCAAAGTGCAGCTTAATGATTGCATGTCTTACAATTAACAAGCTGTATCAAAATCCTTCTTCAATTAAGCACTAGCAAAATATAACTGGTTTTATTCTGCCTGCTTTAGGAGCTTGCTTAATTTGCAAGCTCTTCAAAATTCTATTATTTTATGGGCAACTCTACAGAAGGTTGTATGCTGTTGGTGTCTGTCAAATGAAATTACATTTCAACGTGATTTTGATACTATGAGCTGGTGGCAGTTTTAAAATAAACACCATAGTTTATTTTTGTATGCAATCATAATACAAAACATAACAAACTAACACTTTAAACGGAGTAGTCTGTTCTGAAAGTTTTAATTCACACAATTCCCTTTGCACAAAAAGAAACTTTGAGTAAAGCTTTCAGCATTTAACTTTGAATTTGCAACAATTTTATTACCTTTTATATTTCAGGATATAATTCGAAATTTGGATGGCCTTTCTGTAATTGGAGGGATGCTCCTGGATTCTGTTCCCACAGTTAAAGAAAAAGCATTAAATGCACTTAATAATTTGAGTATGAATATTAAAAATCAGGAAGAGATACAGGTAAGTTTATTACAGGGGAAAAAATAAAAGTAGCTGAGACACAGAAAATAGCATGGGGCTTTCAGCATATTTTTAAAATATGAGGGAGGATGCTAAAATGTCTTGAGGTTAGACATAAGAGTCATCAGCTGTAGATGATCTGTGCACCCGAAAGCCAAACAGATAATTTAATGCATTTGTATCACTGGCAATTTATTTTTTGAAAAAGCACCAAGGAAACTAGGCAGGCTGTATTTAGCTTTCACCAAGTGCTGCTTAACAGATACTGCTGTTAGGTTTATAGGGAAATAATGTGGAGCAAAGTGATTTCTAAATATCCATAGAACATCAGTAAGGTTGTGTAATAAGATGGGTAGCATTCTGAGTCTCACACGACTCCCTGGGCAAGGGAACTGGATGAGAAAATAGTAATTGATCCTTTGGGCTTGTCTCTGACCCACTTCTCAGTGTGGTTTACTCTTAGAACAAAAAAAGTCTGTAATAATGGTAATGAGTCCTGCTGATAAATACAGTAGATGGCACAGATGAGATGGGACTAGACATCAAAAAAAGCCTCTTTTGGCATTATTTGATCAAGAAGTGTCCAAGCAGTGAGCTTACATGCAGACTTGAAGATTTTTGGATGCTTTTTCATTAGCTTGATGGAAAGACGCTTTGATTACACTGTCATTTATAGCATCTTTAGTGCTGAGCAACTAAAGATTTTTTAAAGTAGTGCTTGCCCGTGGCAAATATTTATATAGACGTGTAGGTAGGAAACAACTCCTTTGATGAAGGCAAAGTAATTTTTTTCTTAGAGCTCCAAAGTTCATTGTGTGATGTTATTCAGAAGAGAATTTTGTATATAGTAGTTGCCAGCATCAGTTGTCATCACCATTCCTGAGATGTACTCCAGTGAATGGGCCACATAATTGAAAGGATTTCTTTCTAAGCCTTATTCTTGGCTTGTTCTGAACACTTAAGACCTTATTTGCTTTAAATAGGTGACTTTCAAAATAACCCCTTGAAGCAAATGCGCCACTTCTGAAATGGTGTCAAAGCAATTTGAGTTTTCAGAGTAATTTATGCTTTAGGAAAGTTATGCTTCAGGAAAGTTAGGGAGTGTAAGTCTGGCCTGTCTGCTTCTATCAGATCACAGTATTTGTATGTATTAAAAATGAAAGAAAACATAAGTGATTATTTTTAAGTACCTTGATCAGATTATATATTCAACAACCAGTGTTCAGTAGGTATTTACATTCCTGTTGCTAGACTGTTGATGCTATTTGTGAATAAAAAATCTGCTTGTCTCAAAGAAATGTCTTTCCTTTTCATCTTCTCTTTTTCCCAAGGTATATATTATGGAAGTTTGTAAGAACATTGAATCAGCTCCTCTGAACTCTGATCTGCAGCTAGCTGGACTCCGATTGTTGACGAATATGTCTGTTACCAATGACTATCACTATAAGATGATAAACAAGATTCCATGCTTTCTTCATTTGCTTTCAGAAGGATCTGAAAGGACACAGGTATTGAGTACTGTATTGTTATAAACTATTTATGAAGCTGTTTCACTTGCCTCCTTTCTACTGTTTTTATAACATGGTTTAGAGTATTTATTGAAGTATTTATTGGCAATAGCTGACAGTCCATTAAAAATGTGATATGCATGTTCCTTATTACTTATTCTTTAGATTAACATCTCCTTCCACAGTCTCACCTCCTGCCTTTAAAACTCTAAGGAAGTTCAGTCCTACATTTCAAACTTATATAAGCCTTACATGTGTAATTATGTGAAAGCTTAAGTCCTGAGAAAAAACAAAATCTATAATCTTTCTTCATGTTAGAAAAGAAGACAGTACAGACTATACTGTAATGACTCCAGTCTGGTGACCATGTTAAAAGAATGATTTTTATGACTTTCCTTGCTTTAGTGAAAAATCCAGATTCTCTGAAAGAAGGTGAGAATTTGTTTTTGGAGACTATCAGAATAAAGGAAACGAGAAGACAGTGGACTGTGTTAAAAAGTGGTGGGGTACGTTCAGGGTAGAGAGGCATGACAAAGGTGCCAGGGAGCACTAATGTCTTCTCACACATTTTGGTTCTGGAGAATGCAATGATCATGCATGTTTCTCATTTCAGATACAAGTTTTGAAAGTCCTTGTGAACTTGTCTGCAAACCCAATCACAACAAGAAATTTTCTCAAAGCTCAAGTAAGGTTTTAGTTTTTTTTTTTTTTTAAGCAATTACTTACGTGTATGTATGTAGATATGTAAGTGTAATATATTTAAATTCTTCTAATCCAAGTTTATATGTAACTCTGAACTAAAATTTTAGTAAGTACCTGGTTCATATAAGTAATTAGAAATATACGTTCTTTCACAGATTAGCATTCTAGATCGTGGTGCATTACAGATTACATTACTTGCAACTGTACAGGGCATATGCACTTGAAGGCCCTTGGTCATACTTCCTGTATAATATTCAGGATCATAGGATCACAGAAAATTTTGGGTTGGAAAGAACCTTACAGATCACAGAGTTCCAGCCCCCTTGCCACTCACCAGTAGGTTCCCCAGGGCCCCATCCAGCCCAACCTTGAGTAGTTCCAGGGATGTGGTATCCACAGGTGCTCTGGGCAGCTGTGCCTGTTCCTTACTGCTCTCATAAGTAAGATTTTTTTCCTAAAGTCTAATCCAAACCTCTTTTAGTTTAGAGCCAAATAGTGGTAGGGTGAAGAAGCCTGTTCTCACTTTCCTTTTTCAATTGCTAATGCACCTAAGAAAATTAAATTCCACTGAAATCCTCACCTCTTTATTCAAATGCATCCATAAATCTTTTTCTCTAGGCATTATGAATTAACTCTTCTTGTGCATCGCTTGACTTCATGGAGAACTTTATCTGACACTTTCCATTGCTGGCTTAACATACACATTTATTTCAGTTACATCCTTTTCTCATATCAAAAACAAAAGTTTTTGGGGCTGGAATGGTTCTGCAGCTTCTTCCTCCTCACTAAAATATGTTTCTTAAAATATGCAGTGGCTGATTTAAAAAGCAAACTACTTACTTCTCAGGTATTTCCCAGAAGCAGAACTAGTCTAGATACTACTGGATTTTCACAACTAAAACAAGACTAGGGTAGGCGCATGTTCAGTCCTCTGTTAAAAGGGTATCCTGTTCAGTTCTATCAGACATGTAAACAAACGTTTTGATCACCACAGAAGGCAAAAGTAACATTATTTGAAGAAAAGCAGGCTCTCTTACAGACAGAAAGCTTCCAGACCACTATTTTAGAAACTGAAAGAGTAAACATGAATGCTGTGCAGGTTTCCTGTACAATATCTCAGCATATGTAGTTCTGGTATTTCATAACGTTTCTGACTTAGATTGTTTAGGTGCAGATTTCTTTTCTATTTTTTAAAGTTAGATTTAGCTAGATGTACTTAACACTGACTAAATATGGATGATTTATTTAATGTCCTAGGTGCCATCACTGTTGTTACTCTTTGACAACTGTATAAACACAGATATTCTGCTCAGAGCCCTGGTATTTGCAGCAAATTTGAAAAAGAACATGAACAATGAAGATGGCAGCATGAGAGAGGATGAATACAGTGAAGACTCAGTTTTCTCTATACTCTGCAAGGATTCTACTGCATTTGCTCAGAAGCTGGCATCTTTACTGCATCACCCTGACACAGATGTGAAAGAGCAAGTTGTGAGACTGTTAACACAATAGTGATTTACTAGTGACTGAAAAAATATCTAATCTTAAGATTAGATATTAAAAAATGTTGAATATTGCTATAATACTTAGCACAAATCAATTACAAGAGACTCTATATTAAACACACTGTAGAGTATAACAGATTTTTTGTAAAAAGCAAGATAAGAAACAGGTTACTTAGCACTGGTATATGTAAACAGAGGGAGGCACATTTTAAAACATGAAAGCTTTTATGTGTACAGTGAACATTTTAAATTTATGAATAAAGTCTATCTAGATATTCTTAAGGTCAGAATTTTTGTGCCTTAGATATTTACAGCTGTTGAATAAGCATCTAATGCATCATTATGTAAAGATGCAGCAATCAGAGCCTAGTTTCCATTTTATTACTCTGATACCTGTTAAACAGCTGCAGGCAAATATTAGAAAATCTGAAAAACAGTGCCAAACTATCACTGACTTCCTGCAGAAACAGTATTTTCAATGAAAAGTGCATATTAAAATTTGTAGTTATATGTTTAGTACATCTATTCCGTTTAGTTAAACTACAGTGCAGTCAACCACGACATGAAACGTTTCTATACTTTAACAAAATCAAAGGATTTAAATGAAAGCATACATACTTTTCAAATTATATTACTGCCAAAGAATCTGCAAATGCAACTCTGTATTATCTTTGTTAACAGAAGCCAGAAAGAGCAGTATCACACACATTTTTATAAAAGCTTCCTGTTCTGTAGCAGCCCTCAAGCCTGGATGGAGGGGGTCTATGAGAGCTCATGGAGAGTTCTGTTCCTGGAACGTTATCAGAACAAGAGCTTCTGTTGAGTTAGCTCCCATACATTTTCAATCATCACTGCAGCATTAATTCAAAGTTAAATGGAATTATCAAAACATTGCAAAGGAAACTGAAGGAAGTTTCACTGATGAACAAAGAACATGTAGTAGAAAATTCTGTACACTAAAACAAAACTACTAAAACTTCCAGAATACCACATTATAAAGACACCTTGTACTAGTTTTTTTAAGAGAAGTGTGTTACCTAAACTGTTACCAGATGTTTCATCTTTAAGTTAATACATACACTCAGCTGTTAATAAAATACTATCTTTTTCTTTCTGTATATTCACTAGATATTTTACTTATTTTCAGTAGACAACACTTTCCAAATAGATAAAGCTGCAAGAAAAATATGGCCTTATCTGTGCCCTGATCAATGAACAGGTAAAGCCAATTAATCTATACAAGTAGTTTTAACTCAATAGGAATTGAGTTAAGGCAGAAGTACACATTAACATGAATCCCAAATAGAACTCTGTCCATCACTTATAGTGAACTTTTCTTTCTCCCTCCATGGTCTCCAAACCAGTCCATTTTTCAATACACAAATTATATTATAATCACTTAATGTTTTGCTAGTTTTTAATTATATATATATATAATATATATATATTATATATATATATATAATTTATAATATATATATATATATATAATTTCTTACTCTTTTGTATTTAGCAAAGATGAAGTCTAGGTCAGACACTGAAGAGTCACTTATTCCAGCTTTGTCTTCTAAGACAGGAAGATATCAGCCTATTCTTGATACATCATCTGATTTTATCAACATTTCCTTTCTTAATCTGAGCAGCGGAGATACCTGGATGTTCCTCTCTACATTCTCCAACCTAAAAATCAGTTTCTGTCAACTGCCAGAGGATACGAATGAATTCAAATGACCATTGTCCACTTTATCTAAAATACAAGGAAACATATTGCATTGTTGCTTCAGCCTTCTTCTTCTGGTCTATACCTGTTTTAAAGTCTTCACAGAACAATACTGCTGAGGTATTTTGAAATAATGCAAGACTGTCTAACATGTCTTCATGAAAGGGTTGTTTTGTTTTTTTTTTTTAATCTCCTGCCCCACACCTGGTGGAATCTTATCAGCACCAAGCAGAACAGCTGTCACTGCTGTACATAAAAATACTGTAAATGAGTACATCTAAACCAAAACATACGCCATTGCTAACATTTAAGGCTCTGATCCTTGTATCTTGATGCTTATCTACCTATAATAGGTACTCCTTCCATTTCATTTTTCCTTTCTAAAACACAGAATTTTACACAATGCAGTCTAATAGTTTTGAAATGAAAAAAAACAATTGAATTTTAATAATGTCCTTCAAAGATTAGATTGTCCTTCCAGGAACTTGGTCTCCTCCAAAATATTACACGTAACAGAAACTACATATCCAAGTCATTACTGAAGCCATTGTGTAAATAAAAGGCCCAACACAGACTTGGTCTGAAATATCCTTGCAGAAATCAACATTGAACTATTAGAGTAGTTTTAAACCAGTTTTGAAGACATTCTGGTTATTAGATTCACAGTAAAAATACCTTTTCAAATATGTTAAATATGAATTACACTACAGGACTATAAGACACTTTTGCTTACATATAGTTCAATTACCTATTCCAGAAGCTTTCTCAGCATTAAGTTAGGCTAATTCATCTTTGTCTCCTTGTGCTGTTCCTTGCTGGCATTAAGTTCTTTAAGATTTCTAGCACTTCCTACTGTACGCTTCTAAAAGGTAACTGTTGCAAACTGAAGCTTACTTGCAGCATGAGATCTCCTTGACTGGTTTTAATTAGTTGGCAGAAGTCAATGCCTTAAAATCACAGGGAATTTATTGTTTTTATTGATCTTGGTGGAGTATGAACATAAAATGTAACACACAGAAGTAAAAAATAAAAAAATAAAAAAAATCACAAGTTATTTATGAGTTGTGAAGCAAAACAACCACCATTATTACTTTTTGTTTTTGGCAACAATAGGCTTTAATTCTGTAAACAAGCATGGCAATTTGATACAGATACGTTCAGCCAAGTATTACAATAGCAAGTCTCTCATTCAACTTGAAGATTATAAGGAAGCCATAAGAAATATTACCACAGCCCTTAATGTTTTTCACTTTAAAAAAAAAAAGTATTTAATTGGCTGAGTTGATACAAAGACAAGTGCCACTAATGGACTCTTCCATTTCATGTACAGTATTTGACAAGAAAATTATTTTAGACACGTTCAGGCCTAACTTAAAAACATAAACAATGAAAGTGCACAGATATTCTGGTCATCATTAAGCATTACACATGGATGCTGCAGTATTGAAGCTCTCTCTTTCTGTTAAAGGCACATTTCTTTAGATCATTTTAAAATTCAACTTCTGTGATTCCTCAGTAAATGAAAATGTAGAAGCACACTGTAAAATAATGATTTTACTGTGCTTGTGCTTTAATAACACAGATGTATTGGGAGATGCCCCATACAACATGTTTTGAAGCTACCGAGGAACAGGACATAATTTGAAAATCAACTATTAATGAGTGAGATATAACAATGAATAATTAATATCAGCCATTAATTATGAGACTGTGTCCTGTTCTGAAGGTATTATTGCTGTTATAGACGAAGAGTTTAAAATAAAAACAAAAATGTTTATTACTGGTGCAGGCAAGAGTTGAAACTGCAAGTTATATCCATACAATATCTCATATATAAACCAGTGTTGTGGTGGATCACCTCCCAAAATTTGTAAACAAACTAATAAAATGAATATAACTGAAAAATGAAAACAAAAACAACAGTAAAATGAAATTTGTATGAGAACTTTATAGTTATGAAACTGACACGTGTGGAATCTAAAAATCCAATTAATCTACTCTTAAAGTACATCAAATTAACATTTGCAATATTAAATACTCGTTCAAATCAAACAAGGCTTACAAGGAATTGCTGCTGGTTTACTATTCAGACCCATCGTTTGTACTCAAGTCCTGGGACTCTCCATGATTTAAGACAAAGAAGTCTTCTTTTCTCAAGCCATATCTTTCAAGAGCTTCATTCAGTTTAACTGGAGGATCCAAGTAATACTAGAAAAATAACAATACAAGGAAAAAACATCACTACCACATTTAGTGGGCAAGAAAATAAAAAGAAGTATCATCACTCTAAAAGACTGCTATACATATTAACTATAACCTAAAAAGGAAAGGGAATACATTTGTTAAATTGAACTGTTTTGTTTCGTTTTTAGTTTTTAAAGAATAAGAATACTGATTTACTAGATACTGATTTCATCCAGTATCTAGTAAAGCATAACTTATCATCCAGAATTCAGTCCTTTTCAATGTAAATGGATCTCTCAGAAGCAGAAACAGTCATTGACATTCCTAACACAGAGAGGGAAATGCTAATAGGCAGTAGATGGCGCTTTCTCACATTAGTAAAACAAAGACGTCAGTTTCAATGTCTACAAAATAGTGCCATTTCAATATAGTAATGTAACGTTCAGGGGAACAGTATTTGTTATGTTTTTAAAAAGGCATCTTAAGGGAGAATAATCCATTTTTGTATGTTTTGAAGTAACTGATCTGTTTTTTTAAGTGCTAGTGACAGAGCATTAAAAATATCTCCAGTAGAAAATGTTATGAGTCAAGTAAACATAGTTAACTGAAGAAGAAGAAAGTTACAAGAAGTAATAGTGCAACTGTTGCAAAGAAAGATGAAAAACAACTACCCGACAAGGTGGCTCCAAGTACATGTAGACTTCCTGCCTTTCACTTTACTTTTTGTCACTGTTACACTATTCAGGTAACTAATTACTACAACAAGTGATACAGAGCAAGGGCAGAAATCTGCAACAATTCAGGATAACCAAGTTTTTCCATGTTTTGCCAGTAAAAGAAGCTGATAATTAATCATGAATCAAAAACAGCCTTCAATGCATTCACTAAACTGACAAGGTGCATAAAAACTATACTGAACTAAGGGCACTCAACTCTTACAGCTTCCAAGATATGTATGCAATAAAAAAGTAAACTTGGCAATAAATTTCCCTGTCTACCCTGTTCCTCAGCTGTCAGACATCAGGTTTATTATTCACTCTACAAGATATATTCTAGCTATTTAAATCCCTATACAAACACTATTTCTTCAGAAGATATTCAGAACAACTAGTGCACTATCATATTTACTTTATTTTCAATATGGAATGTTCAGAACCAAAGACTTGTAGGTTTCTCAACTGCATCGATTTCTCTTCCCAGATTTCAGATGAAAGGACACAGAGGAGCTGTCATAAGAATCAATGACTCAAAGGTTCAAACTTCAGAGAAGAGAAAGTTATTGAAATGCCAGATTACAGACCAACTTTCTTGCCTGCTTCAATCTTTCTCTGCCCCATGTTTTCTATTTTAGTGTTGTTTATTTTGTTTTGTTTTTTTAACTTTGCGCTAAATAAGAAGTAGGCAAAATAACTAATAAGGTGCTCAATTGGAGAACTCTACTACCCAATATATTTACTTCCTCTAAACCAGAAGGAATATTGTTGTAACTATTTCTGTGTATCTAAATCCTTTGACAACAAAAGAATGGACTTCAAAGATGCTGCATAGCATAAGATTCCCAGTATGCTTCTCTGTGTGACAGGATTTTCTATCAGAAAGAAATTCAACCATTAAAAAATAATGCTAATAGATCTCCAGGTGTTTTAATATCTATACTTTAAAATTAATCTTAACTATTTTACACATTAGTTATGAAAAACTACATACTGTTTTGATGCACAGTACATATAGTAACAACTTTTCACTCAATTACATTTTAATTATACATTTATAGATACATGGGTTAAATTGCATGAAGGAAATAGTGATTGTGTAGTTAGAAAATCTGAGCTCATATGTAGTGCTTAAGTTTACCTCATTTGCTAAAGCAAAGGTTCCCCAGTGAATTGCTACAGACTTCTTTGCTTGAACATCGATATGGATTCTTACTGCTTCTTCAGGATCCACATGTTGATGTTTCATAAACCACCTACCAAAACACAACATATATTTTTAGTGTCACCAGATTTCTTCTTTACCTTCACGGAATAAGTTGCAAGGAATCTAAAAATATACATTTCCCCAATCAAAAAGTTAGACTGTATATGCCTTAAGAATATACAGAACACTCAAAATCAACAGGCTGGAAAATACCAACATACTCCCAAAACATCAGCTCATGTATTTTTACTCCCCAGAAAGTTATTTTCTTACCTATAATTTTAAGAGCATAAGGACATATTATTGATACCTGGGGCCATTAAGACAACAGATTTAAATTACACTTAATTTCATGCTAGTAGCACGTACCATAGAAGTACGTGCTTCAGAAGATAGCCAAAGGGAGTGATGAGAAAGCAGAGAAGGGGACCAAGGTGTTTTTGAAAATCACTATATACATACATATATACATATATATTTTTTTTTTTACCATGTTTGATTCTTATCTTCTTTTCCCAGAGTATACATGCTCTGCTTCCAGCATTATATGAATGTTACCATCTAAAAAATGTAGATACCCCATGTAGATGGTAAGTAGGATACGGATTCCAGAACAAATAGGGCTTTCACACACTACAAAGGATTCATCTTCGTTTCCAGATAAGTTGCAAAAGCAACATAAGGACTTCAAGGAAAAAATGCTGTAACATGCATGTACCTAAATGACATGGATTGAGCAATGCTATTTAAGAGAAAGAGTCACCAAGTAATTTCAGATTTTGACTCAACATTTTTCATGGAACTCAGCCAACTCATCCTTGCTATACTTAAGACTGAAGAATAAAACCTCTGAGAAATGCAAATACACAGGCAAGTGAATCAGACATTTCAGTTCCACTTTCTGGTTGACAAAACTAAGAAAAACGGGCAATTTGTCTCTTTTGCCTATTTTGACCAAAACATAAGATTTTCATACCTTGGCTCATAAGCTCCAATGGGGATAGCTGCAAGGTCAAAAGGTCCAAATCTTTTACCTATCTGTTCAAAAGCAACACAGTATCCGGTATCTCCTGCAAAGAAAAATCTATTCCAAGGTCCCAAGACAGACCAGCTGCCCCACAGAACCTTGTTGTCATCTGTCACAGTCCTTTTGCACCAGTGTTGAGAAGGGGTAAAGACAAAAGTCACCGCATCGTGACCAGGGACACAGTTCTCTTCCCACCAATCCAGTTCAATCACATTCTCACAACCGCATCTCTGCATCCAGTCTAAGAGCCCTAGAGGCACAAACCAGCGCAGCTCACTGCCAAAGCGTTCATTTAAACTTTTGACAGTGTTGTAGTCCAAATGGTCGTAGTGGGTGTGGCTGATGACAACAGCATCTATTTTGGGGAGCTGGTCAACCGTGCATGGAGGTGGTCGGAAGCGCTTGGGGCCCATCAGCTGCACAGGAGAAGCCCGCTGGCTGAAGATGGGGTCAGTGAGAAATACCAGTTCATCCATTTCCACCATAACTGAAGCATGTCCCAACCACGTGACTCTCATACCAGTTCCTGTTTTTCCAACAAGTTCTGGGTTTTGAACAAAGTATGGTTTTAACACTGGAAGCTCTTTGTCAAGTTCCTATCAGAAAAAAGAACAAAATATGCATGAGACATACAAGAACGTACTTGGCTGCGAAACAAAAACTTCATACAAGGCACAAATCATTACCGTCAAGACTTGTGATTTGTTTAAATTTTTAGGCAACTTAAGAACTGCAACACAGATGTCTTTTTAATGGCCCTTTTCCCAGCAAGTTCCTCCTAAATTAATCTTTTATTTGGTCACATTTTCACTTCCCTTTCTCAAGAGAAGAGAGTTCAAGAGAGGCTAAGAAACCTACTACTGCTGATACTGATGTCCCAGCACTTCTGGTTCCTGTTTGGATTCTCCCTGTGATGGTTGTTGCCCTCTGTCTCTAGCATTAGATTAACACTACCAGATAGCTATTATAGAGCTAAGCTCCTGCTCCCTTAAAAGCCCAGCTGACACTGTGATGGTTCAGGAGTCTAGGGTTTTCTTTGCTAAAACAGTCCTGAGAGCTTCAGAGAAGTTACTTTCCCTGCAATATTTTATTGATTTGGCATACGTTGAGATGAAGATACTGAAATCTTACTGTAAGTAATTAAATATTCATGAAATTGCTTTCCTGAGAGCTAATGGACGAGACATGTCTACTGAAAAAAGTTTCACTACTGCCTTCAGGAAAGAGACATATACTAAGTCACTGTACAGATAACCTTCTCCAGAGCTGAATGGTTAGTGCAGTACAGTCAATTAACTCATACAAGAATGAACAAAGTATGATTATTAGACTGAGAAAAGCCACTGATTCTCTAAGAAAGAAATAGAAACATTTTCTTCTAAGTGCACAGAAGCAGCATAAGTCTCAAGAACAGGAATTAGGTCAACTCATGAAATTACATGTGGTTAAGCCAATACATCAGTTTATGTCAAGGAAATTAAAGCCAGGTATGAAATGTAATAATTCTTGTAACACACTTTACGTCAGTAAGTGCATTGTTATGGAAAACATTCTTTTTAAGTACTTGTTTTTAAAGTCGGACTACAAATTACTTTGCACTGGAGGTGAGAGTAGTTTCACTACTTGGCTTTCCCATCAGATGAGTAAAAGTAAAGTCATTCTATGCACTGGCTTCAGTATTTATATCAACCAATTTTCTTGCTAGTACCAGTAATGCCTGACAGTATTTTACTAAGCAAGGAACTGCCTGCATATAAATTTTTTTCACTTTCATTCTGAACAAACCAAGATGAGACTCAGTTACAAGATCCAATTCCTCCTCCCAGGGCCATCTTCAACTTCAACTAGAAGGGAAGGAGACAGGTAGTAAAAGTAACCACTTCTCAAATCATAAGAACAAACTAAACCACAAGTTCTATTAGCAGCATACTTCACATGAAATTCTTTAAACTTGTGCAATGGGATAATGAACAAAATACATAATCTTATAGAACCTTTATCCTGCTACAGCACATTTTGTTCTCTATCAAACCATCCAGAAACAGCAATATTACAAGAATTATAACAGAATTTTAAAACATAGCATCAATCTCAAGTCAGCTACCAGCAGAGGCAGATGTGCTTAATACCATCCTGTCTTTATTTCTAGAATAAGAAAATATCTCTGCAATGTTTTCTTTCATTGTGTCATACTCCCCAGCCCAAGTTCTTCCTTCCTAATGCATACAAGGAGAAACACATGACTGGTCTCAGTAAGACTAGCTAATTAGCTCAGGATTTTTGGTGCTTAGCACATATTGGAATACCACTGGATTTTAATAAGAACAATTTATATTGTTAATCCAAAACCTAAATACTTAAAAGACATTTCAATGGTATTGGAGGGGAAAAAAAAAGCAATAAAGCCTGTAATAAACATACAAAAATTATATTCATTCTGGATAATGCTGGAGGCTTATTGAGAAAGCACGATTATAATACACAGTTTTTCAACAGTGAAGTACCTGAATTATTACTTTTTAAAAACATATGCAAAGCATTTGGTACAGATAATCTGAACCTGCTCAATACAGGAGGCACCAAAACATGCTAAAAGCTGGAAACTGGAGCAGGAATCTCTTCTAAGGCTTTTGTTATCTAGCAGTGTTAAATAAAGTATGGAGCACCTAGTTTGAATTTTAAACAAGCTCAGAAGAGCTTTACAGCTTGATTTAGGTGTGGAACAAACGTAGCTGGAACAAGCATCAAAATGGCTGAGGACCTAAAGAGTGCATTTCATTGATCCCTATCTGTGTTTTTCTGTTTCTGATGCATTTCACTAAGCTACTAAATAATTAGAAGTACTTAATCCAACAATTTCAGATGCAAAGCAATAAAATTAGTCCAAAATTAATCCCAGCTGGGACAGAGAGAACAAGTGAGCTTTACAACTGGGACAGTGGAGATTTCTTTGTAATCATTCTTTATTGCAGGTATAACCAGTAAATTAAAGAGGAGCACTGCAGGTCTCCACTGCCATCAAAGCTGTGCGTTCTGCACTCAGTACTAAACCTGAGCACTGCCTTCTTGGTAGCTCAGTCACTGACGAGGTTTCTCACTTGTGCTGACAAGAGCTGAAGCAATGACTACAGCTACTGCACACATACAGAACAGGTCAGCAGTCAAAGCCAACTGAAACCAGCCAAGCTCTGAACTGTACATGAATGTGACTAAAGCTCAACACACCCAGACAACTGCTGTTAATACAGATAACGTATAGAAGCAGGACACCATTTTTAAAAGAGTAAATCACGGGAGGGAACCCCAAGACCAAAATAGGTTTGTTGTGCTTTTTTCTGAAATTTAACTATTATTACTGTAGAACAATTACATCCAAGATTAATTCTCCCTTAAATATGCTCTGTGCCACATAACCTTAAAGAAATGTCAAATTTTCTCAGGGCTGTGTTAATAAGTAACACAAATTCCCAGTCAGAAACCTGATCAGATAACTTCCTTCACAGGTAATTCATGTAAGATAACAAATGAGCTACTTGCTAAGCACTGCCTGTGAGATTTATAGCTTATGTCTGCTTCCTAGGATGCTTAAAAGCATTGCACTAACTCCTGTTGGTTCAAAAAGACTTTCCCCAGTTGTGTACCTTTGTGCACAGCTTTTCTGTAGGTCAAGAAAACACATTAGAAAATACACAAGGAAGTAACCCTGTCAAAACCTTAGCCTAACACTGTGAACCTTAACACTGTTGTGGCCACAGAGATAACCAGTGGTTTTCCAGTATCCAGTACTCTTTGTAGCAATGAAGCATCTCTCAGAGGTTGCTTCTCTAACCTCTGCTTTTTAAGGCCTTCATTATACACCACATCTGATAGAAGCAACACACAAAGAACAAATAATGATGTTTCCCAGTAAACTGGCACTGCACCTTTAATATTTCAATACAAATACTTGTTCCAGTTTGTTTTAATATATGCACTTTTTTTCTCTTGGTTTACTGAAACAGAAACATAGATTTGCAAACACTTCCATAAGTAAAAGAAAGGAACTATTAAGTAGATTAAAAAAAAAAAAAGATATATTTAATGGTAGTCTGAAAAAAAAATTGCAATGATATGTGCCACAGCTACTTTATCCAATATGAATGATGTTTTATTGTATGATTCATAATGCAACACCCATTAAAATGGAAACAGTATATTTATTTATGTAGTTTATGATTGAGTCAGGTTATTTTTGTTATTTTCATAAACACAAGTTGAACTAACTAAATCAAAGGTTGAGAAACTAATTGAAAGGCAAAAACTTGAAGAAGCAAAAAGGATTATCCCTCCTGTTGAAAAGTATAAAGAAAGCAATTACAAAATCAGAAAAACAACACCAACAAGAAATATCCTGAAGTTGTCCAATGGGTTAGTTCAAAATTGTCCTGCTTTAGATGTTACAGTAAAGAAAAAAACAATCTAAACCACAAGCAGAGAACATGTAAGTGCTCACCTGTTTTGAAGATGGCACATTGCTGTTATCTTTTTCCATGAGGCACCATTTCAAAACATTGGGCAAGGTCGGTGACTTCCATGTTGGCCATGGGTTGACAAATCTCCCATCTTTGCCTCTCTTTGATTTTGTTACATCTTCTTCTAGCCTGTAGTCCAGCCTGAAGCTTTTCCTGGAGGCTCTGGAAGAGTCACTGCCCCTGGATCCTCTATCTGAGTTGTGATGTTTCCTCACTGCTTCCTTAGGGTACTGGCTGGATGCAGATGGAGCAGGCTCTTCTGTTTTCTTATCCATATTTTTTTGAGAACTAAAATACATTTTAAATTAATCAATATTTTTCTGGAGTAACGTCAATGTTTGTAAGACTGAATGTTCTCATACACTAGAAACAAGCCTACCCATTTTATGATCTACTGTATTTTTCTCAACAAAACAAGCTTCTTAAGCTGTTGCTATTACACAAAAGACATCAAAAACATGCTGTGGCAAGTAGACATCAGATCTCTTTGTAGTTCAGGCAGAATTTTACTCCCTGGTATGCACCAGTTGGGATACAAGTGCTATTATCTACCCACTGCAAGAGCCAGGGGGAAGGGACCTTAATTCACATGTGGGAAGAATAGTTAAGTCCCTCCTGACATTCTGACATTTAGTGCCTGATGTAATGTGATCCTTCAAGCACGTCCAAGAGACACTGGAACTACAGAGCACCTTAGAACTTGCCCACATAGTGACTGTTGTGTAGTAAGAGCAGCAGCCTCAGGTAGCACCAACGACACTGCTTCTGACTACAAGATGTGTCAACACATGCACACATGCATGCATGCAAAAAAAAAAAAAGAGTTATTTGATCCTATCTTGTCTGAAACAAAGGTAAACTTCAGTGGAGTAACAGCAAGATTAACTGTTTCAAATACAAGCTTCATAAAAATTTGAACTGACATATGAAAGGCCACAGAAGCTTGGAATATCACAAATCATGTCTGCAATGCCTGTTCTTAATCCCACTGTGAAATGAAGAGGAGAAAAAAAGAAGTGAGGAAATAACAGAAAAGACTATTTTTCTGAAGCCATACATGTGGGGTGTTTCTTAAACTTTCACATTGGCAGGCAGCAGCTCTTATTCCAGACTGCACTGCACTGCAGGAGAGCTTAGGAGTACAGAGTTCCATTGATCTCTGCATGTCTAATGTGGAGAAAACAAGTATTCAGATTTTACTTTAAAAGGAATTCAGTCAAAGCTAAATGCTTCCATTTCTATATTTAATGTCAACATTTCAGTATCCTGACAATACTTAAAAAACAGGTTGCTATTTTTAAAGTTATCTCCTTTCAAGTACTTACAAATTCTATCTGTTAAGAACTAGAAGACGACTAGTAACGGACAGACAGTGTGATATGCTGCCTACATGTTGGAAGTTTTCAAGTTTTAATTAGAAACTGTGAAGTCTGTTCTGTGGAAAATTTTTTCCAGCACACATTTTAGACTGTCTAACAATTCATTAACTCAGCTATTCAGGCTTCAGCAGGTATACTCATACGTGAAGCACCGGTCAGATGTACCAAAGTCACTCCACTCAAACAAAGCTTTCAGAGAACAGAAGTAAATACAGCGGATGATTTTCCTAAAAATTACTCCTTAAATGTGGTATTTTTAAGTAGTTGAGTAGGCAGGACTCACTGCATCCCTCTGAAGTTCATAATTACAGAAAAAAATAGACTGTTATCGCAATGTTGCAGCTTGGTTTTTGCTAACTGATAAGAAGCATCATCAAATTAAACATAAAGGAAATGCATTTCCTTGTGATGCGCCAATTTCAAACGCAGAGCTCTTCCTTGCTACTTCAGCAGGGATCAACTGAAGAACAGCAGGTGAGATGTCAGTTGTGAACGCACAACAATTGTTCAATCAACATTCAGACAACATTCCCGATCACATTTCTGAGAAGTAACACTCCTGGTCACAACCACATTTTAACTAATTTGCCTTTTATTCTGGTTTCCCTGTATTTTACTGAAACCACTTTATTATGTGCTTTCTCTTTAGCAATAGTATATCACATCTGCATCACAATATTAGCTGTAACCACCAATACTCCCAAGCTGTCTTCTCTGTTCCATAAAATATCTGCTGGAATCAGCCTTCGTTTCAACAGCCAACCCAACTTTATATCATTTTAAACAGATATAAGTGGTAAGAAGCACAAACGGCTAAATGGAATATATGAGGAAACTGTAATGGATACATTAGCTATTGCTTTAACTTGGGAGGGTTTTTGTGCCATTCTTCAAAGAGCATTTCCAGTGCCCAGTCAACTTATTAATTTAGCAAAGCACACAGGCACAGCACAGGACATCTACTCTTCCACAACACGTGGTGAAAACAACCCACAGAAGTTTAATCATGTAGATACTTAATTCCAGGAAATTCTTTTGTTAACATCTTGAGTCTGATTTTAAAATATATATGACTACTGTAATTATTATTCCTTTAAGACACTTTATATTTGAGAGCAAAGTGCCTAAGGTTTTATTTTCAAGTTTCTGTTTATCTATTCATTCATCTCTGAAATAGGTGAATTCTGCTTTTGCTTACATTTTTATAAAAACCTTTGATCTTATTCTGAAAGAATAAGCCTCTAGGGGAAGAAAGGATCAACTATGCTGATTAAACAAAGAAAATGCCAAAGCATTTAAGGCACTGCAGGTATATGTCTGCCAAGATATTTTCCACATGATGCACATACATTACTTTCATTAGTATTCCATTGGCAACTGAAGGGAGAAAAGACATCAGCGCTCACGGAATACTTCAAACTCTTCTAGATGCATAAGGACAAATTTACCAGCTACTAACTGACAAAGTATTCCTGATGAACCACAGATTCTTTTGAATTTTCAGTCTCGCCAGATCACTTCTGTTTCACTTAAACTGGTAAAATTTTTCCAAGAATATTTAAGGAATACAGTAGAAGAACTCTGATTTTTCTTATTAAAAATGTAGACTCATTTCTAGAAAGTCCATCTGTTTCAACTATTAGCTTAAAACGAAACTCAACCAGTCATTAGCTTAAGGAGACTCTTACCCTTTTTGCAAAAGAAAGCCTCTTAACAACAAAGAGATTCTGAAGTTATATTTTAAATGCTAAAAATTAAGCAGTCAGGAACGAGCTAATATTTCAACCAGCTTTTATGAATTCTTCTCCAAGAAAAATAATGGTTTGGCAAATAGCTTCAAAGAATTTAAGCACTGTATTGCCAGCCAAATTATGAGGACAGAGGTACTACAAAATCAAACTGGATGGGAGCTATGGGTGCAGAAGGAAGCAGGAGGAAGGGGTTGTGTCCTTGGCAAGTATTTGATCGTGTAAAGTTCTATGAGAAATCTTTATTTTTCATGCTTCTAAGGGAAGAGGAAAGCTCCTACTTAGAAGCACTGAACTGATTTCTTAACATATGGAAATCATCCTTCAGGATGAGGTGACTTACCACAAAAAAGGATAAAGGGATTGGTACAGTGGTTTCAGACAGGGAGAAACAGGATCATTCCACAACTACCTGACCCAGTGGGTGGCAACCGTGCCCACCAGAGTGGGCTGGAACTACTTGGTATTGAAGGTCCCTTCCAACACAAACCATTCTATGATTCTGTGCTTCTATGATGTCCACACGCAGCGATGCTTCACTGGTTTAGCTTCATTCAGAAAAAGAAACACATCATCACATACAAACTAGTGTATGAGCCCATGAGTCATGCCAAACCCATGGTGCCAGAAGGTACCCTAGACAGAGGGGAACAACCCTTTTGGATGAATAGGATGAAACACAACATGAATCAAAACGCAAAGCTCACACAACTGGTTTTCCAGCAGCAAACGCTAAGGGGCCCTTGTGAACCCGCAAAGCAAAGGAAGTTGTAGATGAGGCAGGACATGGCAAGGAAAATCAGGCCTTACATTCTGATAAATGGGCTTATTCCTGGAGAAAAAAAAAAAAAAAAAGCTTTTATGACAGTAGATTTGGTGTCAATTGTTTATTTTAGCATTGCTTGTATAACTGAAAGCTTGGATAGAAATATTTTGGCTTTAAGCCTTTTCTATATTTAGGAAAACCATTAACAGCTTATGTAAACATTCTAATAGTTCCTCAATTTTGTTCCAAAAGAAGTTTGAAAGCAGGATACACTGAAGTTATAAGAAGCACTGTCATTAAAACTTTAATTTTAAAATGCTCTCTGTAGAGATTTAAGAGCCACACCATTTAAACTTGATTAGCAGAAAAGCATCAATGCACAAACTAGTGCACAGGTCTCCACCTCTTCCAGCCAGCCTTCTCTATCAGTCACTACTCAGTACCTGACAAGGTACTGTGTGTGCACTGACACACTAACTGTGAAGGCTGCTGGAACAAATTCATCCTTTTCTACACAGAAATGTGGTCCTTATTTAACAAATTCATAAGCCACAAAGGAAAAGAAAGAGTTACTATGAAACCACGGTTTACTGGAATCCAACAAAACATCATACTTACCTTGCAAACATTTCCCAGCTTTTCAAATATCCCTACTAATCTCTGTTTTTGAAGAATCAATCTTTGTTCATTTCTAACTGCCATCCTTCTATATAGATCACACCCAGAATTGAACTGCACTGTGCATTACCTAAAAGGGACAGTGCACGGTACTCAGCAAACTGAATTGGTCTGTGCTTTTATCATACACTAAAGTCTTATCAAAGTGAGAACTTTCTGCAAGCTGTGTATTGCTACACAACTCAGAAAATGCTTTTCAGTATACACGTTTCATGGTTGCAAAAAGCATGCTTTTGGCTTGCAACTGAAAAAAGGATTTCAGCTAAGAGGTATTTGCAAACACTATGCAGCACACCAGTTAAAAAAAAAAAAAGCCTTCTGCACACTAAAATATCAAGTCACTGCCAGCTAAGTTCTGGCTGTGCTTTTATTTTTCCTTTAAGTCTGAAATTGTCTGCATTAATTAATGAACAGTTTGAGACTGGAAAATTCTGAATGCCTTTAAACCTTTATTGTTAAGTACTTCAGGCTGTCCAGGCCAGTTGCAACAGCATTATTCCAGATGCTCTTGGTCTTAAGATTTCACACAGAGATCTCAAGCTTGCAACTAGCTGATCTATGAATACTTTTATTATTTGAGATTTCCAGTAAAAAGTTGTAAGCAAGAACAAGCACTGCAGAAGTTTTATTCAAACTATTTGATATTTTAAGAGCCAGCTAAAGATTCTGTGGGACATCCTGTCCCCCAGGTTATTTTCAAACTAACCACAATCCTCCCCCAAACCCATGCTACCAGTCTTCTTCCCTTCTTGCATGTACAGGTGTAAGCTGCAAGCTGTTCCTTCCCTGCTCTTTTGAACCACCTGCAAGTATCCTGACTATCATGACTTTGTGTGATATTACAGAAAGACAAATAACTGAGTTAATAACAAAAGCAAAAATAGCCCTCTCTATGAAAACCTCTAAGAACTAGGATGAATCTAGATGTGAGGACCAACAATACACAGCTTTATTTAGTCATTACTGAGAAAAAAAAATTAATTACCAATAAAGCAAGTGTGACGCAACTTAAAACAGCTGCATTGCCTCAGCAGGCAGCACTGCCAGCCAACCCACCTCTGTTCTCAGTACTCCTCTAGCTTGCAAAAAAAAAACCACACAAAAAAACAAACAAACGTGTTCACATGGTGAATCCCCCCAAGGAGCTGATACAGCAGTCACTCCTTACCATCCCGTCCCCTACAGAAGCCCTTATTTCCACCCAGATCACTGTATAAGCACTCAAGGATTTACCAACAAACTGGCTCAGGCAGGGGAGGGTGCCAAGCCAACAGGAAGTTATTCACAGCAATTACAGGTGCTATCAGCTACATCCTCCTGTGCCCTCAGATACAAATGCAAACAGGCATTAGTCAGATCCACCAGCAGTACCTGGAGCCAGCTATTTCTCAGTGCTGTGATCAGCTCTGGACTTGCAGAAACTGCACGAAGCTGCCTCTTCCTGGAACTGGGATAACTCGCAGCAACCATCCCTTTGCCATCCAGGTGCCCCAGCTGGCTGACTGTCCCTGTCCAATACGGACAGGGTTTTATAGCCCCCAACGTGTTTATGCCTTGTACTTAGCATTACAGAATTTTGCTGCAACATGTGTATTCTCTAGTTTATGATGCTACATGATAGTAGTTGCCTACAGGAACCATGCATATGAACAGAGATGACAGACCCAGCCTCCACTGTCTTTACCTACACATGCCTATTAAAACAAATTATTTCCTTCTCAATCCTCATCTTTTGAATCTCTGTTTCCAAGAGCAGACATATGGCTATCACATTTAAAAACTCAATCTACCACGAGTGTCCAGCTTTTTGGTTTGCCTGGATCATGATGAGTGAAAAGGAACTGTCTTAGACCACGTATAAAATACATAATACTGTTAATGTATGTATTAAAATATAAATTATATATAGAGAGAGAGACAGAAAAATAGAGGGCAACAAAAACATAAAGCTAGTGGGTTGGACACATATGGGACCACTGTTAAGATTCAGTGTAAGAGCAGTGCTGCTCTGTGCTGTTCCTGGAGAAGGCAGAAGGAAAGGAGGAGTCACTTCTCCCTTCACTGTGAAGCATTTTACTGTACTCTCTTTCTAAACAACCCATTTCCTATTTCTAGTTAATGCATCAGGAAGAATGGGGGATGCACATTCTGGAGCTGTAATTAAAGTTTTCTTGCCTGCTGTGCTATACAGACCTCCAGCTGACCACACACAGAAGCAAAGTTCATGCAGTATGGCTGCAGTATGGCATGCAAGACAACCACTGGATGGTGACTCAAAACACAGACGATTTTTAAAGTCAACAGAAAAATACCAGAAGACAGCCCATGCACACAGCTGAGTACAGATAACCTTTGGACTCCAGCAGCAAGGATAATCTCCATGGACAGCCCCTCACAGCTGCAAGGAATTCTAATGAAGCTGTTCTAAAAAAGCAAACCCTTCACTGTACACATCCAGCCACAGGATCCAGTCCCAGCTCTGTGTTCTGGCATCAGCTCTGCATAAATGCCTGCTGGAGTGGACGAGCTGTTCATTAGCTGGTCTCCTGATGTGAACACAATTAATCACAGACACAAACCCTTCCAGCACAAAGCTTACAGTTAGAAGAAATGATCAAACTTTAAAGTTCAGTATTTACAAACACACTTTAGCCACTCAGATGCATTAACAGACAACACAGCTTGGGTTTAGTATTTTAAGCCATTATGTGATTCTGATGCTGTGCTGTTAGCACAGGTTTTTCTCAACTACAATGAAGTTTTAAAGGCTGGCACTCTGTCCTAAGGGCAGAGGGCTCCCTGCCTAACATCCTATGTCAATTAGATATAACTAAAACAAAACAACACCACACTACCACACTTAATGAGACTAAGGTTCTATATGAACATACTATGGTAGAAAGAAAGGCAGGTAAGAACTGTTTCATAGAAGTGCACAGAAGTCCTGCCAACACCTTTATCCATAGGATTCACATGGTAAAGCAGGACTTGAAGCAGTTCATTTCTATTCAGTGCTGGTATTTTTACATCTGCAGCTCCTCAGTCGCTATCTCCACCTCATTTACAAAGCTTTTTTTATTTTCTTTTTTCCTTCTCTCTCTCCATGCCAGAAAGGAACAAACTGCTATGCAAACTTTCTCTAGGCTCACACTGAAAATAATCCTTTAAAGCCTGCAAAGCCTCAGTTATCCAGGAAGTGCAGCAATGCCTGAGCATTAAACAATTGCTTCATTGCTAAGTCAATAGACACACATTTTTGTTTATATACATATTTAAATGCAGGTTCACTTAATTCCCTCTCTTCAGTTCAAAGTCTAAGCACACAGTATCCAATGTGATTTCTATGTAATATAAAAACATTTCCTAAATTCTTTTCTAATCTACTTTCACACTTGGATTTCATCATATGCTCAATTTCTGCTTATCCAAATAACATCCTTTCTCTCTTTCTATGTACATGCACACTCCCCTTAGCCAAATGGATTTGACAAAACTACAACATTTGACCTCAGATGCATTGAAATCCAAATAAATCATCTTCACATCATTTAATGAAAGGAAAATAAAGTTTTTCTTTACTGAATAAATGTTTTTCTTGAATGCAGCTGTTCAAAGACCACCTTTCACAAGAGTTAAGCTATGAGGTGATCAGCCTTCCCAAACATACAATTTCTGAATGATAAGTAGTAGAACACTAGATACAGAACAACACAAATATGGAAGGAAACTGGGAATATTCCAAGGCATCGCCCTTTTCCCCCCATATACAAACAGCCTTTTTCTCTATCCCCACAACCACAGGAGGCCTCCCTAAGTACTCTAAAAGAAATGTGAAGTGCTTCTGTTGTTAGTCAACAACAAAAGCATTCATGTTAAGGCAGTTTGTTTGTTTTCCCCCTCTGAACGAGGCAAGGCACATTTCCAACATAAATGTGAGCCATCTACTAATTTTCAAGGCACCATTCTAAATACGTAGGAGTTTTCAGGAGACAAAGTGTTTCATTTTAACAAGTCTAAATAGATCCTCACAAACAACTCATTATTGCCACAATTTCATCATCAGAAATAGCTGAACCGCACTGAAACCTTCCTTCAGAAACCAGCCCACAGCATGGGAGCCTTCAGTGAAAACAAATTAAATTACTTCCAAACGTTACAAGCAATGAAAAATCGACACCTTACAACAAACCTTGCTCAGCAGAGAGTTCCACCAGCACCAGCTTCACTAGCAGGTCTTACCCAAGAGAGAAAAATCTCTCAATATACATCCACAGCCTTATTCCTCACCACCTGACCACTCCCTTGCACAACACCACACCAAACCTTATTTCTCACAACGGGGACACCAGAGGAGTGCAGCCAAGTGTCCTCATGGTGTCACTTGGTAACATCCAGTTCTCTTTGCTGAACAACTCTGTGAGAGCTATCCATTTCGGTGCAGTTATAGGTTATCTAAATCCATATTATACCTCCTTTATATAGCTGCTAATATATGCACTAATATATTACATGCAAACAAGAAATAATATGACTCAACTCCAAGGTTTTCTAAGAATATTCAAACCATGTACAATGTCTGCCATACAGAAAAAATCCCTTTCATTCAAGCCTCCAGCTGCACGTACAGGCTGGATGACCAAGTGATTTACCACAGTTGTGCTCCGAGTGTGTTAGAATGAGGATCCCAGCTACAAGCTAAAAACGTACAGTAATTGACCAAAAAATCAAACTGATATCAGGAATGGATTTACAGATGTGACCAAAAGAAAAAAAGTAATTTCACTGCATGTGTTATACATAAAGGCACTAATTCATATGACAGCATTAGCATTTTCTTCATCGCAGACAAAACAGGAAAAAAACCTGAATTTTGAATTAGCAGTTCTGTTGCAATCTCGGGCTCACAGAGGTTAAGGAAACAGCAGGTTTCTGCTGAGGTAATTCCTCAAATCCACTTAGCCTACACAAAGGAAGAAAATAACAATACTGGAATGCTTCCTTTTCAAAAGGCCACAGATCTCTTTTGATTTGAACCAAGCCAAAGCCCCATTCGCTGCTATTTGTACCAGTTCCACTTCCAACCCTAACTTCCTCCTCTTTACCACGCATCAAAGTGGGCTTCTCAGTCCGCCCATCATCTTCTTGTGACAGGGATTCCATTTTCAGGCCATCTCGGGCATTTCTCAAGCAATTGCTGCAACGATTCTCAAAGCAGTATTTAAATTTATCTTATTTGTGGTTCGTATCTGTAAAATTAATCAGGCTTCCTACCTCATTAGCTGGTAAAGTAGCTACTGTGAAGAAAAATCCATGGCTGTTTTCAAAAGCCTTCTGTCAGAAAAGTGATGAAATCACTTACTTTCCTGTTCTGACCTTTATTTTTTGATGTCGCTTTCTTTGTTGTCATTTGAAAAATAAAAAGGAAAGTCCTAAACGCAAACTGTACTTCAAATGAGAGGCTGAGAACTTGCTTCAGACTTGCTATTCGGTAACTGAAAATAAATCACGATCATCGCTAGAAAAATCTCTTCAGCTGAAGTCTAACACGGACACAGCCGCATGCAGCCAAGATATTCAAGGAATACTTTGCCTAAGCCTTTACTAGAGATAATTACCGATCATTCAGATTATTTGACTGAGCTAATTACGTTAGATCACTCTGTCAGTATCTACCACCTCACGTCTGCATCACACAGCGCAGGAGGAACGCCGGCCTCAGACGCCCGTCCGTGCGTCCCTTTCCGCGGGAACGGCGGCCGAGGCGTCAGTTCCACGGAGCGCGTTAGCCGGGAGGTTACATAACGCGTCGCTCCGGGAGCGATGCTGCGGCGTTACCTCCCGTCCGCTCACGGGAAACCCGAGCACGGCCACGGGGGCGGCGGGGATGAAGCGGGACTTCTCCTTCCACGTCACCCTCCTCGGCGCCAACGCGGTCCGCAGCCCCGCGGCGGGACGGGGCAGAGCCCGCAGCCCCAGCCGGGGGGACCCGTCCGCAGCCCGGCCCCGCGCCGGCAGACGCCGCAGCGCGCCCGGGAGCGCGGCCAGCGGGAGGAGGGAGGGCTGCGGCCCGAGGACCGTCCCCCCGCGCCCAACTTCGCCCGAGCGGCCGCCCGGTCTCGCCCTGCCCCGCTCCCTCCCCGCCCGGCGGGACCCCGGTACCGGACCGTCGGCCGGTGCCGCCGCGCCCTCCCGGCAGCAGGTGCGCCGCTGCGGCCGCTCGGATCCCGGCCGGGCTGTAGAGGCGGCGGGGCGCGCAGGTGCTCCCTCCGCACGGCTCCCGGAGCGCCGGCTCCGCTCGGTCCCGCCCGCAGCGCCCTGCCTGCCCACAGGAAGGCGCGGGGCAGCGGCCCCCACCCCGGCGCGCCGCTCACCTCCCGGGCCGCTGCCCCTGAGCGGTCCCGTCCTCTTCTCCCTCCTCCTCCTCCATGGTGCCGCTCCACCCCCTCCGCGGCGGTTCCGCGGCTCTCCAGCAGGAGCTGTCGAACGGCTGCGGCTTCCCGCCCGCGCAGCACGCCGCCGAGGGCAGCGCGCCGAGCTGCAGGCAGCAGCTCCACAGCGCCCTGCCCCGCACCATGCCGCGGCGGCCCCGCGTGCGCGGCCGCCCCCGCCCGGCCGTGTACGGCGCTGATAACAAGATGGCGGCGGGGCCCGGCGCCTGAAGCGGGCGGCGTCGGGCTGGGAGCCGGCCAAGACCTGTGGTTGATCCCGATAGTTTGTAAACGTTCCCCGCCTGGGAGCCCGTGCGTGCTCTAACTCACTGGTGCCGTGGCGAAAACTTTCCTAAAGTTGGTTCTCTCAGGAACTGGGAGCCTGGCTACCGATCGCTGCCAAGGTTAAACTGGTGCTCGCTCAATCCCGCACCACTGGAACGGGGACGCACGGACCCTCCTCACACAGTGCAGCCTTCGCACCTCCGCGTTATGCTCGTTCTCTCCTTTGCTACTAGGGAGTTAAAACTCCTCACGCAGTGAGTTTAGTCCACTGCCAAGTCCCTGTGAGCAGTCCTCACCTGGTAGGAAGCGAGGGGTTCTGAGGAACCAGTCTGGAGAAAAGAGGTGCTCACAGAAGTAGAGTAGGTACTTTCAAAATCTTTCCATACCTCCTTAAGGATGTAAGACGATGGAAGGTAGAGAACAAAGCTGTGCGTGTATGATAATGTATGTAGTAGCAATATGGATTCAGAGGCTATCTGGAGTTGGGACACATTTATATGCACTTGATCTGGAAGCTCAGGAATCAATGATGAGATTGTTGGGAAATCTCACGTAGGATCAGAGGTGAAGGTCTAAAGATCTTGGGGGAAGCACAGATACAGACTAGGCGGAGAATGTCTTGAGAGCCCTGTGAAGAAGGATTTGGGGGTATCAGGTGATGAAAGACTCAGCATGAGCCAGCAATGTGTGCTTGCAGCCCAGAAGGCCAACCGTATCTGGGTTGCATCAAGAGAAGGGTGACCAAAATGTTGAGGGAAGTGGTTCTTCCACTCTGCTGTGCTATTATGAGACACCACCTGCAGAACTGCATCCTGTTCTGGGGTCACCAACACAAGAAGATCATGGAGTTGTTGGAGCAGATCCAGAGGAGAGCCACAAAAATCATCAGAAGGCTGGAGCACCTCCCCTGTGTGTATGGGCTGAAAGAGCTGGGGCTTTTCATTCTAGAGAAGCGAAGGCCCTGAGGGGACTGAGGGAAAGGCTAAATGGCCTTCCAGTACCTGAAGGGAACCTACAGAAAAGCCAGGGAGGGACTTTTTATAAAGGCTGGTAGTGACAGAACAAGGGGAAGTGGCTTTGAACTGCAAGAGAGCAGATTTAGGCTAGATATTAGGAAGTAATTTTTTACTGTGAGGGTGGTGAGACACTGGAACAGGTTGCTCAGAAAAGCTGTGGATGCCCCCCCTCCCCGGAAGCGTTCAAGGCCCGGCTGGATGGGGATGTGAGCAACCTTGTCTAGAGGGAGATGTCCCTGCCTATAGCAGGGGGTTGGAACTACATGATCTTAAAGGTCCCTTCCAACCCAAACCATTCTATGATTCTATGGAAATGCAAGTCTTATTTTTCTTATTATTAATCTATCATTCCCTTAACCTTTGTAAAGTATAGAAGGCTAATACTGCCATGTTATCTTGTTCAGAATGAGGAAAAACAGTGTGTATTGGTTACCTTTGGTCAAGCAGATTTGCTGCTGATTTACAAGAGGGAAAATCCCAGTTCATTCCTCCTGACTCTTCTCAACCGACTTTTCCCGATCATTTCATCTCCTATTAGTATGTCTAAAGATAAGCAGGCCTTCTAGATGTTTTGATTTGTACTCACACTTCATTCAACATAAATGCATATGGATTTAAGTTATTTCTACTCTTACTTAGAATCTAAGGCTGACTACATGAGTTAGATGGTGAAACTGCTCTTCATAGCTACAATCAATGCCTGTTAGGTTAGGAATAATTAGTGCCTATGCATAGCAATTTGTGCACTCCAGCAGACCGGTAGTATCTGATTGCCAACAGTAATGGATTTGGGATGCTTATCCTGAAGGTCAGCTGAATGTCTCCCTGTAGGCAGAACTGCATGCACGTGTCATTTGGAAGTTGTTTCTATGTCACCAGTGCAACATAAGCCATACTGGAGGAGGCTGTGCTTTATTGTGTTTTGTCTATATTGCAAATACAGATGTCAGCATTTGGAGGCTGTAAGTAAAGACAACTGGTGTCTGTACAACACACAGTGTTCACAGTGTTTAATTTGAAAGGGAAAGATCTCTTGTTCTAGTGAAGAATTGTACAGTTGTTCAAGTATGTTCTGGCACAGCTAGAAGTCCGTATCTAATGTGTTACCTACTCTGCCACACCAGTCTGCACAACATGAGAAAATTAAAGTTGAGGGGTGTTCCACAGCAGAGCTAGAATTTTAAATTAATTTCCTGTTTCACTACTCCCACAGGCCAACTAATATCTCAGTCTGGTCCTGCTGCTTTGGTATGTTTTGATCTTTCAATGTCTTATGTGCACAAATGCATTTAAACCAAAGAAAAGTCCCAGTGGGACATCTGTGCTCAACAAGTTGTGCAAACTCAGAGCAGAGATCTGTCTGACTTGTAAAATACCACACACGTGCTAATGTGCTTAGAGGATTTTGATGTTCAGATTCTGCAGAAGTTGAGGGCCAGAAGTAACTAACAGATGGGGAGGTTCCAGGCATCTGTGAATGAGGTAGGAGTTTTTTTTGACATCTAGTCTGTAATAATTTTATTTTCTGCAGTGGCACACATTTCTGGTAATTTTACTGTTCAGACTGGCCCTGTATATGACCACTATAAATGGATTGGGAAGCTGCTTTGTACGGCGGAGAGGCACAGATACTGAGGAATATCAATCAAAAAGATTATTATTGGGTCAGTGCATTCTATTTTCTCACAGTGAAATTTAACAGCTGAAATAGAATCCTATTTTAGTGAGGAAGTTTTTATGGTATATCATTTCATTAACCATTTGGAAGGAGATATTCCTTAACATAGCTTAAACTGCTTAATAAAACAACCTATATCTTAATTAGAATCATGCAGTTGGTATTTCATGAATTGTATCCGAAGTGGTGTATTTCCCTTGGAGATAAAGCATGAATTAATCATGAGCAAGACAGCTCAACTAACTTGACTATAAATCTTCTCTTGATGAAGGGTTTCACTTTCAATGCAGCAGAAATTTATCAATATTTTGTTTAGAACTCAGAAGTGTAGAATTATTATCTTATTCACAAAGTGTAATTTAGTTGACATAAGCTTTGTCAGAGGAAAGTACCTACTGTCTTGGTCAGTAACTGAAGCACAATCTAAAGAAGGAAAAAAAACCCAAAATTCTTATAATGAAAAATTTTTATAGCTTTGTACCTGAGCTGTCTTATCTTGATTGTGAAAATCCTCCAAGATAACAAAATTAAACATGTTCTGTCATCTCCTGTTAATATTAGAACATCAATATCATCAAATCCCATTAGACTTAGGCTCACTATAAACTAGGCAACATTTTCTCTGACAGTGCAGATGCAGTTTGTAGCACTGGAAAGCACACTCGCTGGAACAGTCTGAGCTGGATCTCTCAGTGAAATAAACTATCCCAGCAAAGACATTTTTCACCACTCTGATAGTGTCTCTATTTGATTTTTTACTGGCATATAAATGTCGCACCAAAAGGAAGTCTGCTAGGTTAGTAAAAGTTTCTCTGGTAAAACTGTCCCATGCTGGGACAAAATGGAAAGATTTAACCTAGCCCTTCTAATTATAATGTGGGGAGGAAACCATTCTCATGGTACCCATGCTGTTTTGGAGAGAAGTCAAAAAAAGAAAAGATATTTGGCATGGTGCAGGCAGAGGCAAGCAGTTTCAGAACACATTGGATGATAAGTTATCCTGTGAAAGGGGTGCACTGCCAGCTAATGCATATACACAAAGACAATGAGTGCTTTACAGTAATATTTAATTAAAACACACCTAAACATAAAATATTTCTCCAATCTAGGCATAGCCCTTTAAAAAATAGTTAAGCTAACATTCTCACTGAGCTCCAAGATGTGTTTTAGAAAATCTTTCTGAGTTATTTCTCATATCAGAAGCCTGATGGCTGAAGGATGTTCCAGGAACTAGAAAGAAAAATGGCTCAAGAATGATCAGTGGATACAGTTCTGGCAAAAGAGCCTGTTATAGTTTAAATGGCAGCTTTAAATTGACACAGTCACAAAATTGATGCAGAATCAATATACAGTAGTTAACGAAGTAACTGTAAATGTCATGGTTATTGTTACAGATCCAAACTTCTTGCATGGCAAGGAAGTTGACCATTTGGGAGACTACAGAGAAGGAATTTAGAGAACTACTAAAAAAAACCACCAAAACCAGAAAACCACCGTGCTTCTAAATATTAAGTGAAATACTCTCTAATGACAAGCTAATATCTTTACT